CCAGATGATATTTTGCCCGCACGCCATCGCGTTGAGAGACACGGAGCCATCCGACTAGGGACAGCGCATGAGCTAGCTACAATCCGCCGCATGTTTGCTGTGATGGGTATGCACCCTGTGGGCTACTACGACCTCAGCCTCGCCGGGTTTCCAATGCACGCTACAGCCTTCCGACCAAACACCAAAGACGCGCTCGATAAGAATCCATTTCGTGTGTTCACGACAGTCTTGCGGATGGAACTGTTGACAGAGAAAACGCGGAAACTAGCGCAAAAAGCGCTGGAGCAAAGAAATATCTTCACGCCAAGACTTCTTGCCTTGTTGGATATCGCAGAGAGCCAGGGCTTTTTGACACCTGATCAATGCACAGAGTTCATCAGTAGTGGCCTGGAGACATTCCGGTGGCATTCAAAAGCAACAGTCACCCTTGAAGAATATGAGCAGCTCAAAGCTGAGCATCCTCTGATTGCGGACGTCGTGTCTTTCCCCAGCTCCCATATTAACCACCTGACGCCTCGAACGATTGATATCGATCTTGTACAGCAATTGATGTTGTATCATGGAATGCCTGTCAAAGACCGTATTGAGGGCCCACCAAAACGATCGTGTTCAATCCTTCTGCGGCAGACAAGCTTCAAGGCACTGGAGGAAACAGTCTATTTCAGGGATCCGTCTGGTTGCTATGTGAAGGGCTCCCACACAGCACGCTTTGGTGAAGTAGAGCAGCGAGGATACGCTTTGACCCGAGAAGGACGCCAGCTTTATGATCGAATCTTGAACCGAGTCAATGCGGGGGCCGCGAAGAATGACTTGAAAGGAAAGGCCTATGACACGCTACTGGAAGAGCGCTTCAAAGAGTTTCCCGATAGTCTGCCAGAGCTTCACAATCTGAGACTGGGATATTTCATCTATCGGTTGACACCACTGGGTGATCAATTGGTTAATGAAAGCGTTGTATTATCGGAGGAGCAACTGCCTCCAGTCTCACTTCAGGATCTTCTGAATAAGCATATCCTGAGTTATGAGGCTATCACATACGAAGACTTCCTTCCTTTGTCTGCCGGAGGAATTTTCAATTCCAACTTGGGTGGTATCTCCCAGTCCAAGCAACTGATAATGAGCGCGGATCCGGACCTCGATGGTTTCCAGCGGCTCCTTGGGGCATGTGTGGCAGATGAGTTCCATCTATACGCCGAGATGCAGCAGAAATCGTTGGAAATTTGCAGACAGAAACTGCAGTTAAAGGAGATTATAGTGTAGGATGAAGCGCTTATACTAATACAGCCTGGTTGAAACATCTGTTTTATATTAACCACGAATGCCGTTCTTTTCTTCTCTTTTTTTACTCAGCCTTGATGCGACGGTGACTCGAGCCAGCCCATGCACTGGGAAGGGTCTATGTATATCTATTTACTGACAGGCTTTTAGGGACCAGCGCAATTACCAGCCTAATCAGGATCCTTCACCCTAGTCCTCTGCCTTCCCACTCGACTCATAGCTACATAGGTATTATATATACTCTTAGGTGTTTCCTTAGATGTATTTCTTTAAAAAGTATTTTCTTCCCTTTATTAGTATTATAACTAGAAGGATAGAAAGAATTGGCTGTCACGGTATACAGATGTCACATACTTCCATACCTATCCAACTCTTGTCATATCTATTGATCTACACTATTGCAATAAACAGATGTTCTCAAATGGTTCAATACTATAAAATACAATGCATACAGAGAACAGCCCAAATCGATCTATCTGTACAATATGCCGCAAAGATATCAATGCATGGCGGCAAGACAATTACCAACAGCCCAAAGATCACATCGTATCTCGACTAGCACTGTCAATACCTCGAGCCATAGTCGGATCATGGTCCGGCATCACATTTTCGCCTCAAAAAAAGCTTCACCCAAACACCGAAGAACCCAATCATGACCGGGGTTCAATTACTGAGCTGTCCTCTGAGTCTTCCACGACCACCGCGCCTTCCGCCAACAACTCATCCGGCGTCTTCACCCGCACATCCATGACACGCATGAGGGTATAGCGGTGCTTGCTCTTAGCCTGCTTAACGTGCCTTTGTCTCCGCTTGGTCTTCTCCTTGATGCGCAGCGGCTCCGCATCCACACCCGTCACACGAACCCGGCACTCGTAGATACGCTCGTCGATAGTCGGCGAGCCTTTCATTGTGAAGTCACGGGATCCAAGTGCCGAAGCACGGTTGAATCGCAGAATATCGCCTGCCTTAACCTTGGGCATGAGGAAGGGCAACCGAATGTGATCACCTTCTGTCAAGAGGTATGGTCGTGCGTGCAGTTGAGCGACGACGTAGTGCGGCTTCTGGCCGACAAGGTGGGGTAGCTGTGACATGAGAGATTTTGTCACTTGGAGAGGGGAGGTGAAGGTTGGAGCAACGGGTTGTTTTGCAATGGGAACGTGTGCGCGTGTTTGGGGTGTCATGGTGTTTTCGTCGAAGGTGGAGGCCTTGACGCCCTGGTGAGTCTTTGGTTGGGTATCTTGTGCCCGGGGAGTGGCGCTGAGAGGTGATTCGGGATGGCTGGAAGCAGATTGGCTCTGAGGTTGTTGCGAATTCATCAAAGATGCACTTTGGTGAAGGCATGCTCGTTGCTGTAGGGGAGCTGCGGATGAAATTGTGGACGGCGCAGTCCAGCGCAATTCGGAGGCGAGGCTCCGGAGAGCAGAGCGTGAGAACATATTGATTGGCCGCTTGTCAATGCTCAATGACCGAGAGTGGAAGTGGTTCGCGGTGGTTGATATTCGAGATAGAAGAGCGGCTTCCCCGTAACTAGAGAAATTCACTACTTGCGCAAATGGCCGCTTTGTCACCCGTAACATCACGTGACGGTTTATATCTAACTTGAGAATGTAGATTTACAACGAGAAGAGATAGTGAGCTGTAGATATGAGTGTCATATTGCCCCAATTTAAAGCAGTACTGTTCTGTGTCCAAATTTCTACCATACTCCAGCGTTTCTTCTTTTAATCTGTACGAGCTAAACCAGTCGAGAAACGACCTCACCGATAAGCAGCGTCACGTGCCTCGCTATCTTTTCCCGCATCACAACTTTTTCGGTCTCGATTAGATCTTCAAGGCAAGAACTTCATCACCCATTCACCTTGTGTTGTTCATTCGTCCTTCATCATGGTAAGCTCCAAATGATTTCCCAGTCTCACAATGTTCAAACGTATCCATCTACTAACTTTTTTTTCCACCTACAGCCTCAGAACGAGTTCGTCCCTCCCCGCCAGCCACCGCCCGATCTCCAACTGACATTTTCCCACCAGGTATATTGAGCGCTGGCAGAAGCAGCACGGCAAGCGCCTCGATCACGATGAACGCACGCGCAAGCGCCAGGCTCGTGAGGGACACAAGGCATCGCACGATGCCCAGAACCTGCGTGGTCTGCGGGCCAAGCTGTACCAGCAGAATCGCCACAAGGAGAAGATTCAAATGAAAAAGCGCATCAAGGCCCAGGAGGAGAAGAACGTCAAGTCCGCCGCACCCGACGAGCCTTCCAAGACTCCTCTGCCCCAGTACCTGCTCGATCGCTCGCAGGAGACCAACGCCAAGGCCCTCTCCAGTGCTATCAAGAACAAGCGTAATGAGAAGGCTGCTAAGTTCGCTGTCCCCCTGCCCAAGGTCAAGGGTATTAGCGAGGAGGAGATGTTCAAGGTTATCAACACCGGAAAGAAGACCCACAAGAAGGCCTGGAAGCGCATGATCACCAAGCCTACTTTCGTTGGTAATGACTTCACACGTCGTCCTGTCAAGTACGAGCGGTTCATTCGTCCCATGGGTCTGCGTTACAAGAAGTGTAATGTCACACAGTATGTTTCATCCTTGGGAGCAGAATGCCCACCTTCCGGTTGATTTTGGTTGGATATGGTATATTGACTTCTTCTTCTTCAGTCCCGAGCTGGCTGTCACTGTGCAACTCCCTATCCTGTCCGTCAAGAAGAACCCCCAGAACCCTCTCTATACCCAGCTGGGTGTCTTGACCAAGGGAACCATCATTGAGGTCAACGTCTCCGAGTTGGGTCTCGTTACCACTTCCGGTAAGGTTGTCTGGGGTAAATGGGCCCAGGTGACCAACACCCCTGAGAACGATGGCTGTGTTAATGCGTAAGTGGCTTCCATCTTTCCTATTGTTTATCTTTTATCTTAAACTAACTTGCAACAGTGTCCTCCTTGTCTAAATTGACCACCAAACACTTCCTCTACTTTCCCGGCAGGCAGCCGCCTGTCTTCGATACCTCCATGCTCAGGCAGTTCTATATTTCCCTTTCTTGATACATACGGTCTATCAAGACTGTTCTATTCTTGGGCGGTGTTAATGGCGCAAAGTCAAGTCCATTGATTTCAAACGAAAAGTGTTCCGCATGTTTGGCTTCTGAATGGACATAGCTAGTTTTTAGATAGTCAGGGATTTATCAGCTATGATTTTATGAAGACAACTAGCATCTGCACTATAAGAGATCATAAGGTGATGGATCAGACTTGATCCAATTTCCAAGTAGCTCACATGATAAGAAACACGCAGTATCCAAGTAATGAAGATAGACAAAGGTTGTCAATTATACGTCTAACCAAATGGGGAGTTATTGTCGCTCTAAGAACGCTGATACTCAAAAAGCATCCATCCGGATGCAAGAGAAAAGATGGAAAGGCTAATGAAATCATGTACAGGAATGAAAATCCACACGCTGCGCTGAAACCGAAATTCGTCAAATACGCACCGCAACGCGACATTGTTGGGTCAAAACAAACACCCCGAAGGATGATGCAGAAAGAAAAGAGACAATGCAAAGAAACACAGGCAGTCAGATATCCCGCAAATTAACCAAGCACACCAAGAAGAAAAGAAAATTCACACATCCAACACCAGTCATCAAGTCGTTGTAACCAAAAAGGGAACATGAGAAATGCCGATAGGCCAGTCAAGACAAAGGAAATAAAGTAAAAGGAGCGGTTGGGTGTTGTCATGGGTTTTCTTCTTCGAGGGCTGCTTTTATTTTCGCAAAGAAGCCTGCAGGCCATGCGGCCAGCTCCTCTTCTCTGGGTACACCGCGGGCCTTGCAGTGGTTGACGACGTTGGCCAGGATACGGCCAAGCATATCCTGGGTGACTGGGACAGCACCCTCAAGCTGGGCATCAGGGTGCAAGAATGGATCGCGTGGGCCAAGCATCTCCTCAATAGTCGGTCTGAGAGTCTGGTCGCGCTGCAGACAGCGCTTGAGAGTCCGAACAAGGCCAGGAGGCACTGGAACGCCACCGACGCCGAAAGCAGGGAAATCGATTTGTACACGGGGGTTGGGGATAGCCATGATGCGTTCGTAATATTTGGCGATCTTCGCGAATGGTGGTTGTCCGTAGACCATCTTGTACAGAATACAACCTAAACTCCAGACATCGCTGGGTTTTCCTAATTTCATAATTTTTCCAACACTTGAAGGCAGACCAAGGGACACGTTGGAATCGACCAGTGCTTCAGGGGACATGTAATTCGGTGTGCCGACTTGCTGTTCACGATGAACGTTGACCGTATTATCTTGGATCGCATTTGCAATTCCAAAGTCAATAAGTTTCAGCCGCCCTTGAACCATGAGGAAGTTGGCCGGTTTCAAATCCGAATGGACGATGTTGTACTCGTGGACAGCTTGGACACACTCGAGCATCTCTTTCCAATAAAATCGGGTAAAGTTGATATCGAAAACAGCATCTTCAGCGTTTAAACGGAATGTGAGAATCTTTTCAAGATCGGATTCTCCAATCTCCATAAGCACACTAAGAGCATGTTTGTCATTGTTCAGCTCCCAGTCAAACAAGCGCACCACGCGGTCCACGTTCTCCAACTTTTTCAATAAGTCGATTTCACCCTTGTATCCAGTCAAAGTCACTGGATCGACATCTTCAATATTGACACGCTTGAGAGCGAAGATCTTGTAATTCTCTGCCATCACTCGATAGACACGCGAGCTGCCGCCTCGACCAATGCAATCGAGCCGAGTAAAATGCTTGCCATTAATCGAGACCTGGCTCTTCTTTTTTCGTGATTGTGATGTCGATGCGCCTCCTGTGGAAGTAGCTGTCTCGAGAACTGACATCTTCGGAGGAGGAGGAGCGGCCCTATGGGGTGTGTTGCTGCTCCGTGTGGCAAGTATCTTTCGTGCAGAGTTGGTTGCTGGGGTCTCCGCTGCGTCTTTCTTCTCGGTATCGTAAACAACATTATACTTATCAGGTTTATCCAACACATTCAACCCTTGGGGCTTTGCGCGGCGGAAAGTTGGTGGTGGTTCATTCTCTTGGTCACGGACCGATGGCAAAGCCGGTATTGAAGGGACCTTGAATACCGGTTGTTCCTTCGCAATCGAGGATTTGTCAGACATTTCTGATGAAGCGGGAGTGGACTTTGAACCGTATGATTTTGGCGAAGATGACCTCGAAAACGGTCCTTCAACCTCAGCAGGGCGGAGAGGATATTCTCGTCGATTGGATTCACGCACGAGAGGTGGGCTTGGGTCCGCCCATGACACCTTCGGTGACGAAGGTTTCGCTGGATTGCTAGGTCGATATTCGGCATTCTCCTCCTCTCCTTCGACGTCCTCCCGGACACCGTCAGCCGAGAGATATTGGTGGTGTTCCTCGTTGCTTTCTTCGCTCTGACGTCGTAGCACACCCCTCCGGGCAGGACCGTTCAAGAAAGTTCCAGCAAGTCGACCGACCCTCTTGACACGCAGCGAACTGTGTGGAGCGTTTTCTTCGCCGCCCCGACCCCGCAATGCGGAAGAAAGGCCATACCGTAATGCTGGATCATCGTCATATTGCGCTTTCCGATCACTATCCGAGCGCTCTGCACTGCCATACTCTTCGCCCGAGTTGCGTTCCGACGAGCGCTTTCCTGAAGGCGAGACGGAGGCAGGAGATCGTGTGTTGCTGCGCGAAACATTGATGCGAACACTCCGTTGGCGTGGTGCGGGAGTGATGAAATCATTGGGGCGGCGGTGGTGCTCTGATTCTGCGCTCTGGCTATTTGATAGTGGGGAGCTTTCGCGTGAGAATCGCGAACCCGACGAGATAGCCCCTATACGAACGACTCTTGGAGCCGGGCTGCCATTAGATGAGTCGTGTGGGGACGAATTCCGAGGTGAGCGGCTTTGCTCTCTTGATGTTGCAATTCGAGGTTCGTGCGATATGTGTGCCTTTTGCAAATGAGGCGAAGAACCTAATCCATCTCCATGCAACAATGCTTTTACAGAAGCGCTGAATTTAGGTTCGGGTACCTCTTCGTCGGAGCTGTCCCCAGAGTAATGTTTGGGCAGAGCCTGGGTTGATGGAGATACCCGTCTGGAACCCGAGCGTGAAACCGCGGATCGGGACATCGGTCGGGCTGGCTGTCGGTACAGCTCGTTGTATGCTGGGAGGGAATTCGGGGACGCCATAGCGATAATACCTACATTGAAGTCGTGGATCAATGCGGCCCCTCCAAAGTTGTCGATTGTTTTGTTGATCCTGGAGAAAGCCCAGCCTCCAGGTTTCGTCGCGGGCACGCTATACAGTCACGTGTTTGTTGTTGCTATGGCGACGTTACACCACAACATACCAGTGGAATTGATTCTTAACTCGAAAATAACATTGCAGGGCACGAAAGAGGGACTCAAGTCTAGGCTAATGATACCTAGTTTGCTCTGGTGAAAGTCCACGGGTGTTGCAGTTCCTTAACTGGGCAGTCCCTTATGCCCGATAAGGGTTCAACCGGATAACCTCCACTTACTATGTAGTTACCATTATACATCTAGACTACTAGACTAAAATTGCCAGTGTTGTCGTACCTGTCAATCGAGGGAATATTCTTGTATGAATTTATGTCTGTCAAGTTTCAAGTGATGTATATGTGCTATCGTCAATCCATCACTACATACTTTCCACTCTTCAGTATGGTTGATATATTGCGAAGAGAATGCGACGCTGAAACTAAACCTGAAGATTCCAATATACTCAAGATTGACAATATATAAATCCTCGGTTCTCCACGGGTACTGGGCTATCAGAGTAGCCCTGAAAGAAAACCATACCAAAGTATAGCTTGGAGTCTGACCAGTATAAGTCCATATAATCATAGAGAATAGAATTGCTATATGCTCTGAACTTACATGTCCTTTACGATGTAATTAAATTACAAAAAATTAATTTTATCACTGATTGGCTATAATAGTCCAAAGATCAATGGGTACACACATATGTATATTCGTTCGTAGGGCATAGACATATATACTTCAAGAAAATATATAAGACGGATATTCAGCTTACCATGTCATCTTCTTCTCATTTCTTTTAAGAATATATAATAAAAAAAGAATCATTATATACAAGAATATACCTATAGATTAGCCACACAGAATTTCTACCAACCTACGTAGATAGCCCTGGAGGATGGACGTCGATATTCTGGCGGCGAGTCCAAGGCGGCGAGATCTATACGGCACCCGCGAGCGACCATAAGTGTCATTCCACACCGCGGACTTCACTATCTCGCGTTTGCTCGTCATGGACTCTCCTACCCTCACCTCCAGCTCCAGCAAAAATGGCGTCGAGCGTGGATGCCAAGCTCATTAGGCGGACTAAATTCCCGCCTGAGTTCAACAAGAAGGTGGATATGACCAAGGTCAATATTGAGGTTATGAAGAAGTACGTGACTTTCCCCGGGGTTTTTGCGATATCTCCGGTTTACTGACGTTCCTTTTTTCCGCCACCTATTGTAGATGGATCGCAAGCCAAATATCCAAGATACTGGGGAACGAGGATGACGTTGTTATCGAGCTCTGTTTCGCACATCTCGAGGGATCACGCTTCGTACGTTTGGCCGTCGGATATTTAGCGTATCGACCCTAGTTTGCTGACATCTGTTTCTGCTCTAGCCCGATATCAAACTTCTCCAAATCCAACTCACCGGATTCCTAGACAAAGATACCCCCAAGTTCTGCCAAGAGCTGTGGTCCTTGTGTCTAAGCGGTCAGGCCAATCCACAGGGCGTCCCGAAGGAGCTCCTAGAGGCTAAGAAGCTTGAGCTCATACAAGAGAAGGTGATTGTAAGCGTGCCCTCGACCTTGGATTGGTTGCTAATAATACTACAATATAGCTCGAAGCCGAGAAAGCCAGTGAAGCACTTCGACGCCAAAGGGAACAAGACCAAAACCGCGAACGAGAGCTGGATGATGTGAGACGCCGCGAGCGATCAGACCGCGGACGCGGAGGACGAGCTGGTGATCGCGGTGGCCGTGGAGATCGGGGACGAGACTTCAACAGACGATACTCGCCTCCCAGAGACCGAGACCGCAGCCGAGACCGCTTCCGCGAACCTACATCTCGACGTGACTTCGACTCCTACGTGCCAACTGGTAATCGTGGCGGCCGTCGGCCATCCAGATCTCCACGCGGCACCCGTTCTCCATCTCGATCCCCAAAGCCATCTTCCCCATCTCGCCGGACCCGCGAGGAGCCCCGCCACAGGCGACGCGAACGTCGCTCCCGTTCCCCAAGCAACTCAGTATCTCCTGAGCGACGCAACCGCGGAGGAGCCAGAAGGCGCAGCAGTCCGGATTACGGTGATCGTGTTAAAGCAAGACCCATTTCCCGCAGCCGTTCCCCGCGCTCACGTTCCCCCAGAGGATACCGCCGCCGACAAAACTCCGTCTCTCGCAGCCGCAGTGTATCTTCGCCTCGCCACACCCGGCGCCAGGCAGACTCTCGCAAGTCCGTATCTCGCTCGCGATCCCGCCGCTCATCTGGACGCTATGCCCCCCGCGACTCTCGTCGCTTGAGCCGCAGCCGCAGCCGCAGCCGAAGCCCTGACCGTACCGCTGCACGTGATCGTGGTGAGAACCGTCGCCGCCGCAGCCCCAGCGGTGGTCGGAGCCGTAGCCGCAGCCGCAGCCGCAGCGCCAAGAAAGACACTGATGGCAAGCGGCGCCGCTCGATTGAAAGATACAACTCCGATGAGAAACGACGCAAGATGGCTGATGAGAACGAGGACTCCACCCGAACACCCTCGAAAACTGATGAACCTTCCAAAGCTGATGACAGTGAGACAAAAGTTGCCGAGCAGGTTGGTCATTGAGAATAGAGATCCCGGTCCAACCTCCACCTTGTATCCTTTACCACCCAGATTCAATTCCTACTTAATGTTCGTCTAAAAATTTCACATGTCATGCTGTCTCTTAAAATTGCTATGTTGAATCTGATACTAATGAACTTGCAACACTTAGAACAAGAAGCCCCTTCCCTCGTGGATAAACTCAACTGAATTTCGTGAGAAATTACTTCGTGAGCGATGTATTGCTATGCGTCGCCGATCTGGCGAGAAGCCGAGTAGTGCTTCACAGCCAAAGCAGGACTAAACGACAGCAGCAAGAACCAGTTGGAGGGAGTAACACTGGCCGTGTGACACTTGAACTTTGAGATTTACGCCAACCAAATGTGTGCGTTCTAGCGCTGTACATGTAGATGTACTTTGTAAGAATTCCAATTACTGTTTCTTTCTTTTTTTATCATGATTGACGTGCTCTGTTGCACTGTAAGGTGGAATTGTAGACAGCTGGTAGTTGGTGACATGCTCAGTTCAGAAGATTTTTAGGTACGAAAATATAGCGCTAAAATTGTATCAAAAGAGCCAACACAATAACAAAGAAAGGAATGTACTCCATTAAAGGGAAAGTATATGTATAGGTTCAAGTCATTAGTAAACAAAGGATCTTCAGAATGCCAAATCCGCCGAGAAAAGACCCTGACAATGAACCCAGAACATGAAATACACATGATATACATGATGAACAGGATCATTCAATCGCCACACAAGCCGATTAGAATTAGAATTAGATATCTACAGAGACGCCAGAGGGGGAGGGACGGCAGACGGCAGATCACAGGGTGGGATAGAGGTACGAGACCTTCTCGGGTCGTGGCTTCGGAATACGTGTATGGTGTCTGCTTTACTCGCAGCCGCAGACGGTGGCAGTCACAGTTTTGGTGACGGTAACATTATCAGAGCCAGAGTCACCACCAGCGGAGGGCACGGCGGGAGGGCTGGTAGGGGCTGGGGCAGATGGAGCGGGGCCGGAGGGGGCTGGGACACCGGGGATGACGGTCGAGCTGACGATCGCGGAGGTCTCGGTGTCACAGGGAACGCTAGCGACAGGAGTGCCGGTGGGAGCAACGCCGGAGGGAGTCTCAGCAGGGCCGGAAGGAGCTGGGACACCGGGGATCACGGTTGAGGTGACAATCGCGGAGGTCTCGGTATCGCAGGGAGTGCTGGCAGCAGGGCCGGAAGGAACTGGGACACCGGGAATCACGGTTGAGCTCACGATAGCGGAGGTCTCGGTGTCGCAGGGAGTGCTGGCAGCAGGGCCACTAGGGGCAGGTCCAGAAGGAGCGGGGCCGCTGGCGACAGGGGTGCCGGAGGGAGCAACGCCGGAGGGAGTCTCAGCAGGGCCGGTGCCGGAAGGCACGGCAGGGACGGAGACGGTCTTGGAGCCAGACTCTTCGGGGCCACCGGGAATCACAGTGGAGCTGATAATCTGCGAGGTCTCGGTGTCACATGGGGTGGAGGTGGCATCGGGGCCGGAGGGAGCAGGGCCACTGGGGATGGGGGTGCCGGTAGGAGCAACGCCTGAGGGGGTCTCAGCAGGGGCGGTTCCGGTGGCGGCAGGGACGGTGACAGTGACAGAACCGGAGCCGTTGGGGCCGGGGATCACAGTAGAGCGGACAATCTCCGAAGTCTCGGTATCACAGGGGGTGCTGGTGGCGTCGGGGCCGGAGGGAGCAGGGCCGCTGGGGACGGGGGTGCCGGCGGGGACAGAGACGGAGGCGGAGGGAGCAGGGCCGCTGGGGACGGGGGTGCCGGCGGGGACAGAGACGGAGGCATCGGGACCGGAAGGCACAGCGGAGGTGCTGGACACGTAGGGGGTGCTGGAGGGAAGGCTGGGAACTGAAGACGAGGCAGGGGCAGAGGGAGCACCAGGGATGCTGCAGCCGGTGAACCACTGGATGATGATGATCTGGATGCTGACATCGATGTCAATGGAAGTGCAGCCACTGAGGAAGGCAGCGAGCTCAGCACGGGCGCTCAAGGTCAGGTCAAGGAGGCTACCGCCGGCAGCGCAGACGGAAAGGGCACCACGGAGGTCAACGCTGAGATCGGCGAGGGTGTTGGTCAGAAGACCGGTGACACCACCGAGGAGGCCGCCAACAAGGTCGACAGCAGCGGAGACATTAGCCTCGACACCGAAGGACAGCCAAAGAAGGACGACAGCCTTAAGCTCAACGCCCAGAGAGCAGTCGGCGCTGGTGAGCCAGATGGCGAGCTTGGTGCGAATGTCAAGGTCCACAGCGGTGGCGAGCTCGCCCTTAGCGCATGCCTCGAGAGCCAGCTTGACATCAGCAGCGAGATCAGCGGCGAGATCAACGCCCAGGAAGGCCGAGAGGGAGGCCTGGCCGCCAACAGACAGAATGCCAGACTCCAGGACGTGCACGCCGACGGAAGCACCGACGGAGATGGTAGAAAGAGCAGTGTCAGCAAGAGCACCAATTTCGACAAGGTCACCACCAGCATGACCATTGATCCAGGCAAGGACCGAAACCTTGAGGTGAGCGCTGAGGTCACACTCCTTGCTGTCGATCCAAGCGAGGAGGGCGGCCTTGATGTCAGCCGACAGACTGCCGACAACACCACCAGCAGCGCAGACGTTCAGACCGAGCTTGACAGCAACATCAAGATCAAGCTTAGCCTCGATCCAGGCGGAAAGAGAAGCCTGAGCACCAACACTCAGGACGAGAGCGGACTCGAGGCTGGCAGCCTCAAAAATACCGTCGATAGTCACGTAAAGCTGGCCCTTGGCAGCGATATCGGCACATCCGGGGATGTAAACGGACAGAGCAGCCAGGACATCCTCGGAGAGGACGAGCTCGTCGTTACCCTCACACCACGAGATCAGGGACTTCTTGAGTGAGAGGTCGAGGTTGGCGTGGAAGAGCAACCAAACTTTGAGGGCCGCCTTCGCCTTGTGGTCGATGACACCGGACTTGCAGCCGAGAGCACCTCCCTGGAGGGCGGCAGCACCCTCAGCACCCAGACCAGCTAGGAGTTCAACGGAGGAGTGGCCGCCGAGGACGGCACCAAGGATAGAAGTCACGTCGACAGTGATGTCGCCAAGGAGCTCACCAAGGAGCCCCAGGGTACGGCGCTCAACAGCCATATCGGCAGGGTAGGCGAGAGCAGAGCCCGCCAGACCGGCGAGCAGAACGAGAGAAGAACGCATGTCGAGTGTTGCGTTGTATTAACGAATGTATAGACGACCAAAAGCGATTGGAAGTATAAAGGCTTCTGAACAAGGATATACAAAAGCGAAAGACTGGATAGGCAGGCAAAAGCCGCCAAAGAATTAACGATAGACTGGTGAAAAAAGAGAAAAGAGAAAGAGACAGTTGAATGATTGAAGATCCGAAGAGGTGATCGCCATGGTTGTTTATATACCCCTGATGAACTGTGAGCCGGGAGGCTTCCGGGCATCGGTTCAAGGTACCCATCGGAACAGACTCATATTGGTTCTACCCCGGTCTCCAGTTCCACATTTGGAGCTATCGACCCCTTAGGCTTCAGGGATGGTGGGAAATGGAGACTGTGGGATCTTTCAAGGGCAAGTGGATCATGACTCCTAAGGCTAACAACAGGTGCGACGAGTGCATTACCGCATTGTGGACCTTCCACCGGAGCTATTTTTGGTTGGGGAGTTGCAAAAGGTATCGAGGTATCATATAAGTATCATACCACAATCTGGATCTCAACTATCTGAACTATATCCGGGCCATTGAGGTAAATCCATTCAAAAGACTTGGAAGAAGTGACCCCTAGAAAATCCCAATGGGAAATAAACAACTAAAATAAAAAATAAAAATAAAAATCATAAAAAGAAAAGAAACTGCCAAGTCATAAGGGGAAAGAGATCAACAAGATCAGCCTTGGAACGGTTGAAACGTTTTGACATCCCATTTTTTGTATCAACTTGGCAGCCCCTTTCCATGCACAGTCTGAACTATATTCTACTCTACTTGACATAATTACGATGGAGTACGCCTTACAGCCCTGCAAGTCCAAGTATCGAAGTGAGTATCTGAATCTAATGAACTTAAGAAGTGTATGCGGCATTCCGAGTGGCCTGTTGCGACTCTTATGTCCCACCCGGGGAATTAGTCCAGGCACAGCATGCACGCTTTTAACCACATCAGGCAAAGATGGACACGTCGAATTCTATTAAACTTGCAAGACCTGTCAATTCAAGATACAGGATATCAAGGATTCAAGGCTATTTACGGAGTAGTTGGGAACGTGTCAGCCACCGACTGGATTTTTAGTCTACTCATTGTGAGGTACAACAACTCCCTCAGACAATAACTATAATTTAGTAGGCGCAATAGTACAACGTGAGAGACTGTCCTAAAGTATACTCCGTATGGTCATGGGAATGAATATTGTTAAATTTGACCGGCTACGAACAGTACATCATAGACCAACTATTGCAGATAAATACTACAACACAGAGCCGACACCAGCAGTTGAACCCAATTTTTCACCAAGAGTTTGCTTGAGATAGAGCTACGGATTACTAACGCAAAAACATGGATAGCAGCATCTAGGCCTTTCTAGTGTTGCTGCCTGCGCTAGTCAAGACGCTACTTAGTCGGGCTTGAAATGTGAACGGAAGATGAAGTGATGCACTTTGTCGGTTGCAAGACAAATAAGAATAATCTATTAAAGATTGATTAATATAAAAAATGTACTAAAAATGCCTTAGCTTCCAGTGTGGGGAAAGACTATCCCTGAAAACTCGTAGGGAGTAGTTTGTCTATACTTCCTGATGGTGCGATATTCCATGGAGGGGCAACTAGACGAATAGCGAAACAGTACTAAGTTCATTGGGGGCTGTTAAATGGATTCGAGGAATAACAGCCATTAAGCTTCTCTTCTCTGCTCCACAAACTACCTGCTCTCAAACGACACTAAAACCGCCCTAACCACCTAACCCCCATCCACCTTGGGAACCGGTTCGTTTTTTTCGACACCTTACCCATGGATCCTGAGAGATTTTACGGTGATCAGCCCTTCAGAGACATATTGAAACAAAGCACTAAAATAGCCGGAGAATAATACAATGTATACTCTGTAATCCGTATGGAACGGTAGTGTAGTGATCTGCATGGATCCAATATGTCTCACCCCACGAGGAGCCCCACGAGCACTGCAGACTGTGCACGTGATCGGAAGCCTCTCAACTTTTTCCTGCTCTTTGGAAATTGCGCTCGGCCTGATTTTCAAGAGGCGATGCAAGATGTGGGACTGCAAGCTGCAGTTTCTCATTAGCTGCAGCTCCCCGACTGTCCGGTCCAACGCGGGAGGGTATCTTTGCAACCTTTGCAACGGATATCTCGGGAAAAATGACCAAAAGGAATTAACAAGTCATGGAACAGATCTAGGTCGATAGAAAGGTTCTTCGGGATTCGAAAGAAAACGTACAAAAAGTACGTTCATTTCATTCCTGACTTGATGGCCCCCTAATCCTTCATTGAATAATAATCCTACTTTGGCCAAACACAACGAACTCTTGATATTATCTGAGATACGGGTACGGAGTACAATACGAATTGGGAGTACAGTCTAGAACAAAGAACACTATTTGAAAATATATAGCTCCCAAAACAGTGCTCCGTAAGCTTCAACTAGTTCAACCGCCTCTCTCCTTGGGTGAGACAGTCATCCGGAATTGGTCGAGAATAGTCTTAGAACTATAGCTACGATGTGCTATTGGTTATTTTATTAAAGTAGCTTTGTTGTGATATTGAAATCGCAAAACATGGAAAAATGTTCACCCCGACATCCGAGGTCCTTTTTTTCAGATCTCTCATACCGAGGTGTTATATTCCCCACCCCCCCTTTGCTTCGGATGGCGTCGGATGTTTTACCTTATGAGAATCAGAAAGACGAATTTTCAAACATGTTCGAACCTTAGCCCAATGCTCAGATCCACGGTCCACCAGGGTCAAACACCTCCTTGAAACAGTTGCTATTTTTGTTTCTCGATCGCACAGATAATCAGTGATCCACGGCAAGATCTGCCGGTGAAATGCCCTAAAGCTTCAAAAGCCATAGCGGATAATTCGGGAAGCGCTATCAGAGTTTCTACGGTGGGGATAGGTTGCATTGGGCTGAAAGCGAGACATCCTCAAACCGATGGCTCCCGATTCTCACCTTGAAACATGAGCTTGGCAAGCCTCAGGTACACCCGATCTAGACGGTATGCACACTTTTGGAAAAGAAGTGCACCGGCAGATAAATCTCTCATACTAGCATCCCGCTTGCAAGTTCCCTGCTATCCATGAACACATCGGTGGCTGGACAGATGACCCCAACTATCACGAAAGTGGAAACGTCCTTGGATCGTACGACTCGACACGACCGCTCGGTTCTGCTGAGATGGAAGAAACAGGGACCGGGATCTTATTCCTGCTGTCCCGACCGACTCTCCTCAATCGATCGCCGCATTCATACAGCAACACAAACCATTCCTTCTACTCTATGGTGAGCTCCTACATCATCCACTGTCCTCTCAAAACCCATATCACACCTCGAGTAGTAGTTATACCGAATTAGAACCAAGGTAGAAGGCTTTCCGAATGCATTCTTGAAGACAAGACGAGATGTCCCATGTCACATGTGAAGAGTAGTATGGCTTGAAGGCATAATCAATTTTGGAAGTCCCGAGGTTGGTTCAATGTACAGAGTACCACGGTAAACACTCCGATGTAGACTGGTTGCTGGGAAATTTTCTAGAATGTTCCCGTTCTATGGTTCTCGATAAGTTTATTAGTACAAACCCTATTTCTTCGATAGCTTCCATAGTCGGAGTAACACTGCATTTGTGAAAGAGATTCTATTTATCAACATCCAAAATCCCACCATTCCGATTCTATCTTGACTATAGCAAAGGAAAGAGCAGCATGCTGATCACGAAACTCAAGTCGAGTCCTTGATCTGACCTAGTCTACTTCGGATCCAAGTAGCAAACGGCCCAAAGAAATGTGTATCACTATTCCCCGGCCGTTCACAGAACGCCAGAAGAGCCTGATATCGTTGAGACGCAGAGGTTGGAGTGGTACAAAGAAGCTTCGCCAGATCGACCGGACAGAGATAAGGCGGCTGTCTGGCGTCCTCGGAGATAGAAGCGGTGCCCTGCATTGAGCACGCGTAGTAGACGCAATGGGCAATACCGAAGCAGTGGCCCAACTCATGGCTCGCCGTTCGACAAACACGACCCAACCAGAGTGCTGGCAGTAACAAAGGCGAGGAATCTACCTCCGGGAGGGAGCGGTAGACTGATGCTGCATCCTTCACAGGTCCATTTAGCTCCGAAGTCAGATTTTGTGACCCTCGGCTATTGACCTGAGGTCTTTTCTGTCTCTTGGAACTTGGTTCTGTCGAAGCACATGAAGACATGTACTTCTCACAATGCGATGCAGGCCATGCATGGAGGCGTTCGACATCTTGAATAGTGTCCAAATTGGGATTGTATCTTGCACTGGATACCACTGCAACGCGACTTCCTCCGTACGCACGACCACATACAAACTCGTCATCGTCGTCTTCGTAGAGATCGAAGTCCACCAGCATCAAGAGGGCATATGCGTCCTTCGGTAAAATGCTAATGGCAACATCGAGAAGATCGTCTAGGTTGACTTGGCCCCCATATACCCCATTTGACAAGGTACGTGAGCGAATCCGCACGCACTCATCGCCGGATTTTAGACCCAAGTATTGCGGGCCTGTCTTTTTTTGGGGTCTTCTTTTGGGCTCTTTCCATGGAATAAACCGCAACGTAGATGGTGGCATCATCTTAACAGGAAGACCGTGATAAAAGGCAGACAGATAGTCTTGAACATCCTTCGTACCAGGGGGCTTCGTGGAAAGCGCATGGTCTGAACATTTTGGCGTTGTCCATGTTCGCATGAAGTCAACATCTGCGTCAATTTGAGGAGATGGGACGACATAGATGGTTTTCTGTTTTGCGGTCACCGGATTGCGGTGTTCTTCATCGAGCCATTCTTGAAAACTCTGCGGGTCTTCTGGATCCCCGGCAAGATCATCGCCAGGCAGCAACAAAGGGGCTGGAAAAGCTCTGTCGTCTTCCTCAAGGAAGAGTTGGTCTTCTCGTGGGAAGCTTCGGTTGTCTGCTTTGATCGCAGCGAGACGTTGCCGTTGGCCTTGTCTTCTGAAACCTGCTATGGCAGCATGAGGAGAACAGGACAAACAGACAGACGTATGATCACACTTTGAGATGGGTCTTTGTGGCATGCTGGAGATTTTATTCTAAATGTGAGGAAAATGATGTGGAAGAGACCTTCGAAGGGGGTTATGACATGTCTGTTAGGTGCACGAGCCCTTACGAAGTACCTAAGTAGTCATCCAGGAATTGAACCATTCCGTTTTCACAGGAAATTATATCTCAACAAATAAAATGTAGAGTGATATATTACCCAGTATTTCATTTTTGACGATAATGGTAAAGAATTTGGAAGTTGGTGAGCGGCCTGAGAACTGTCTTCTACCTCTGACCTTCTAGCTTGTTTGCCCTTCGCCTTCCCTAATTCTCCATCTCCCAGATACTTGTTTCCTGATTATCCATCACCCTGGACTTAACCTTGTAAGCATGACTAAAACAGCAGAAGGCCTGCACCGGGATTCCGACCCAAGACGGGTATTGATAGCGATGCTTTAAAACACCCACATATACCCCAGGACAAGCATAACGCGCCAAGGCAATTCCACTCTTCCAAACCCCATCCTCGCTCCCTCTGAATATGACTCTGATATATTCATTCAGAAATAGAAACCAACACTGCTAAGAAACCCTACTGTACGAGGCAATATGATGAGGGATCAGGAGGTGACAGATGAACCGGAGGTTGCTCCAAAGCTTAAGCCCCGGAGTCGCGATACGTGAGCGTATGATTTCATCTGCTTAAGCAGGGAATTGACCTTTGCAGATATCTCGGTTCTTTTTTGTTCAACCTAGGAGCGTTCGCCCTTCCAGCCTTGTACAGCACCCTCAGCAAGCTCTGGGTGGCGAACATCGACGCGAAGCAAGTCGTCATGAGAGATGTGTACAACTACATTGGAGTGATTGTCGAAGTGCTCAACGAGGGCCTGCCCCGCTGTCCATGGCTGGTTATTGGGACAACTCTACGCGGACTGTCCGCTCACGACTGGACCTGGCCTACACAATGATCATTGCACAGACTACCCTTGGAATAATAATGACAGTAATATTCTTGGCTGCATCCAAGACTGTAGCCTCGGGATTCGTTCCAGTGGAAGTACGACTAACCTCGATCACCTATGTACGACTGTCATCTGTACAGACCGTGACGTCTGCTATAGAAGTGGCGTTGTCTGCCTCAACAAGGGCACTGGATAACCCGACGTACCGCTCATCGTCAGCTCTTCGAAGTTCTTCATCAACATTGTTCTCGATTTACTAGTCATCTCAAAGGTACACGTAGGTGGCTGGAAACCTACGATTGTTATGCAGGCCATCATTCGGCTTGTTTGCAAGAGTGTATCGTCTTTGGTCGGACTGATATACTTCTTCACTGTTGTCGTGAGACGTTGCCAAAAGGATACAGACGGTCCACATAGGCTGCACTGCAGATTTTCTGCTTTGTTGATACTTGTCAAACCTAGTGTTTGCACATTTGCCGAGTCGGCTATCCGAAATGCGATTTATCTGTGGCTTGTCCATAGAATCATTCTGTTAGGAAGTGACCATGCAACTTCATGGGGAGTCTTCAACACCATCCGATGAGGGCTCCTTACGGTTCCCGCGCAGGCATTGGAGGCTTCCACTTTGGCCTTTGTGGGTCATAACTGGGGCCAATTCCGAGCTCGAAGTGGTACTCCATATGCTAAGGCGACCAGGAAAGACATTATTGGTAGGTGTGATGCCTGGATTTGTGAGAGCTACTTGCTGGATTGTCCTCGTAGAACTGATTCGGCCAGCATTCTGCTCCTGCATGATTGCACTGGTTTTCGAGACCATCACTTGCATTGCATTGTCGCTGCATGGGATAGAGGCATTTGCGCATTATCTATCTGACTCGACCGTTGTGGCAAAACCCACTCAGACAATGTGGAAAGTAAGCACTGAAAAGAATCAATGGCGAGCATCACCTCCATTGACATATAACAAAATATCGACTGGACCTACATATCCTATGGTTTAAGTTGTTAGATAGCGGCAATTCTTCCTGCGACATCCCCGCATGGTATCTCTACCAGTCGCTCGGATCCAATTTCCTTTGGATGTTGCCTTGGGCAATTGCCGTTACAGTCATATCCTTGCCGAAATCTTTAGCATGGACATATTATGCAGTCATATTTGGCGGAGCCCTTGTTTTCGACTTTGTTGACGTGAGCCTGACTGCCGCTCTGTTGACTTACAGGCTCACTAGAGGGAAGCTCCAAACGGGCTCAGACAGACAGAGCAATTAAAACAACATACTCAACCCTGTTATTCAACTAGTGGTGCTGGTTGGTACGTTTCGCACGGTATAGACTGGACCAGGAAATTAAAACGCCCCCGAGATGTTTAGACATCTTCTGAATTTGACAACATTGAAATTTGGTATGAAAAGAAATACTAAAGGCTGCCCTCGAATCACATATCAAACGTTACTCAACACTATTTGCAGCCCTTGAATGAAGCGCTGAACATCATCCTCACTGATCAACTGTCGGTTACCCTCAAACTCAAGATCCAGCTTCCCATCCCGTGGAGTAGCATAAATTTCTGGTCGGTTTCGAGGCAGCAGATCCGGTTCGTAGAATGATATCCGACTTTCCGTCCCAAGGAAAATGAAGTTGCGATCATCTTCTTGCTGGAAAGAGGTCCGCCAGCCAAAGTCCTTTGCGTCATCTGGCCAGTCAGTGCAGTTCCGGATAATTTCATCCATCCCGGCGGTTTCGTATCGGGCATCCTCAATAATCTGACGCTGTAATTGCAATGCAACGCTCGAAAGAGTAGCATGGTCATCAATGTGCACGCTGATAGGGATCTCTGTCATAGATGGACCGACCACATTTTGCAGATTGCTCGGTAGCATCGACCGGCCAGTGACCAGACGACCGAAAACAACATGAGCCTGTTGGTACTGGCGGGACAGTACCATCGCACAGGCGGCATGGAATAAAGTTGCGGGCGACATCCCCTCAACCAACCGGCTTTCGGGCATTGGGATTGTCGCCTTCACAGTCAGCCGGTCCATTGTAGTGTACACCCGGTTGGAGTAATCAACACTACTCCAGTTGGGATTCGGCGCGGGCTTGAGTCGTGAAGCCCAGTAGGCGAGCGCGTTTGCCTTTTCCTCCTCCCTATAGGTGATATATTGGGTAAACTCCGGTTGGTTAGGGAGATTGTCCCCGCAATAGAGTGAAGAGAGACTGCGGAGGACTGTATCCCAGCTGAAGCCGTCGAATTGGGCGTGCGAGATCCGGAAGATGAGTCGGTGCTGCCCAGAGGAACTCCGCACTGCCATGAATCGAATCAAAGAAGAGCCAAAGGTTCGAATCCTTTTTTGATCCAGCTCACAAATGGAATCAACAAAGGCCGTGATATCATCGTTATGAGATGCCTGGAAGTTATCATACGGGGGTTTCAAATGTTCCAGTACGACCTGCCAGAATCGACCGTGCGCTTGAATGAACACCGTACGAAGGATGTCGTGATGGTCTATTAACTTGCGGCACGACCATTCTAACCGCGAGAAGTCGACATCCGCTGGAAGATCGAAGATCCAATGCGGCAATCGGCTGGGCGGACTCTGGAAAGCATCGAGAATTGCACAGGTCTGGAAATCGGTGCAAGGAAGTACATCCAGAACAGTCCCAGCCCCTGGGTCGAGGAGCGGATCGACAAAGTCAGCGAGGAAGGACTTTGGATCATTAGTCTCCAGCAAAGCGAAGGGTCTCGACAATGGCAGAGACTGCACTGTAGTGATTTCCTGCACTAAAAGTGCAAGTTGAGAGAGCCGCGGTGCGTTGAAGATATCCGCGACTGTGAGCGAGAGCTTCTCATTTTGTGCCGCTGCCACTAGTCGCATAGCTGCGATGGATTCTCCACCGATTCTGAGGAAGTTGCTGTCGGCATTGATGATGTTTGCATCTATTCCAAGAACCACCGACCATAGTGCTTGCAGCTTCTGTTCTATGACAGTAGTTGGTGCGCGATGGGTCTTCCCATGGGACTGTAGTTTTGCCAGCTTCTCCAAAGTCTGAACGGCTCCCAACTGCCGTAGAGCTCTTCTATCTGTTTTGTCCGTGGTAGTCATTGGAATCTTTTCAATGGGGATGTAGGCGCCAGGAATCATGCTAGGAACAAAACATAATTAACATCAGCCGCATTTGTCGAGAGCTGGGAAAGTGCAGTTGAATCAGGGAATACATACTATTGCGGTAGACAATTAGAAAGCCTGTCCTCCAAACCGTCGATCAAGCGTGTGAGCTCCAATAAAGTGTCTTCCTCAGACCGGGCCTTTTCAAGAGGAGACAGGGCGAAAAAGACGGCGAGAATAGGAGCGCTGTTGTTGGGCGTAATGATCTCTGCCGCAAGGCCATCACACAGATCAGAATTGCGCAGATTAGCACGGATATGGTATTCTACTTCAGCCAACTCAATCCGCTGGCCTCGTAGCTTAACCATGCCATCCTTACGGCCGAAGAAATTTAGCGACCCATCTGAGTTGTATCGAAGTAGGTCACCTGTCTTGTATAGGGTGGCCTGGCGGCCAGGGAGGTTCGGTGCGCCTTGCAACAACCAGGGTGGGTTGTGGATATACGCGGCCGCAGTTTTTCCCGAGTCATCGAAGTACCCTCGACTGACCGTGGGGCCCTCAATGAGAAGCTCTCCTACAGCGCCAATCGCGGCCAGACGATCGGGACAGCCCGGTTGCACCAGCCATGCCCGGGCCCCATATGAGTACCCTACATGATTGCTGGGCCCGTTAGGCCGCAGAAGTGTGAAGGTCAGGGCCTGTGCACACTCAGCTGGACCGTAGATTCCAATGACGGCCTCGGCCTGCTTCCACCGAGCAATCTCGGTGGTGGGAATGGGTTCACCCCCCATGGCCAGGGTCTTGAGTCCAGGCATACTTGATGGCTCCAGGGATCGGACCACGGAAGGGGTGAAGTAGGAATAGTTGCAATTCATGCGGTTGAACGCTCCTGTAATATCATTTCGGCGCTCCAACTCGCTAGGAATACAAAGACAGCCTCCGCGGATCAATGTTTGAAGGGTGTTGGACCACGATACGTCAAAGCTGTACGAGACAAAGTCGAATACGCGTGTGCCTGGTTGAATACGCAGCATCTCTGCCTGATGCACTGCGGCAGATGCAAAATTCTGATGTGTAGTCACGACGCCTTTAGGTGTTCCCGTGGAGCCGCTGGTGAATACCACTGATATTGAATAAGTTAGGACAGTCATTGGATAGATAGAAGAAAGAGAGTAGAGGCGCACCATATAGCACATCGGATGGGTGAACTGTGGGCAAAGGCTGGGTGAGAGTGTCTTTAGCCACTAAGTCGAAGTAATCCTGGTCAATAATCATGACCTCGGCATCAGATAAATGACCTGCCAATCCAGCAGTCTTGGCCGATGCTAGCACAACCCGAGGATTGACTTGTCTGACAATGGACTGTAGTCGGGATTCTGGTTGAGTCGAATCCATTGAGAGACACGCAGCCCCTGACTTCATCACTCCAAGAGCTGCAACTGGATGCCACATGGACTTCTCAAAGCAAAGTGGAATGATGCTACCGGGACCAACACCAAAAGCTCTCAAGTGCGAGGCCAAATGCTTGGAAAGTTGGTCCAGCTCGAAATACGATAAATGGCCGTTCCAGGCACAGATGGCTGGTTGGTCTCCATAGTCTTGCGCAGTTGTAGTAATCAAGCTGTGCACGCATTCAGGAATTGCCGGGGGGACTGACGAGTTCCACTCCCATAGCTCTGCTAGATCGGTGCCACTGAGAGTCTGAATGTGATCGACAGGCTGCGTTGTGGCCATGCATACTTGACGCAAGACGTGCTCGAATTGAGAGGCAATTCGCTCCATCTGCGCTGCATCCACCACCCTAGAATCAAAACTAAACTCAAGCTGAAGGCCATTCGTATTCGTAAGTTGGCACACGATCATGATAGCATTTGGATTGGAGTCATCCAGATCTTGAGTTGCGGAGACTAGTTCCCTTGGATACTCATAGGGGCCATTAGGATGATCAGTAGACTGGCCTTGACTTGCAGGCTGAACAACGAGAAGAGTATTGAATCGGCTTCCACGATCGGTGTTTGTGTCAATGCGCCGAATTGTAAGAACCTCTGTCTGCTCGTAGGCAATCATGTCAATAGACTGCCTTTGGATGTTAGCGAGCAGACTATCCACGGATTCTTGGAAGTCAAGTTTGACTCGGACAGGCACAGCATTTATAAGAGGAGCGACTATGCGGTCTAGACCTTGGAGAGGAGCCTGTCGGCCCGTAACCATGGCGCCAAAAACTACATCGTCCGAGTCCATGTAGCGCGCAGTGAGGATGGCCCATGATGCACGGATGACTGTGAGGATAAGTATGTCAGTAACCCCTGGGGAAATAGTAGCGTGATGAAAGGGACAACAGAAACATACTGGTTGACGGAGTGACATCTCGCTGTGGCCACTGGAATACCTCCAAACTACGTCGTACTGTGCTATCTGCTTTGGGTTGATGATCCGCATGAGGCAATGCTGGAAAGGGAATTGCCTCAAAATTTGCGAATTGACGACTCCAGAAGTCCTTTGTCTTATCATAATCAATTGCCATCACATACTTGATGAAAGCTTGGAACGATGCCACTGGAGTATGATCACCAAGGCCGGCATCGTAAGCCTTGGACACCTCCTCCACGAGAAGGTTCAATGAATAACCATCATATATCGCATGATGCTGGGTTAGCAGGCAATAAGTGTCCTGGCTGCGATCGTCTTCCACAATGGCAAGCCGAGTCAACGGGGTGGCAAGGCCCATGGGCCTGGTTTGATATTTTTGGAGATATTGCTGCAGTGGTTGAGTGACGTCCCAGTGTAGCGGTTCATCCACTATACCTTGCACGAGCCCCTCCCTTGGACAGTCCACAATTCGTGAACGAAGGATAGGGGCAGAAGTCCTACTCACCATTTCCCATGCATTCATGAGACGTGACACATCGACATTCTTCCTCAGCTTGAGCAAGAGTCGAGCGACATACGAGTTGGCGCGCTTGGCGGTCATGGAGAGCAGCGACTTTTGGACACCCGTGCAAGGGAAGATGTCTTCAATTTGACTGACGTGGATATGGCATTGGCTGGCGAAGTCATCCAAGATAATGTTTTGTTCCGTGGGGTGCTTCAGGAGAGAGAAGGGATTGACCACTTCCACCTCGTTGGCTTCTGTAGAGATCAAGGCTGACATTGCCTGTGCCATCTCCGACAATCGCGGCGTGGTTAGAATATCATGAACCGATAAGCCTAGCCCTTGCATACGAGCCAAAGAGGCCAACCGCATCGCCGAAATGGAGTCGCCGCCCAGACGAACGAAGCTGCTTTCAGCCCCGATCTTCTCGGCGGGTACACCGAGGACTTCAACCCATAAAGTTTGTAGGTGGCACTCAGAGGTTGTGCTGGGGGCCAAGGTAGTTGCAGGGCCATCGTTGCGCGCCAAGAATTCTAGAGTCAAACTGGAACCCATCTCGCGCAGCCGTCGTCGGTCGGTCTTACCACTCACTGCCATCGGCATAGATGGGGTTGCGATGTAAGTTGCAGGTACCATGTAAGATGGGACCCGGTTCGGCAACTCAGCTTCGAGCGAAGGCAGCAAGTCGGCCAACTGTCCTTGGTCGCAATCGATAAAAACGGCAAGCATCGGCCGACCTGTGGCGATTGGCTCTATAACCTCTGCCACTGCCGTTGGCGGAGTTCCTGACGCAGATCGATCCATCAAGCACTGTATGACATGATGCTCAACATCTGCAAGCTCGATGCGTTGGCCTCGCAGTTTCACCTGTGTATCCTTTCGGCCCACGAACGCGATATCTCCAGTGAGCGGATGATATTTGACAAGGTCACCAGTTTTATACAGCCGACCACGCCGTCCCGGCACTGATCCATCGGGGGAGCCCTGACCTAACCAGTATGGATCCTCAATGAAGGCGGCTGCTGTTTTCTCTTCGTTCTGGAAGTAACCTTGTCCCACTAGAGGCCCCTCGAGGTATAGCTCACCTACCGTTCCAAGAGGTGCTAGTCGGTCTTGGTTGCCTGGGTCCACCACCCAAGTCAGGACGCCAATGCCTTTGCCAATAGAGTGGCCAGTAGCGGCTGTTGCCTTGGGAACTCGATGATAGAGGACAATAGCAGAGCATTCCGAAGGTCCATATACCTCGAATGTGTCGACATGTGGCGACCATCGAGCGAGATCCTCTGGCAAGACCGCCTCACCCCCGAGAAAGAGATAGCGCAGGGTAGGAATACGCTGTGGGTCTATGAACCGCGCAGTAGAGGGAGTTAAGAAAATATGCGTCGTCTCAAACCGGCGCATGCTCTCGGTCAGATCGCTTTTCCGTTCTTCCTCGCTGGGGATACATAGGGTGCCTCCAGCGTTCCATACATGAAAGAGGGACCAGTAGACTGCATCAAAGGAATAGGAGGAAAAATCGTACAAGCGTGTCGTTCGATTCATTTCAAGCGTGGCTTGCTGATGGGCGACTGCACTGGTGAATTGTTGGTGACGCATGAGACATCCTTTGGGGGTTCCGGTACTACCACTTGTAAAGACGGTGTATAAAAGATCATCTGGAGATACGGACGGCAGATTGTGGCTTTCGGCGGTTCCATTCACCCCATCCACCTCAAAGAAGGTCGATCCCTTGCCCAAGGCCACTGGACAAGGCACCCATCGGGAACAGCGCTGTTCCTGGGAGATAGACGATAATAAAACGATGGGGTTCACCTGCTTCAATATACCATCAAGACGAGAATCTGGCAACGATGGATCCAATAGCAGAGTGGCGCCGCCAGCTTTTATAACTCCAAGAATAGCGAGCATGGCGTACAAGCTCTTCTCAAAGCAAAGCGGCACAATCATGTTCTTTCTCACACCCATCCGCACCAGATGACCTGCGAGCCTCGTTGACATCCGATCTAACTCAGCATATGTTAAACTACCATCCCACCCAGAGATGGCCACTGCGTCAGGCTGCCGTTGCACTACTTCTTTGATTAGATCATGCATGCATCGATCTATAGCGGCAGGCAAGTTCGCGTTCCACGTCCAGATGTCATTCAGATGAGACTGTGTCATCAGGTTTACATCTCCCAGCGTAGTATGCCGCAACCCCTGTGTCCACATGCTCCGAAGGGCCTGGTCTAAGTGAGCTGCCATGGTTTGAATTGTTTCTGACTGGATGATGGCAGAGTCATAGCAGAATTCGACCTTCAGCCGACCTGGCTCCAGGTTGCACACTACCGATAACGCATAAGAGCTAAAGCTATGGTATCGGGTGGCCTCATCCTGCTCAGCAGGCTGGCAGACAAATAAGCCAGTATCGTCCATAGCCTGCTCGGGTGGTTGGATCACGAGCAAGGTCTGGAAGCGACATGCTTCTTTTGCCGGAGTGCTGACTTGCCGGATGTTCGACAATCCTGTTTGCTCATGGGGGACCATCTCTCGCTCTTGATCCTGGATAGACTGGAGAAATTGTGGAACTGTGGCATCACTTTTGATCTGCACACGCACAGGAACTGTGGCGATGGTTGGGCCTGCAATCCTCTCCGTACCCTGAATGGGGGCTTTGCGACCCATGACCACTGTGCCGAACACCACGTCGGACGAGATCGCGTATAGGCCGCATACAAGGCTGAATGCTCCGCGGATGATGGTAGAAGGAGTGAACCCATCCGTTCGCCATTTGACATTGTCGATTACGACAGTTCGGGTAGAATTTGTTCTTGGCTGGTAAGTATCGGAGGGAAGCCGTGGAAATTGCGAAGCTTCACAGCCTTTAAATTGTGTCTTCCAAAAGTTGGCTGCGGCTTCCTTGTTCTGACCGCATGCGTATTTGACGAAACTCTGGAACGGACATAGTCGAAGAGGCGTTTCCCCATTATAAAGACTCTTCAACGTGTCCATTATCATGGCTGAGGTCGGCCCATCATATATGGAATGATGCATAGTCAATGCAAAGGACCAGCGCACTGGACCAGAAGCACCGGACACTTCATTAGTTGACTTGTATGAGAACAACCCGCAACGCATCAGAGGGGTTCCCAACCCCATGGGATACCGATGATCTTGGCTCAGGTACTCTTCCACGCTCCCGGCATTGCTCCAGGCGGCTTTTTCTCTGACCACGACTTGAACAAATCCCTGCCCAGGAAGATCGACGATTCGTGTGCGGAGAATAGGCACGACGCGCACCAGCTCTTCCCAAGCGTGTTTGAAGCGGTAGGCATCTATCAAAAGCCCTAGCTCCTGCACATTGCGACCGGTGTAATCCCCGCCTGACTTGGTTGTTAAAGCTAGTAGACCTGTCTGTAGCGAGGTGCAAGGGAATAGATCTTCAATATCGGCCTCGTTGACGGTACAAGCGGATGCTGCCTGGTGGCGGGCGAGCTTCTGATCTAGGCCAGGATCCAACAGTGTAAAAGGCTCAATGCTGTCATCCGGTACATCCTCGAGGTTTTGCAACAGGCTGGCCATCTCTTTTAAGATGGGGAATTCCATCACCCCGGCGACAGTGAGCAACAGGCCTTCTTGGCGAGCGGTACCTACCAATCGCATGGCATCAATGGAGTTGCCGATCTGCAAAAAGCTGTCGGTAGCCAAAATTGTCTCCTGTTCCATACCTAGAGTGAGAGACCACAACCTCGCTAACGTGATCTCGGCGGTCGTGACTGGTAGCCGTCCCGTGGGTCCTTGGCTGGATGGAGTGGACGACGCAGCAATCTCAAGCAGTCGCCTTCGATCTCGTTTCCCGTTTGTAGTCAACGGAACACATGAAAGTGCGATATACCACGATGGGACTGCGTAGCGAGGAAGAACAGCCTGAAGCTTCTGGCTCAGTCCACTGGTTAACTGCCCTATATCCTCTTGGGTGACGATGAACGCTACGAGTATCACTCCGCCTCCACCTGGGGGTGTGATGGTATCGACGATGACCTCAGTCTGTTCGCCTGGCGAATCAAGACATTGTCGAATCTGGGTCTCGACCTCTTTGGGCACCACTAGTTGACCAAGTACTTTGAGTTGGGTATCCTTTCGCCCCAAGAACACCAGATAGCCGTCGGAGTTAAATCGAGCCAAATCTCCTGTTCGATAGGCACAACCCTGCCTTCCTGGGCGAGCAGCCCCGAGACCTCGACAGAGGAATGTGGGATTGTGGTAAAAATGCTTTTCTGTGAGGGACGTATTTCCGACATAGCCACTAGCGAGTGCAGGTCCCTGCACCACGATCTCACCGATCGCACCAAATGGAACAAGCCTGTGTCGGTTTTGAGGGTCTACAAGCCAGCAGCGGCACGAGTCAATGTGTGCAATGACGCCGCTGGACCAATTGGGCTCATCGGCCGGGTAGACGGTAACTGCAGGGAATTCGGCAGGCCCGTACCAATTGCGGACAGCACAGTGCCCTTTCCACCTTTCGACATCGCTCTGCAACACGTTTTCACCCCCCATCACAATAGTGGACAACCCTGGTACATCTTGCGGACGCAGCGACCGGGCGGTGGACGGGGTGATAAAGGCCCAGCTCGCTCCAAAGTGATTAATTGCAGCCGCGATACCATTGAGGCGTTGAGTTTCTGATGGAATACATAGACAAGCCGTGTGAGTCAGACCAATGATCGTTTCCAGGGTGGCGACATCGAAATCGTATGATGAGAATTGGAAGATGCGTGAAGAGGGGTTTACCGACAAACGCAGGGTCGGTTCCTCCGCGTTTGCGGCCAGCGCTCGATGACTCCAGAGAACATGTTTTGGTTCACCCGTGCTACCAGAGGACACCAGAATTGAGGCTGGGTCATCCATCTCAAGGGCTGGTAGTGGCGTGATTATTTCTTCCAACGGGGTCTCCAAAATTTGCTCCATGGTAATACACCGAGCGTACTTCGAGACTGTCGCCAAACGCTCGGGTGAAGCCAGCGCAACCTCTACACCAAGGTGTTGGAAAGTGCGATCCATTCTCTGCTCTGGCATATCTGCTGATTGTAGTAGGGTCACTGCACCGGCTTTCCAGGCGGCAACCTGAGCCAGCGGCATGTATCGAGACTTAACAAAGCACAAGGGCACAACAGACCCTTTCTTGACACCCAGATGCCGATGTAACTTGTGCGCGATAACCGTTGAGATTTGGTCCAGCTCGCCGTATGTGAACTGACCGTCCCATGCGTCAACGGCGATAGCCTCGGGGTCCGTTCTGGCACATAGAGTAATCTTGTCATGTACGAATGTGCTTGGCTCCGGGGGTGGTTCTGCGTTCTGGTCCCAGAAGCGCTCCACATCGATCTCACTTACTGTCTGGATGGTGTTCAGTGTCATCCTGTCGGGGGACTTTGTGCACAACTGGCGGATGACTGTCTCCAGCTGATGGACAATGTGTTTCATCTGCAGCTTGTCGGTCATGTTTGGATCAAAGCTCATTTGAATGTTGACCCCTGAGGCAGTAAGCTGACATATGATCATTAAGCCATAGACATTGAACGGATCGATCCCCATGGTGCTCAAACTGGAGGCGAAGCTGCGTGCCTTGAACAACCGACTATTCTCATGCAGGCTGTTCCCTGTAGCTATTGGCTGGACCACCAGCAAAGTCTGGAACAACCCGGCATTGAGGTCCCCGTTGGCTCGTTGAATATTTGGCAAGCCATATTGCTCATAGGGCATGATATCTAGCCCTTGTCTCTGGACTCCTTGAAGGAATGTCTCAACCGTATTCTCCCAATCGATTGATACGGCAATTGGAACCGTTGCAATAGTTGGCGCTACGCAGTTTTCCATGCCGTTTATATTTGCCTGTCGTCCACTCACTGTCACCCCGAAAATTACATCGTTGGAGGCCACATACTGTGATTCGAGGATCGCCCACGCTGCGCGGAGAATCGTGGATGGGGTTGCTCCCTTGGAAGGCCAGTCCAGAGCAACCGAATGCTCTATGAAGTCACTGGCTTGTGGCTCATACGTGCTGGATGGCAGAACAGGGAATGAACGGAACTCAGCGCGAGACAGCTGGGCCCTCCAGAAATCGTCCGACTCCTCGGTATTTATCTGGTTCAAATGATGAATAAAATGCTCCACTCCAGTGATTGTCCTTCCCGGCTGCTGGTAATATTGTGCCTGGAGTTCTTCGAGAATCATGGGCAGTGAGCTGCCATCGTACAAGCAGTGATGAATGGTGAAGATGAACGTGCGATTGATGATGGCTGCACGACAGAGCTGGGTTCCTAGGGCCATCGGCTCCCTCTCATCATCCTGCAAGTACTGCTGAATGTTTTGACCCGATCTCCAGGGTGTGTCATTTAGGACGACCTGCACAAGACCTTTGCCGGGCAGATCCACGATTCGCGTCCGCATAATAGACAACTTGGCGATTGTCGTTTCCCAGGCACTCTTGAGTCTGTCTGGATCAATATCGCTTTGAAGTGGTAATACACTACGGGATACATATTGGCCCTGTCGTCTGGCTCCGAGCGCCAGCAATCCCTCCTGAAGTGCTGTACAGGGGTAGACATCAAGAACTTGATCTTTCGAGACCGAACAAATTTGAGAAATAAATGATCGACAGTGTGACTCGTCCATCCCAAGGGGTAAAAGGGAGAACGCCGGAATGTCTATATCCGCATGACTTTCACCGTTGACCATTTTCTCGACCATCTTCTCTAGCTCAGGAAAATCGAACACATCAGCAACAGTAAGCGAAAATCCCTGGGTACGGGCCATTCCAACGAGGCGCATGGCGCTGATCGAGTCTCCTCCCAAGCGAAGGAAATGTCCGGTCGCATAGATAACATCCGGCTCAACCTCCAGCACATGAGCCCATATTTGCTGCAATATTTTCTCGTTCTCCGTGGTCACCTCTCTGGTTTGCTTTCGGGTTGGTTGCATCTCTGCCAGTTGCGCCAACGTGAAGGAACCTCCAATCTCTCGCAATTGTCGCCTGTCTGTCTTTCCTGTCGGACCGATAGGAAGTTCACTAAGCGGTACGTACACCCTGGGAATCATATACGACGGTAGAATGCTCGCAAGATGATTCTCCACAGCATCGACCGGCCATGCCCTTTGAAGATATGCTTGGGGATCTGCGCGGTTAACAGCATCAGCAGGACTGATGAACAGGGCCAAAGTATCGTTGTCACTGCAAGCCGGGGAAAATATCTCTGCGACAAGCATTGTGTCCACTAGACCGGTCAAAAAGTCTTGGATGCACCGCTCTATCTCTCCTAGGTCAATCCGCTGGCCTCGAATCTTTCGCTGAGAATCATGGAGTCGCCCAAGGTAGGTGATACGACTGTCTGAGTCGTAGGCGACCAGATCCCCGGTACGATAAACTGGACCTAGTCGACCAGGGGTCTTCCAGTGGCCATCTTGCAGCCACGATGGGGAAATAAAGCTCTCTTTGTTCAGCACAGCGCCATTAGCTCCAGCATATTGAGCCAGCATAGGTCCCTCCATACACAACTCGGCCACTGCTCCCACTGGAGCTAGTAAGTTTGGGTCTTTCGGATCGACAAGCCACGCTATCCCGGCGCGACCTTGCCCGATCATACCTGGGCGCCAACTGTCATGATCCACAAGACACGAAGTAGCGACCGAGGCTTCTGCTGGGCCGTACCAGTTATGTACGGTTTTCTGTGTGTCTAGCCATCGAAGAGCAGTCTTTTGCTCGAGCGTCTCGCCCGCAAATACCACTGTTCGCAGAGATGGCAAATCACCCGGGCTCATGGTCTCTGACACAGACGGGGTCAAACAGATCCAATTGGTGTTGCAGCCATTGATTGTATCGGTCAGCCGGTTCTTCCGGTCTGTCTCTGATGGGATGCACAAGCAACCCCCAGCAAGCAAGGTAGCCAAAGTCTCTACTGTGCTCACATCAAAATCGTAACCGGAAAACTGGAAGACTCGGCTCGTATCGGTCAGTCCAAATGACACGATTGCGGCTTGGACGTTAGTCGATAAGGCGCCGTGACTCCAGGCAATGGCCTTTGGGGCTCCTGTGGATCCTGAAGTAAAAAGAAGAAGAGCAAGATCACTGGGTAGGTGGCAATATGGAGAGGATCTGACAACAACATCGGAAACTTTCGTATCGGGTGTGGTGAGATCAGCGATATTGAGCACTGGAATCAATTCGCGGAATGGAGATAAATCAGACGATGTGGAGGTAACAGCTAGTTGGGGGTGCAAGCTCTCCACAATTTGCAGGGCTCGAGTTTTCGAAACTGGTACAGACATCGGCAGAACAATCGCACCAACTCTGAGGGCTGCAAGCATCATCACCGCCTGCCAAGCGCTTTTCTCAAAGGCCAGGATAACGATGGACCCAGGAAGTACACCTTCGTGGAGAAGTCGACCGGCCAGAGTTACAGACCACACCTGCACCTGCTGCACTGTTAACTGCTGGTCCCACGCAGATATCAAAACTGCTTCTGGTTTTGCTTCGCTTTGCCGATGGAGACAATCAGTGATAGACTCGAACTTGGGCTCCGGGCGCGCTGCATTCCATGTCCAAATGTCAGCCAAGTCATCCTTGGTGACGACAGTGATATCGCGTAGGTTCATGTGAGAACACTCCTCCGAGCATAGCTGCCGCAGTAAATGGTCAAATTGTTTTGACATCCTCTGGACTTGTTTGGCTGCAATGGCACCAGAATCAAAATTAATCTTCAGTTCAACTCCTGACTCGTGCAATTGGCAGATGATCATCATCGCATATGGGTTGTACATGCCCACAGTGTCAGCTTCTCCACCCTTGCAAACGATTTGCAAACTGCCGGGTTGGTCATAACTGCTAACAATGCTACTAGCACGGCTGAAAAGACCGTCGCCCTCTTGCCTGTTTGCCTGCTCAGCTGGCTGGACCACCAGGAGGAGCTGGAAAAGGTTGGCATCCTCGACCGATCCAGCAATTTGTTGCAGGCCTAGCTGTTCGTGCTCGGTGGCCTCCACTGTTTGTCTTTGAACCTGTTCAAGCCAACTCTCGACTGTTTGATTCCAATCAAATTTAGCACGGACTGGTACTGTAGCGATTGTCGGCCCTGCAATTCGTTCGATCCCGGCCACGGTGGCCTGTCGCCCACTGACCGTGGCACCATACCTGACATCGTTACAATTGGTATATGAAGCCAGTAACAAGGCAAGTGCTGCTCTAACGACCGATGATGGTGTTGTCCCCGAGTTTCTCCATGGCATTTCAGAGACGCCATGGTTGAAGTCGAGCTTTTTCCCTGGCCGATAGCCTGGAGACGGGAAAGTTTTCGTTTCAGACCCTCCGTCCAGGTAGGCCTTCCAATAGAGCAATGAGGTGTCCTTGTCAATCCCTTTCGTATATTTCACGAATGATTGGAAGGGCACGAGGGGCGATCGGGTTGCGTTCTCATGGTATTCAGCTTCAATAGCATCCAATATGAGCTTGGTGGACCAGCCATCGAAGATTGAATGGTGCATTTCCACAATCAAGCTAGGGGACTCTCCAGAAATTAGTCCAGCCCGGCACAACGGGACCCCCAATCCCATCGGAATGGAGTTTTCGACAAAGTCGGTGATGTTGTCGTATCGATCTAGCACGATAGGGGAGTCGACAACAACTTGAACCAAACCATTGCTGGTCAGGTCTACGACTCGTGTCCGCAGAATTGATGTCTGGTGCACGGTCCTTAACCATGCCCTTTCCAACCGGGAGAGATCAGTGTGCTTTGGAAGCTCAAATAGTGTCCGTGCAACGTTATTGGTCTCACTTCGAGCTGTGACAGACAGCATGCCCTGTTGAAGTGCGGTGCACGGATATATATCTTCGACTTGAGCCAATTCAATATTGCACAGCCCAGCAGCCTCCTCGCGCATCTTTTGAATATCCGAAGGACGGTCCACCAGAGAGAATGGGGTAATTTCGTCTCCCTCAGAAAAAAAAGAATCCTTGATCACGAGCGCAAGGTCACTCAGCACTGGACTCTTGAACACATCTGCCACTGTGATGGATAAATTGGCATTTCGTGCTGCGGCGACCAACAGCATGGCTGCAACTGAATCCCCTCCTAAGCGGAGGAAACTATCTTTGGTGCTAATTCCAGTCGATGGTATATTTAATACGTGCGCCCAGAGGTCACGAAGCTGCTGCTCCATAACAGTTGATGGGCTACAGTATTCTTGGATAGGAAGGATGGTTGACTGCATTTGAAGAAGCTGTTCCAAAGACAAGCTAACTCCCAGCTCTCGCAGTCTTCGCCGGTCGACTTTGCCGGTGGCAGCGACTGGTATCTCTTCGACAGGGAGATAGATGCTTGGGAGCATAAATGCTGGCAATACACTCTCTAGATCATGCACAAGTCTACTCATCACGGTCTTGACTGTCTTAGCATCCTGATTCCTGACCTGCACAAAGAGCGCAAGCAGTGCTGTCTCGCTTCCCTGGGGTAGCACGATATCGGCAATGATTGTCAGTGCATCATTCATACATGCACGCGCATGATGCTCCACATCGCCAATCTCAATTCGTTGACCTCTAATCTTCAATTGAGAAACATCTTTCCGGCCTAGGAACAGGATGCTTCCATCGGAGCGGGTCTTGACTAGGTCTCCGGTCCTGTATAGACGACCTTGCCGTCCCGGGACGCCAGGACTCCCGGACAAAAGCCACGGTGGGTTATCGAAGAACGCTTCGCTGGTCTTTTCTTGATTGGACAGATAACCTTGGCCAACCATGGGTCCCTCGAGATACAGCTCTCCCGGAGTTGCAGGAGGAACAAGCTGGCTGCTATCGTTGGGGTTGACAATCCAAAGGCAGAATCCGAGTCCTTTTCCAATACCCGGCCGGCCTTCCTCGCAGCGATCAAGCCGCGAGAAGGTACATTTCCAGGTACACTCGGTGGGGCCGTATGTATTGAGCAGACGAACACGGTCAGCCCATTGAGTAATATTGTCTCGATACGGCATCTCTCCACTTAAAAGGACGGTTTGAAGCGTCGGTGGGACCGAACTCATTGTTCGCAATACAGTGGGAGTGACATTAATCAGAGTAGCCGCAAAGGCCGTGAGAGCAGCCGATAGGTTATTCACCATATCTTGCTCGTTGGCAACGCACAGACAGCCACCTGCGCACAACGTATGAAGAACATTACTCCAGGCCACGTCAAAGGAGTAAGGTGCAAAGTCAAAGACGCGGGACTCTTGATGGAAGCCAAGAGCCTTGCCCTGGTGATGTACAGCACTTCTCACGTTGGCATGGCTAATACAGGCTCCTTTCGGTTCCCCTGTAGTTCCGCTGGTTTGGACCATCGATGTTAGCACGCTTATTCCTTTGGATAACTGAGTCATGGATCTTACGAGGTAAAAGATATATAGACTGTGTCCTTCGGCGATACCACAGGCAAATCAAGCGTCTGCTGTTTCATCGTACCCGCAACCTCCAGAAGACTATCGTCGAGCTGAAGGATGGGTAATTCGCACAAGAGAGATACTCTGTTTCGAGTAGCTGAGCCACAGATCATTGTTTTTGGCTGCGCATGCCTAATAATAGATCGAAGTCTTGCATCTGGATGAGTGGAGTCAAGGGCAATGGCCGCGCATCCGGCTTTGATGATACCCAACATGGCGACGCATGTCCATCGTGACTTGGGGAAAAGAAGGGTAACTGGGGATCCCGGTAAATTTCCCATGTCACAGAGATTATGAGCGACATGGTCACTCAAGGTGGATAGCTGAGCATAGGTAAAGTCTCCATCCCACGCGCACACAGCGAGGGCTTGTGGTTGCTTTTGCGTTACCTCAGTAATCAGGTCATGAACGCACCCCGTGATAGATTCTGGGACAACGGCATTTTTGGCCCAGATCTCATCAAGTTCTTGCCATGAAGGTGATGCATCAGGTACATCCGCCGTGTGTAGCTGGGTATCCTCGTTCGCCTTTGTCGCAACCATTCTGATGAGTTATCAAAATGCTTCTATTTGCAGAACTGTAGGGGAAAGTGGTCGTCGGCTCTTAATCTCATTCTGAGAACGCTCGCTGGTCTCCCCTTATCAGCCATGGGAGCCTTGAATGGCTCAGGTATCAACCCCACATTGTGGATCTCCATTTGATAGCGTGCACTCGGCAATGCATGCATATGCAAGATCGGGTTAGAGCCATGCAGTCAGAAACGACTGGTGACACCGCTGTTGTGTTAGTGCTGACCTGTCAGTAACCAGGATATTCCCGAGGCTCCCAGGGGGACCCGCTTCTGCGCAGATGCACTGCCGGATGCCGGACAACAGATCTAGTGTGTCACGACATATGATCATTGCTTCCAGCCTTTCTTCAGGGCACAATAAGTCTGCAATCCTACCTGAAACGACGTTTCCTACCTGGCTAATATCTGCTAGAAGGAGCCTACCCTTTGGTTCGCGTATCTACACCTTTGGCAACTTCCACGTTCCCCACAATATCTCTATCAGTCATGCCCGAGCAACTTGACTTTTCGAGATTTCACCGCGAGAGCGCCGATGAGCGAGATCAGTTCTGCTATGAGTTGATTTCGGGGTTGAGCAAGTCGGGTTGGGTACGGCTCGTCAATCATGGCGTTCCTCCAGAGAGCATCGACCGGGCATTTGAAATGGTGCGAACATTCCCTCAATGACTTTCCGAAGATCTTCTCACTCATCGCCGTCTCTCCAGAGTCACAAGTTCTTCGATCTCCCAATGGAGCAGAAGCTGAAGTCACCTCATCCTCCCACAGCCCATCCCCATCGGGGCTTCAGTCCTGTTGGCCTGGAGAACATATCAACCGTGTCTAATTATCGGTCCTCGGCCAAGCAACCCTTACTCAGGGACATGAAGGTACAAATGGGGAATACACATTTGTCCAAATTATTTTATTTACGTTTCACATATCTAACCAGTTCATCAGGAGTCTTACGACATTGGATCGGAACAGGATCCGCTGTACTCCAATATTTGGCCCCCGGAAGGAGTCCACGATAGCTTTCGAACGACAATGAGCTCATTCTTCACTGTGTGTTACGACGCCCAATTAATCATTCTGGATGCTATATCGATTGGCTTAGGATTGCCTATTCACACTCTGCGTGAACTGCACGCGGCACAGACCAACGAGCTGCGGCTCACGCACTATCCAGAAGTGGATCGGGCTGATTTTGCGAATGCCACTCGCATTGCGGCGCACACAGATTTTGGCACTATTACTCTACTATTCCAAGACAATGTCGGAGGCCTGGGTAAGCAATACCACTTTCCAAATTAGGAAGGTGTCATCTTTGTGTACTAGCATTGAGCTAACGGAGTCCTAGAGATGGAACAGCCCCCTGGCAGCGGAATCTTTATTCCGGCTGACAGCGCTGGCCCCCACGAGTGTATTGTCAATGTAGGTGATTGCCTCCAGATGTGGACAGGGCTGCATAGTGCCCGGCACCGGGTGCATCTGGCAAAGAGTGAGAACCTGGGTAATATGGTGCCAGAACGCTTCTCAATTGCGTATTTCGCAAAGCCTGATCGCGCAGCGCTTCTCCGTCCATTGCTGGATTCGCTAGTGGACAACAGCAAGCCAGTGCAAAAGTTCTTGACAGCCAATGAGTTCCAGCACATGCGCATCGAGGGCACGTACGCCTAATATTTCAGCTGGATGCTTACGCCCTTCTCAGCCTATCAAAAACATTTGGCCCCCAATGATTATACCAGTGATCATGCACTTTCATCGTAGACAGTGGCTTTGAGCTGAAGGACTGCAGGATTCTTGGCTCTGCAACTTCTTGGCGTTCCTGAAATAGCTGAGCCCCACCACGTTCCGACGGGGCTCCGGCCCGCGTTTACTTGGCACCCCCACACGAGACGGGGAATTCGGGTTAAAACATCGGCCTTTTCCTAATCCAGGCAATCCTGATGATGAGCAAATAGTCATCCTTATCCATCTAAAGTATCACCTTAGCAGTTGATCCTTCCAAAGTTAGTCCCACTCAATTTATACCATGGAGATGTACTGCAGGATTCTGCTATTTTTCTTGGCTGGGGCCATTAGTTTCCTAGTGCGACGAGTATACTTCCATCCCTTGTCTGGATTTCCAGGGCCAAACTTGGCCGCTGCCTCCAGTTTCCAGCTTTTTTGGGCCGTGTGGACCGGGCGAGAAAAGACCTGGTACCAAGATTTACATCGCAAATACGGTCTGTAAGACGGTTACGTCTAGTCTCGCTTTCTATGGTCTAATTGATAAGCAGGCCCGGTAGTTCGCTGCGGCCCCAACCACCTGACGTTCAATGATTTGGATCTGATCCCGGTGGTATATCATCGACGGAGCGATAAGACAGACTATCCCCAAGACTTTACGTGCCCGGGTGCAGCTACCAACAAGGCCAGCTATCTTGAATATGCCGCGGCCAAACGGCAGTTTGGACAGGCAGTGAGCCACACTTACATATTGTTCCTCGGAGCTGGTAACTGATTGGAACAGTTTTCGGCATCGCGGGTGCAGTTATTTGAGGGTCTGGTGGATGAAATACTTATCAAGTGGCTTTCCATTCTCACCGGGGAAACCCAGATAAACCCCTCCGTAAACTGGGGTACCTGGGTTAAGTAAGTGTCCCGTATCGAACAGAAAATGTTGGACTTGGACCTAACAGGGCTCAGATATTTTTCATTTGATGTCTACGTGCCAATGAGTGTGGGGGAGAGCTTCGGCTTCTTAGACCACAGGTCCGATGTGCGCAATATGTTGCAAAGCAGTTATCGTATTTTCCGGCAATGGACGCTTAGTCGATATCGCCCTATCGCTTGGCTAGCCGCACATACTTCTTTGGGTCGTCGTTTGTTCGTCAGTGGCCGCAACGATCCAACGGGCATGGGCATGTGGACTACTGTAAGTGCATATTTCATTTTCATCACTGGCAGCTCTGATTCCCGTCTAGGAAGTGCATGCTATCACTCGAAGGCGCATCGAAGCTTCCAAAATAGAGGAGAAGCCACGATGGGAACACTCCATGTTGGATCAATGGCTAGCAGCCAAATCCGCGGCAGGAGAAGGCATTCCCCTATCGGATATCGAGGACCAGCTAGTTTCCGATGTGTGAGTTCCCCCCAAAACAGAAAAGCCGTTTCCATACGCACTAAATTTATCTGCACAGACTTGGTGGTCCCTATGCGCTGGCCACCACGATTAGCCATGTTGTGACCACTATGGCCAAACATCCCCAGGCCGTCCGCCGAGCCCAACAAGAGATCGATAACGCTTTTACCCAGCAGATCCTCTCCACCCCCTCGCCCACCTACGCAGAATGCTGCGCTCTTTTGTTTGTCGACGCATGTGTCCGGGAGGCCATGCGCATTACAGCGACGGCCTCTCCTAGATGGCGCTGCTCGCCAGACAGGCCACTGCGTCTTCTAGACCGGGACGTTCCTCCGGGCACTGCGGTAGCTACAAGCCCCTTCACTATCTCCATTCATCCTCTGCTCTACGGTGCCAATGCCGAGGAGTTTGTTCCCGAACGGTGGCTTGAGGCGTCGGAGGAGCAGTTGCGTGTGTGGAATGCACATGATGCACACTGGGGATTTGGCTATCGCAAATGTCCCGGACGACATATAGGGGTCCTGGTCCTATATAAGACCTTGGTTACGGTATGTGCTCTATGTAGATTAATACTGTCTATTTTGTGGAGTTGTGTAGCTGAGACTCTTGCTCAAAACAGATCCTGCGCAATTTCGATATCAAAGAGGGAACTTCAGGATCGTCTTCCCTACTGATGCTACCACGGAAACTTTAATCCGACAACCCCAGATAATGTCAGTCATAGGCAAGGACAGCCCTGGAGGAGTTAGAGGAGCTACTGAGCTAGGGTACGTTGGGCACTGTGGACTAATACGTCTTTCTTTCTTTCTTTTTCTTTTCACGAGAATACAATATGGATCTAACCAAGTTCTACCAAATCCACTTTTCGGCTGTAATTAAACTCTAACTCGGATAGGTCAATGGTGTTTATACGCTTGTGCTAGCGAGATAACTCTTTGGCCTCCACTGGATACGCTCTGAAACATGTCTCGAGGCCTCTTCGTAGAACGTAATTTGGGTTTGGTATATAAATTCCAGATTAATTGAGCATTACAGAGTACATCCAAAAATCCAGCTTCGATCCCATGTCCTTAGGGTTAGTCAGATCGCAATCTAGTCAGTTCCCTGTACCGTGTACGGGGTCATTGTAGCCCTTCATCTATAAATTTTACTGAATGAGAAGGGTTGCAATTAGTCGGCCATCGAAGTAAAAAAGACCGACTCATCTAAATTTCCGTAAGGCGTGCAGTAATATGCACAATGACGGGCATGAATCCTGTCATCATTTAGTTGCATGCATGCCCCCACCAGTTACAACCCTTCACATCTGGGCATGCATTGAGGCTGCTTATGCTCAGCCCGTAACTCAAATAGACCCCCGCGTAACCCTCCTACAGAGTGCCAATTGGGTGTATCCTCGTTACTAATCACACTATCGGTATTGGCGTCTTGAGAGCTATCGGCGGTAGTCTGCGGATTGGGAGGGGACCACTCCACCGAATTTACCCAATATGGACGGGCTTTCATTTACATACTCCGTACAGTAGAAAGCATTTTCATACATACCATCCCGTTACTTCGGCAGTTTGTAGTCCGCTTGCACTGATCTGCGTTCTTTGGACCTCGTCATGCAGCTCCAGCTTCCATACCGTGATTTGCTCTCAAGCCCTTCCATTCGGGTTTCTCTATGTCAGGATCCTCTAAAGCACCCCGGTGTCGCTCCATTTGAACGCCCCTGTTGTCCAGGCTGTTCGATATGCGACCCTGGTAACCCTGCAGTAACTCGGACGGAGAAGATTGGCCCTTCCGTTCTCACGAGCTGCAGAGAGGAAGAAAGCCAAGACCCTCCCTTAGACGGAAACACTAAAGTCTGCATTATCGGGGCTGGCATTGCAGGTCTGTATATCGCGCTGATTTTGCAAGACCTGGAAATTCCAAGTCTTTCCTGGGATATACTCGAGGCCCATCGGGATCGCATTGGCGGCCGCATTTATACCCATCGCTTCTCTGAGGCGCCCAATGACTACTATGATGTGGGCGCAATGCGGTTTCCGGATATCCCAATCATGTCTCGGGTATTTGATCTCTTTCGGCGAATGCAAGTGCCATTGAAGGAATTCGATATGCGAGAGAGAAACACGAACACGGGGGGTCATGGGATCTCCAAGACCGAAGATAGTGCATCGGCCAATCTCCTCAGTCGATCATTCAGCCCGTATAAAAATGTTATGCAAAAGGATTTCGTGCAGGGGTTTCAGCTCTTGATGCAAGCAGATGTAATGAGCACCCGCGAATATCTTCGAGGCAGCCACAAGTCAAGCTTCATGGCAATCCAGTCTGCCGAGAGCAACACCACTGGCACAGGCACATTTGATCAAGCCTTTTCAGAGAGTGTGATGGACTCTTTCGACCTCGATCAACCCACGATAGGGTCCGAGGACAGTGGGCCAGTGAAATGGTATTCTGTGGATGGCGGCTCTTCTGTGGTGATTCAGCGAATGTGCCACCAACTCAATAAAAACAGCACCATCGAGCTTGGGAAACAAGTTCGTCGCATTGCTATCAACCGTAGTACCGATCTGTCGGTATCGTGTGCGGGCGAGGAAGAGGCTCGCGATGGGTATGCAACGGTGTTCAGCACTATACCATTGGCATGCCTGCAGCGGATCGACACCGAGTCACTCCATCTTGATACTATGCAAGAGGAAGCCATCCGGTGTTTGCGGTATGAAGACTCTACCAAGGTGGGTATCAAGTTTGCGTATCCATGGTGGATTGTAGACTGCGGGATTCGAGGGGGTGGCAGTGCCTCATCGACCCTCCCCTCACGGACCTGCGTCTACCCGTCGCATATCGCGGAGGAGGACTGGGACAAGCCGGCCGTATTGTTGGCCTCGTACACCTGGGGCCAAGACGCCACTCGCATGGGAGCTTTGATAAATCTGTCCACCGCCAGCCCTGATAGGGGTGAGGTAGAGAGCAATGATCTGCTAGATCTTGTCCTCAGGGACCTCGCTCAGCAACATCGGCAACATGGAATCACGTACGAGAAACTGCAAACCCTGTACCGTGATCATCATGCCTTCTGCTGGGGCAATTCACGTTTTTCGTCGGGGGCCTTTGCGCTTTTTGCCCCTGGACAATTCACCAACCTCTACCCTTCTTTGTCCCTCCCAGCCGCCGAGGGCAAGTTTCATATTGTAGGGGAGGCTGCTAGTGTCCATCATGGGTGGGTGGTTGGCTCGCTGAACAGTGCATATGTGGCGGTCTATCGATTCTTGCTTCGATATGGACAGCAACGGGCAATCCAGAAGCTGGAAAAGAACTGGGGAACCGTACATGAGTTGGATCTTGCGGGTGTTGCTCGCCTTGGTGGAACAATTTGATGGTTTTATCCATCCCGGAGTATGCGAAGCGACATCTGCTATCAAATCAAAAAGACGACACCATGAGGCCGGGTTACACTTCTCGCGTTGACCTGCGAGCGAGTAAAACAAGTGAGCACATAGCCAAAAAGTGCGACAATCTGTATGGATCGCAGGCAGAGCTTGTTGGGAGTCATTAGCCAAAACCAAAACGATTTCACTTTCTTGGTAGAATCGGATTATTTGTCGCATGTAGAGCTGGTGGAGATGTAAACAATCTGTTCACACCGTCGCTGAGGCTGGTGCCTCAGGCGGGTAGGACCTATTCTTTCTCTTTGCCTTCTCTCAGAACAATGTTACTCAGTTTGCGGCTTTTCCTTCCCGCATTTTTCACCGTCATACTGTGAAGCAGAGTACCTCCAGACCCCATATTTCTATACGCCGATTGTTGTCCTTGTTCCGAGAGCGAATGCTTCTATGTCTTATAGCTCAACTTCAAACATAACGGCAATGCCAACTCCACTACCCACAACGATACCTATGAGCGGCTGGAAGCCAATATATTTCGCCACACTGAAAGGAATCACCCGCAGATCATCACTCGTGGATTGAATCATCGGAGTGAAGTACCATGTCGAGGTAACCCCAAGCCATAGCATGACCCATACCATCCCAGCAGCGCGCTTCCAAAATGGCACGGTGCCTGATGATTGTTTTGCCTTCTCTTGCCCGCTTTCTGGTGTTTGTACCCACTTCCAAAAGGTTTGCGCGCCATCCTCGAGCATTATCCCGAGGACAAACGCTAGATAGAACGGCATCGAGCCGGAGCTTTCCATCGGAATGCTCTGCAATATATCGACAATGACATGGAATATCGCAGAGATGAGAAAGACAACGAAAAGATTGGCGTACCGCTCCAGTGTTGAAGATCTGGGCAGACGCAAAATATCTCGTGCGATGAAGTTACTGATAGAAGTGAAGGGCTGGCGCATGAATTGATGCCAGAATTTCCTGCAAAATCCATCAACATAACTATGCCGCTTAGTAGGCTAAATATTGCTTACCCCCAAAAATTGCGCAATGTAAATGCATTGGCCATGCTCCCAAAGGCTGGTGGCCAATCTGCAGGTGAATCTAGCCCGATCCCGACGAATAATATGGACAATACTCGATATGCAAGATCGCTGATTAGACGATTCACCACAAACCAAATAGACAGATGCGTAGCTATTCGCTCTGCCCATTGTCCGACAGGCACAATCCATTCGACTTCCAACGATGCGGGCTCCTGTAGACCATGTTCCGTAGTCTGTTGAAGCGACACCGTCTGGACAATGTCCAGCACCAAGCACTGCCATGCGACGATTGCAAGCTGTCGTAGCAAGAATCGACCCCGTGTTGGGACCTGCATACCCCGTCGCAGATAATACTTCGGATGAGAGGGCACATTCTTCACCTGCCAGTGCGTATTGATAGCGCGGGTTTGAGCAAGCAAGCGAAATGCTGCGATCAACCTAGATCCGAAATTTTGAATGGTCTTTGCGCTGCCCGAGATGTCTGGGTCGGCCAGAGGATTGAGCAGCAACAGGTTTGTTGCCTGCAAAGTCGTGATGACAAGTTGTGTTATGGCCTGGCACCAAGTGGGACTGCCGGACGAGCCCAAGGGACGGATGAACCGGCCGGCGATCCATATCATCCCTGGGATGCACAAGTAGCGTAGGGGAGAGGCTTTCCGCGTTGTGATGACGAGGGTGGCAGGGGCCACATTCTGAATTAGATAGAAGCAGATAAATTCTAATATATTTGCACCTGTCGAGTGATACAGCCCATACATCATGAGGTGTGAGAGATGGGAGTCAACGAATTCTCTCGGTTTGTGCTCATTACGATTTTAATCGGACCCACACCTGATCCGAAGTGAAATTATTGACCAGTTGGTTAGGTCCAAATTGATTCCTCCAGGCGGTCTAATATTCTCCAGCGGGCAAGGAAACTTTTGTAAAGGCAGTTTTGACTCTATATATTTGCAGCAAAATGTTAGGAGGGATATTGTTGGTTCTCGTCCTTCTAGAAATGGTGGGTTTTGTTCTTAAGCCTTGGATACATACGTCTTTAGCTATGGCGCTGCCCATAACGTCCGCGAAATGGTGGATTTATTACTTAAAAGGCAAGGAAAGCTTAGGGGCTGCATGTAAGAGAGACTTCTTGTACGATCATGTCGAAGGTTACGATTTTGAGTTGGCTACGATTACGACTCTTGAACGGCCGTTTAGCAAAACATGGGCCATATTTTCTGTTCTCTCAAAATATCAACCCAAGTCGAGAGACGATTACCCAAGTTAGATGCTTGCTGTTCATCCTGTAACTTCCACTGCTTAGACATGATGTCTTTAGCAGTCTGGAAAGGCTCAAACCTACTCTTTGCCCCAGCCTGATCAACTATATCGAGGATGGCGGACCGCTGTGCTTGTGTGGTAGCTTCACACCCAGAAATGAACATAGGCCACAAAGTCCCAAGACCTACAGGGTACCCTTCTTTCACGAAAGATAGCCAAATTCGCAATGCGGCAATGACGTGGTCAACATGGCCACTGAGAATCCCTGGATGGACCTGTCTCACCCTCCTATAGAAGAATATCACAAGAGAGGAGTTCAAGGCCTGTACCATGAGTTCATAAGGTGAGGTTTGTTCTTTGCAAATGTCCAGACTCAAGTCTCGGTTTCTGAAACAGTTTATCACGTTTTCGAGACGCGTACTGCGTCGCCTTAAAGCCTTCCAAACATGACTGCTGATTGGAATATCTAAGCTCTGCGCGTTGCGCAGGGTTTCCATGACATTTGCCAGCCGAGTGGTCTGTGAGACTAAACTGAGCATTGTCTCAGGCATCCCGTAAACCTGCTGGCATAGACTCCCAGTCGACTTTCGCGAGTCATGAAGATGAATATCAGGAACGTCCATTCTGTGGTCTTTTGGTTCATCGATGTTCAGGTCGCCTTCGGAGTTCTCAAGATGGAGAAAGTCATCTATCCGACGCCCACGCTCGGCAATTTCTGCTGTAAATTTGTCGCCAGAATTAGGTGTTTGAACTTCGCAATGCATATTGAGGTTGTCGATGAATGAGTCTGTTGGGGTGTAGCTATGCAGAACGTATGTGCTTTCTCCAATAAGACGAAGCCATACGTAGACATTGATCAGAAGACGGAGCTTCTGAGATATCCTGTGTTTGGATAGTGCTCGAAAACGCAAAAGCCGTTCAGCGTCAACCAGATAACGTCGTGCATCCATATATTGACCAGAGAATATCTAAACTTGTTTAGCCTGCAGTTGCAGTGCTAGGCGAGGACTGAAACTTACCGCGAATTCCGTGAGTCCGTATATTGCCATTAACTGATCCTTCAGTTTCGCCTTTCTAGCACCAGCTGTTTCCTCGCTTAAGGAAATTTTCAAATGGGTCTTCGCATCTTGATAAGCTTGCTCTGAAACTTCCTTCCAATGATTCCTCGGGAAAGAGCCAATCGTTGCTGTCGGCGAATCCATCGCCAAGTGAACAGCAGAACAAGCTAGCAAACTGTAAAGATTTGCCTGTCGGGCATGGCTGACACTTTCCGATTCCATAATCATCAGTTCACCCAAAGTGACCAATGCTGCAGGTACATTCAAAATGTTCCACGGGCTTTTAGCAAGAGGGACAACAGTCATCTGAGGAACAATATTCTTTTGGAAGTTCTTTAGCAAGAAGGAAGCATGCGACAGTATGTCGATTGGGGGAAGTGTCTGTGGAAAGTGAAGGGACTGGAGTGATGCATCCTCAAGTGGCAAAGCTGTTCCAGGATTCGTATCATTATATTGAGAGAAGTCAAAGTGATTTCCAGGGTCGCAGGAAGGGTCAGAAAACATGCCATAGCAGTCTTCACCAAATAGGTCTGACCATTGTAGCAGGTCGTCCGCATAACCTGGAATGTCAACAGGATATGAGGAAAGATCAGATTCTCCAATCCCATGATTTGAATCAGGTGTAGGGATAGAATTCATTGGCCTTTCCAGAGCAAGACCTGTATGTCCGCCAGCGGAAGAGGATGTTTTCTTAAAATGGAGGACTGCAAAAGGACCCACTCGCGTCTCATTTTTGTACATAAAGCTGGGTTCCTGCGATCTCTGATCGATTTCCTCCAAAGAGGCCTCGATGGAGCCAGATACAAGACCTTTACTGATAACGGTTCCCATAGAACGCCTATACTGCTCTAACATGTGGGTCAGCGACTTTCACACACATTACCATCTCATGCGCAAACCCTAGGATGAAAATGCAGCGTACCGGAATATAAATGACGCCTTATTCCGAGGCTAGTCAGATAACCGCGTTTTTCATTTGATGGCCTTCTAGAAGTCTGCCCTTTCTTCGCTGGCATCCACAGCATCTCGTAGGAAAAGCCCTCACAGGCCAGTCCTAACCCTGAGCATGTCTGGCAGATCGGACGGTTCTGGTCGCATCTTACATGTCGGCGTTTACACGTTTTGCATCCACCAAGCGATCGAGTTCGACGCGGCTTAGCCTCAGTCATTGTAAGACAAGCGTGCTGAGATGTGCTGGCAGATGTCAAAACAAAAGAGGCAAGAGAGGAATCCTCAATGCAATAAAAAAAGTTGTGTTGGGTAAGTGTTACCAGCTAAACCCCAGCAGGTTTCCGGAGCCGGAACGACTTGCGTTCTGAGGAGGCGAAGTGGGCCATAGTGGGTCTATCACCGGACATCTAATTGGCGCATAACAGGATAGAGTTCAGACCATCCATAGATGTGTGGGAGAAGAGCCAGGGTATTAGGGAACTTAAAGTGCCCAGGTGACCAACATAGTATTTGTTATACCGAGCTGCCGAGGGTAATCAAGGTAAATCACCTTATAACTTGGTTTCCATTGAGTAATATAGCCACTTTCATGATGAAATTACCAAAGCTGAACATAAGTGAAGAACCTCCTCCACGCAGGCTGCTTGTAGTAGCTGTCCAGGAGAGTTATCTCCTCACTGCCCAAGGCTCGCCGGCCAGTGGTGCAATCAGCCGTTTTTGGATCCCGCCAAGGTGTTTTAAAAATGATCTTATACCCGACTGTAAAGACGATGATAATCAAGAGTCCAATCATGTACTGGAAGAAATTCGCTGCTGTAAATCCAGAGCCGCCCTAATAACCAACCATTAGCTGCATGCCTCTCAACTGTGTTAAATGTATGCTAATTTCCAAAAGCTGCAGTGACTCTGAGGTGTTCTTGCCCAAACGCATTGGGAACTTACCGCCGGTATAATACCACTGGTAATACAGCAGGCCAACAAAAGTAGAGAAACCAGCATGAGCCAGGCTGGGGCAAGCGGCCAAAGCGAGGACTTCCAGGCATATATTTCTGTAAATAGCTTGTCGTTCTGTGCTTCGAGGGCACGATGAAAGCGCCAGTTGGTAAAGGCGATGATGATCCAATTGCTGAAGAAGGAAGCGCTGGTAATTGAGATCAACCAATTCAATACGGTCAAGCCACCAGCTGTGATGAGTCAGTGTGCACACCATAAAAGAACTTCTGGAACAAATTTAGACTCACAAGCAAGTTGGATATATGATAGGATGACAGCAACAACTGATGTAATTATCAGAGCCAGTCTGGGTCTTCCTTTATCATCCACTCTCGCAAGCCGTTCTGGAATCAGCTGCTGATGAGACATGCTCCTTAACACTCTCGAGGAAATATAAATAGACTCCGCAGCAAGCCCAAGAATGCCGCACATCATGCCTGCATTCAAAAGCGATGCGATTCCAGGAATTCCCGAATCCTGAATTGCAATGACAAAGGGCGAAGCTGCAACTCCGCTTCCTCCTAACAGACGGTCCTCGTCAGAGGGGACCAATATTGTGATGAACACAACACTGAGAATGTAGATAACGTTCACGCGGAATGGGACGAGCTTTGTCGCGTGGGCCATTGAGAACCGAGGACTCTCGGCTTCGCCACCCATAATTCCAATAAATACTTGATCTCCGACGGCCCATGTAGCGAGTAAGGCACAGTTAGCAAATCCCTACTACTATTAGCCCTGGGTGGTCTTTACTCGTTGCTATTACTTACCGAAAATCCATTCAAAAATGGCGGGAGCGTTGTCCATGTTTCACCATGGTGTATATAGCCAGTTGGTCCGGCCCCCAGAACTAGGGCTAATGAAAGAACAATGATAATCAGGAAAATCACGATTTTGATGAGTGATGTCACGTATTCGAACCAGGCAAAAACCTTGTTCGGGAGGACAAAGATGAACAGGCAAGCGGCAAGGAAGAGAGTGACTGAATTGCATGTTAGAGAAGTCACACCAAGAGGCGCCATACTTACTTGTGGCTGCTTGTGGAAATGACCCCTCAGCCCAGTACTGGACCAGCACGTCGAAGAAGCCAGCTTCAGCGGCGACAATCGCAGTCCACCCTGAAAAGGTTAGCAGAGTGCAACTCTGGAAGATTTCTTTTCGTTTCAGGACTAACCCAGCCACTCGGCGAAGCCTGCGCCAAATGCTAGAGCGGGATCCACCCAGCGATCCGCATAATCAATGTAATTCCCGGAGACGGGGAATGCAATGGTCATTTCAGATAGGGACTGGAGGACTCCCCACACACAAGAGCAAACCATAGCATAGGCAATGAGCATATTCCCTGGGCCACCGGTTGCTAGGGCTTTGCCGGTCGCGATGAAAACACCACTGCCAATGTTAGATCCAAGGGAAATGATCTACGGAATGGTCAACGTTTTGCACAGGTCTACCGTGATGTTGACCACTCACATGGACTTGGCGAGGAGAAAAGGAACGGTGGAATTGGCCATTCCTACACTCTTGGGTCTCCCCTACATGGCTGTTATCAATACTACCAGTGGGTTTCAGCAGGCTTGCTTCTTTCTTTGCTGTCTGCTTCTCAGTCTGGCTCCCATGGGAACAGACTTCCGAATCAGTCATTTTGACTTTGGACTTCTTATAAGAATCAACAGGATAGTAAAGAGAATTTGTTGAAAGAACAGGCAATTGGCCTCGGGGAATCTAAGAGTTATATAGAGCGGGAAGAACGTGAAAGCCCAGTCATCAGGAGGCTCAAGACGTCATAAAATGCTTTATCACGATGATTAGGCAGGCATTTCCGCTGAGCAGGTAGCAATGATAATACCCAAATCCACAGAAGCACCCTCATCTGCGATAACCAACGATGCCATGAACCCACTTCCCCGCATTCTGGGGAATTTGACTTTCACGGCGTGTCGTTTTGTCTCCTTCGCGTGTATGCTTGGATCCACAGCGGCAACTGCATGGCAGATTGAAAGGCTGTGCTGTATTAGTCTGTCCATCGCGGTGTGATAGGTGTCCTAGGCTATGTAGGTTTCCCCATCTAACGATTTTAACTTCTATCCCTCCGTGTGACATTCGCCATCCGGCCAGATTGAATTTCGCCACATCCAGTCAACGTTTTATGCTGTCCTGAATTTGAGCAGGGGCTTCCCTTATCATGAGAAAAAGGTCAGAAAGAAAGTTTTAGCCATGACCAGCCAGCAAGTTGATCCGTGATACAAACTGTAATTCTTTCCTTGACCGGAGAAACAGTCTTGGCAGATAGCAATGCTTGGAAGGACGGCGGTGTCACTGATAGTCGACGGGTAGTCTTACCCGCGACGGAAATAAAAGGGCACGTCGTTCCGGGCCTTCCAATCAGCAGCCGTCCTAAGTCCTCCATATCAGCGCCTCCCCCACAAAACAATACGCCAACTACAAGAGGGATTGTTCGGCTTTTGATAGGTAGGAAGTGATTATGAGTCTTAGCAATTGATTCAATGGAAGGGCGTTCCGCACAACAATGATATATACTTTGAGGCTGTTCAGCTAGTAAATTGAGCACACGAAGATAACTGATTCCTTCTTTTGTCATTCACGCCACGTTTGGAACCAGGAATAATATTTTCGAGAAATTGCGAGTCTCCCAAAAAATATGGAAGCGGCAATCATTGGTGCTGGTGTCATCGGCCTCTTATCAGCTCTGACTTTGACCGACGCTGGCTACAGAGTGACCATCATTGCTCGCGACTTGCCAGGCGACGAATCCCAAGACTGGGCAAGCCCTTGGTATGAACACCTGCTGCTCTTTGGGCTAACCAGAAGATTCTGACGGGTGCTGTACAGGGCTGGAGCGGCAATCTTTCCGCATCCAGATGCCAAAGGTCATTCACTTCAAGTCGAAAGCTTCAAATATTTCTGGGCTCTCGCACATAGAGATCCTACGAGTGGGGTCCAGGTAAGGACTTGTATCTTCATTGATAAGCATAAAAGCCATGAGTTAATCTGAGAAATATAAATAAAAGGTGGTCAAAGCAACCGAATACTATGATGATCGAGAAGACGACTCCACGATTTGGTACAAGTCCCTCGTACCACAATATCGCCGGATTCCCACTAAAGACCTCCCCGATGGTGTTAAACTGGGGTTTACTTTCAAGACCATGACGGTCAATCCCGCAATCTTTCTTCCGTGGATCAAAAAAAAGTTGGAAGTCCGAGGTGTCCGTTTCCTTCGAAAAGAAGTCAAAGACATCGAAGAAGCCAAGCTTATAACTGGGTGCGGAGTGGTTGTTCATGCACCTGGGCTAGGCGCTTCGGAATTGGCCAATGACAAGGACGTGGTAGCTGTTCGCGGGCAAACTATGTTCGTGGAAACCGATTTCGACGAACTGATTATGCTCCAAGGATCGCAGTACACCTACATAATTCCGCGGATGTATACTGGCGGTGCGATCATTGGGGGAGTGAGCCAGGAAGGCAATCTAGATCGTGGGGTAGACGAGACTTTGCGGTCTAACATCCTTGGGCGGGTGAAAAGTATTTCTAAAAGACGTCTTGACTCTGTGGACTTGGAAAAGTGTTCCACCAGGAACATCGTCGCGTTCCGTCCTGGGAGAAAAGGAGGCTATCGTCTCGAAAGCGAGGGAAACGTAGTCCACGCATATGGGTTTGGGAGCCTGGGATATATCTACGGATATGGAGCAGCCTTGAAGGTTCGAGAGTTAATAGAGGCCGGGGGCGAAGGCCAGGATATTCCAAGAAGTCGACTATAATATTACCTAGCCTTATGGTAGCGCAAGGACAGCACTAAATTCTATAGTTTACCTCCAGCCAAGACTTAGGAACATTCATGGACCAATGCCAGTCGTTGCTTCCACTCACTTGTACTCTCAGCAACCCAGGCCATTAGTAGGGAATTGCCGGATCTGTCCTGCTCCATGCAGGAAGTAAATATTGTCCGGATCAAGTTTTCCCAGAAAGAAAGGAACCGCAGATTGCTTCTGAATTCCGAAGGACATGACAGACGTCAGCTTCGCGGAAGACTACCTTCTAGCGACGGGCGGTTGTCCCCATTCCAATGACACTAGTATAAAAAGTTGCGGCACAGGTGATCTTGAATGGGAACCATAAGTCCCACAGTCACCGAACGGCGTGGATTGCGCCACCCCTGGAAGGAGCAGCTCAGCCCCGTACCTCGTATCCCTGATCGCCGGCTCGTGCCGTATTTCGTGACAGTGTGAATGAAGAGCCCTGCTAGCGTGAGGCTGTGTGCAGCCAATCTCGCCAAGTAGCAGTTCCCCGCAGGCCAAAGTGCATGGCAGGGCCCCGAGCCTTAGGGGCGCACGGGGCTAAAATAAGCAAATGTCACCCTGTTAAGACGTCAAATGCGCAACTTTCGGGACTGTGATGTGTATGTCGGACCAACTTTGCGAATACCCTCATATCATTGATCATGCCTCCCAAACTACGCGCCATGGCATTGTAAATTAGGGAGCGTGGAAGTTCGAGTTATGGGCGCTCGTCGGCTCTGTGCTTTCGTTCGCGATCATGGTCGTCGTGCTTGCAATCTTCGATGGTCGTCCGATGTTCGACTGGAAGAGCGTCACGCTCAACGCTATTATCTCGGTGCTCTCCGTCGCCATGAAAGCGGGTCTGACGTTTGCGGTTGCGGAGCTGACCGGTCAATGGAAATAGATATTATTTTCGCGAGGTGAACGGCCGTTGATGGACTTTGAACGGATTGATATGGCCAGCCGTGGACCCTGGGGTAGTTTGAGGGTTCTTTCACGGATGCGTGGCCTGCAAGTGTAAGACTAGGTTTACTATACCCCGTCGATTGAGTACCCAAGCTGACCTGGAGAAGACTGCCCCTCCAACTCGGTGCCCTGTTAATAGTACTTGCCATCGGTCTCGATCCATTCTCACAGCAGCTTCTTCAATTAGAGCAGAGACCCAGATTCGTTGACGAACCTGCCTGGCATGCCGACCCAGGCGCTGCGTTTACCACTCTGGCGATGAGCTTCAACTGGGGCAAAGCACTCTATGCGCACGATTGGTCGCGAGCCGAAAATTCAACCCGCAATCCAGTTATCAGGATGAAGACGGAGCTGGAACTGTCCATCCAAGCGGCGATCCTGAATGGAGACTCGCGCACCCGAAATGTAGTCGATCAACAGGGCACCGTGCAGGGTCCGACCGGAATCTGCACCTGGGACCAGTTTCAGACTCTTGGTGTATGCAACCGGTGTCAGAATCTAACGCCAGACCTGAAAAGGATTGATAGTTTCGGGGAGGTATACAATGCCCTCTATAATGACGGCTCTGGAGACGTATATCAGAAGGGAAATGGCACTGCCTTTACTTTACCTAATGGCCACTTCCTTATGAATATGAATGACTGCTCACTCAGCGATGGCACTTACAGCTACATCAGCCCAACGATCGGACATGCGCCGCCGAAGCAATTGACGATGTCGGCTTTTGGGACTGGGGATACGAACAAGACAAATAGCATGCAGGATTTATACCCTGATATGGTCCATGAGCATGATCCACCTAGACAAGGCGAATATCAACAATTCCTCCGAGCCAGACTATGAATACAGATGGCCTGAGATGCCGCTTCTGGCAACCGAGTGCGCGATATACTACTGTGTCAAGACCATCGACTCAACCATGGAAGGAAACATCATCCGCGAGAACGTGAGCGAAGCAACCGTCGCAGTTCGCGACCCGAATTCTTTCCTCCTCCCTTGGAACCTCGACTATATGGCGCCAGAGAATATGCTACCCATCAACGAGTCTGCAACCGCTGGAGTTTAATGAGCCTTATGGATACGCTGGCCGGGATGATCCCATCCTGCATTTCCCAGATAACTCCAGCAGATCCTCGTACTCAGTCAGTGATAGTGCAGTCTGGGCGCTGAGCCATTATATGCAGGATTTGTTCTCCACAAATCTTACAACGGGAGCCAACATGACTACCGCGATGTTGGACGTCCTGCCGAAGGACGCAGTCGGGTATAACGGGGTAATAGAGACAGAACAAAGCAATCCCGCAGCAGTTGGCTCATTTGGAATCCAGATAAGCTCAATATAGCAGATACCTTTGGTACACTTGCTGCGAGTATGACGCACGGGATGCGAGGGGAATACGATGGCTATACTGTTGACTATGTGTACGGCCGTACAGGGACACCCACCCAGTACTATAAGACGCAGTGGGGATGGATCGCGCGCCATGGTCTGGTGCTGATTGGTGGAGCGGTGTTCTCGTTTGTGATGATGATCGATTCAGCAAGGCCTTCGGAGGCAGTTCCGGTCTGGAAAAACATCCCTTTGCGACTATTACTAGCGGGCCGTCGGCAGTGGACGCCCTCAAGGGCGCGAATACTGTGAGGGAAATGGAGAAGAAAGCGCGAGGGGAAAGTGTGACGATGCCAGTGGGTAAGGCATCTACATCATACCAGCAAATCAATCAAAATGAAGAAGGCAATATACTCTCGATGCGGCGGCTCGGGGGGAGAAGACTTACAGCTCCCGAGAGTGTACGATACAGCTCTGGGGAACGAGAAGTGGGTTCCTTGAGTTGTAGCACTTAGAAAGTGAGTGCAGCGATCGGTTGATTTAATTTCCGATGGGTGTGCCCACGCGTATCAGCTCCTCTCAGAGCAATAAAGGTATAGAACGAACCTGTCGGTCCTCGGAGCCGTACCGTACACTCCCGGAACCTGTAGGTCCTCTGGGAGCCTTTGCTACTACTTCTGGGAGCAAGCAAATCTGGGCCTGACGACATGGAGCCTGGAAGCAGAGATCAACTGGTGCTGATCCAGAACTCACTGAAGACTGTTCATCAGGTTCTTGGATCAAGAGGGCGAGTTAGACTCAGCTGCCAAACGCCACTAGGTGTAATAAAATATGAATTTCCTCTTGGGTCCTACCTGGAAATATGAAGTCTGACTTGTGATATGCGAACGTGTTGTCTCGGAAAGGAGTAATGCAGCCACCCTTGCTTGCACCGGCCTTCGGTGGAAGCATTTGCAAATTTTGTTTGAAGGTTCGTATCCAGCATTACTTATAGATATAGTAGACTTGAATGCTGAACCACTCTTTACTCGTCCAATAGATCATAAACAGATCAACTGCCCTAGTCTAGAATGCAAGTGACTCAATTCAAGCTGTAACCTCCACGCGATCATTTAGTTCTTCTGGAAAAAGAAGAAACCGAAAATACTGAAAAGTATTGAAAAGAAAAAAAGGGAAATTACCAGACAAACAAAGCCGACCAATGAGATGCCAAGCCCAAGTAAGGGGCTGGCATAGTGGACCATGTGATAAATTACAATACGTTCAGCTCTTCGACTTTATTTGCTTTTCCTTTCTGTACCTTTTGAAATGTTAGAAAAACATCTCAACATGCAATGATGCAAAAGGCAAGACTTAATGGCGTGTCCGAATATGAATGTTTAGAAGACGATCTCCGTCAGATCCCTGAAGATCAGCCGCTGCTCAGATCCCCCTCCACCCACCCAAACACCAACCCTCAACATGGACTTGCCATCATAACTTGCAGTGCCTTGGTATTATTTATTGCCGCTGCAGTCAACGGCCTAGTCACCCTCAATATCACACAATTTTCATCCGAGTTCGGATTAGACCCCGGAGTTGAATTATGGTGAGAGACATCTCCAGTGCCCAAGCCAGTTTTCTATCTGGCGACACAGAATAAGCCAAGGCTCACAACTCGACAGGCCAATGTCACTGTACTATCTCGCTCAAGGCTGCACATTCCTACTAGCAGGGTCTTTAGCAGACGTCCTAGGCAGCAGGAAGGCATTTCTGTCCGGATGCTTTCTACAGACTGTTTGCTATCTGGCTAGTGGACAGGCCCGGACCGGCGCGCAGCTTATTGCTGTTAGATTTGTGTCCGGCATGGCTTACCCAATGTGTTTCGTTTCTGCAATGAACATCCACAGGGAGAATCTTGCAATTGGGAAGCTACGCAATTTGGCGTTTTCCTGTACGAGTGCAAGTCAATATGTTGGCTCTGGGGTAGGCATCGTCCTTAGTGGAGTGCTCTCGGAGACTGCTGGTTGGCGATGGGGCTTTCATTGTGCCGGAATTTTGAGCCTATTTGGCTTTCTCCTGTCAATTTGGACGATCCCTCGACAGGCCCAAGACCCAAAATATATCCCATGGACAGAACTGCTTGAAGATATCGATTGGTCTGGAACTCTGCTGGCTAGTACATTAATGGCGCTCCTGTTATCTGCGTTGGCGTACGTATCCCATCTCAGCGACGGTCTATATTTTCAGGACGCTGATAAAATGATAACTAGTGTCATCACAAACAATGTGGCAAACATTGGCAGATCCGGTCTCTTCGTTCCTCTTGCTCTCGGTTGGATCCTCCTGGTTGCTTTCCTTTTCTGGCAGGATTGCTGGGAAAGAGACACCACATATCGGATCCAAGATTCTCTTTGGACAAACTCCCATTTCCTTTCCATCGGTCTGGTAATATTCTTCGTCCACGCCTCTTCTCACTCTACGTCGCAGCTTATGATCTTCGTATTCCAACGAGCACAAGCGCTCTCGGTTCTACAATCATCTTGGCAATATCTGGCAATCCCAATCACCGGCGCGCTGAGCAGTCGGCTTACTGGACACTTTTTATCCCGTGTTGAAGCCAACCGGATCCTCGTCATTGCACTAGTGCTCTCTAGTCTCTCCCCACTATTGATGGCTATGTTGAGCCCAGCTTGGCTTTACTGGAGATATGCAATGCCGGCCGCTTTCTTGAACTCGGTGGCATCAAATTCAGTCATCCCTATTGCCGCAATGATGATAGCCGGGTCTTTTCCTTCGGAGACTCAAGGCCTTGCAATGGGAGTGCTATGCACTGTGGCAATGATTGGCGCCTCCGTAGGCATGGCACTGACTGCACTTATCTCAAACGATGTCAGCACACAGCTACTCCAGACCCCCGACCAGAGGACTTCTTTGCTTGAATCCCCAGAGATATGGATGAGCGGCTATCGGACAGCATTCTGGTTCTTGTTCTCACTGAACTTGGTCGGCTTGGCCATCGCTCTTGGCTGCTTGCGAAAACTTGGATACTTGGGTCGAAAATTACATATAAGCCATTAATTCGTCCATCTCCGTTTATTTATCCGAAGCCCGTGTTCCCATTACTATAGGAGTAAATAATTGATTAAAGTATACCTAATGGTACACAAACACGTTCTATAAAGCTTAAGGATTGAATCTGGGCCTTCTATGAGATTAGTCACGAATCTGACAATCGGCTACCACCTTCCCCATTGAATCAATATGAGAGAACTCAGGCCATTAATAGCCCCTTCTGTCCCTTCAATCGTCCCTGAGTAACCATACATCGGCTAGTATTCATAGAATACGACAACGCAATCTTATAATGGTGGGATGCGTGTTCGGACACTTAAATAAAATCCGAGACCAGGAACAACCAATTTGATTTAAGCTCATAGAAAACTTGGGCGAAAAATAGAACACCATGTCACCTCCAAAACAGAATATCCTCTTCCTCACCAGCCCGGAACATGGGCAGTCCAACGTCGCACTTGCAGTGGCCGAAGAGTTTCTACACCGTGGGGAGTTTGAAGTCCACATCGCCTCCTTCAAGGAATTATCAGCTCGCGTGCAAGCGATAAATGACCAAGCAGATTACGACCAGGTTATTCATTTTCATCCAATTGCAGGTCCGTCGCTGGCTGAGATCGTCACCCGTACAACATCAGACATATCTCATCTGCCAGGGCTCGCCGGGACGCGTGATGCATGTGACATATTCAACATCTCCGTGCTGGGATGGAAGCCTGACGAATATATACGGTCATACCGAAGCTGTCTCGCGATTCTGAAAGATGTACATCCGGTCGTCGTGGTTGCAGACCCGCTGTTGCATCTAGGACTAGATGCCGCTCGCAGTATTGATGCGCGAATCGCGATACTTTGGCCTGTGCCTTTGAAAGATGTGGTTGTAACTGTCCAGCCGAAAGCTGGGTTTTTGTGGAAATACCCGTTGTGAGCAGATCATATCGCCCGGATGGAGTTTGAGGATCTCGCTGACTTTCATGTTCAGCACCGGATCGGGATATCCATACCCCCTACCATGGAGACTGATCCTTGCGAACATATACATGATATTTTGCTTCGCATTTCGTATTCGCTTGGGCAAACCCATGCGCGATATTCTGGATATTCGAAAGAAAGCAGGAATCCGGACTGCATTTCCCCAGGTGGCGCCTTACTGCGAAGACCATCTGCACCTCTCGCCTGCATTGCCAGAGATGGATTTTCCGTTCTACGTCCCGGATAATGTTGTCAGCTGCGGTCCGATCCTGCGCTCATATTCGTCGGTTGTAGATAGCGATCCGGCACTGGATTCATGGTTGAAGGAGCCAACAATCCTGATATGTCTTGGGTCACATGTTCAAGCGCCAGAGAATGATGCAATGCAGATGACGGTGGCCATACAGGCTGTTTTGCGCGAGTTTCCTAATGTGCAGGTCTTGTGGAAGCTCACATATGACTGGGAAAGCTCACCGGCAGTCAAGAATATTCTCTGGCCTCTTGTTAATTCCGACAAAGTGAGGACCTTTCGTTGGATCCAGCCAGAGATTATATCTGTTTTGGAAGGCGGCAATATAGTTGCATATGTCCACCATGGAGGAGCCAACTCATTTTTCGAGGCGTGCAAGTAAGTTTCCTTAGGTTCACACGTTGATGAACCAAAGGTGCTGATTTCTCTTCTCAGGGCTGGTGTTCCGCAGGTCATTCTGCCCCAGTGGTTCGACACATACGATTGTCCGGCCCGAGTAGAGTGGCTAGGCATTGGCCTACATGGAAGTCGCAATGTGGCACCGAAAATAAACGGATTGGAGCTGTCTTTGGCCCTGCTGCGAGTACTAAAGGATAAAGGGATTCAGAGACAGGCTAGGGCTATTGGAGATTTGTGCAAGATGACCGAAGGGCGTGTAGTTGCTCATGATCACATCGTACAGTACGCCCAGAAGTATATTAAGGGTTTGTAGACACAATAAATTCACTGAGTCATAGGCTTTCACAGTTCCTTTTCCCGAGGACTCAGGGCGCGGTGGGCGTGCATCTGGGAGAATGGCATATGTAAAGACCGAGTCGGCAGCAATCCAATAAGATATTTTGGTCAAACTAGTCAATCGAAACCCATGCACTCAATCGTATAAATCGTGAAAGAGGGAAGGGAAAAGCAGCAACCGCGATCCTCAAGCCCCGTGTCCATATCCAGAAAGAAAGGTCCCAGTGGCTGTAATTAGACAGTGGACAGCTCTGTCAAGACTCGCCGGACATCTTGCCGAGCTTGATTCAGCTCTTCATCAACGTCTCCGTTGACATGTCTCGCCTTCACCTCATAGTGTAGCTCAACCAGTTCCTTTGCACGACGAAGATCGGCCTTGTCGTCCGCCGGGCTCTTATCTACCAATGCGCTACCAGACTCGGTTGAATCTGGGCTGATATTTTTGTGCACATTCACCAGGGCCAGGGCCTCGTTATGACCCTGTGCCAGGTCGTTAGCATTGTCATATTGTCTGGTGGGGTACTGTCCCTTGTCCAAGAAGCGGCTTGGACGCGTTTATCGTAGTGGGGGCAGTCTTCTGGGGGAAGCGTGATACTTACGCAGACGCGGAGGGAATTGATATCCGAGAGAATCTCTGCGACTTGCATGTTGATATGTGTAGTGTAGTGATGTTCAGGTCGAGAGAGACATTTGTGTTGGAAGTCAGAGCCAAACATTGCAATGTCTTGGCAGACGGGGAACTCGGCATTGGCAGACTCCCGAGGTCATTCACAGTTCCTTTTCCTCTTGACTCTGATGATACTGGTATGGATGCTCGGGGATTTGTTTAAATAATGCATTTCATTTGTTTGTTTGTCGCCTCCTGAATGTATTCTCGGTAGATCATAGAAGAAATGCCATTGGTTCGGACGCCAAATGATGATTTCACCATATATACTTCTAGTCTCTATAAGTCAAAATATACAACACTCGAAAGACAAATCTAAGTCTCCTTGAACTCATACCGCCCCTCCCGGTCCTGCACCTCAACATCAATCCGCCCTTCCTCGATCTCCTTCCCATCAACCTCAATCGATGCCCTCATAACATCACCCGCCTTGACCTGCCCAACACCCTTGGGCGTACCGGTAAGAACAATATCACCCTCCTCCAGCGTCATCACGCGGGAGATTTGCGCCAGCTGCTGCGGAATGCGGTACAGCATCAGGCTAGTAGAGTCAGCCTGGCGCTCCGTCTGGCCAACGCGGAGGCGCAGGAATGCGTCATGCGGGTTCGGGATGCGCGACTTGGCGATCTGCTGCGAGATAGGAAGGAAGGTGTCGAAGCCCTTGGCGATGGACCAGGGGAGGCCCTTCTTCTTTGCCTCGTCTTGTACGTTGCGGGCTGTCATGTCAATGGCGAGGATGTAGCCTGTTTACCGCAATGGGTTTGTTTTATTAGCGGTTTGTTGCTTGAGCCCATACCCTTGGTCCACCGCTCTGGTGTAACAATGCGGTATGCCTCAGATTCGGATTGCGTGCTGTACTCACTCTGAATCGCGTCCAATGCGGCCTTCTCATCGTTGGGATCGAGATCGCGAAGGGTTTTGCCGATCACAAGACCCAGTTCGACCTCATAGTGCAGGCTGACGCCCTTGGGGCGGAGGACCGGACCCGAGCCGGGGAGGAGGATGGATGATGCGGGCTTCAGGAAGAAGAATGGCTGCTTGGGGGCTGTGTTGTTGAGCTCGGTAATGTGATCGCTGGATCAATCCATGTTGTTAGCAATTGTGGCCGAGGGAGAGAAAGCGCCGCCGCTGTCGGAAACCCCGAGGGGAACAAGGCGCGGGGAGACTGAGAGACTCACGCATAGTTGCGGCCGATGCACATAATCTTGCGGCAATTGGCGCGGATGGAAGCCATTTTGGAGGGAATTAAAGCTATGCGATTGACAAGGAAGAGGAAGGAAGTCGTGGGGGTTAATCTTGATCGGAGGTTCGGGTGTCCTCCGAAAGATGCGGAGAACTCCAGAGTCAAGGTTTCTGCGCCCGCTTGTATCTTTATCCACTCTTTAACTAACATGATGAGAGAGGAAGATGAAAAGGAAGATACATATCTATATACCTGATACCATAGAATCCAATGATAATGATCTAGAGTACTGTACAACATGATATAAGTCTCCGCTACTGTATGTAAATATTATGTTTTAGTTTGATCAAGGGATTTACACCTCTAATCTCGAGGTTAATGGGCTATTATTTGCACATAAGGTCCGAATATCACCATCTTTCTTGAACTGCGGCTTTTGCTATTCGGCAATTGATATACCAACAGTTTTCATATCAGCCACAGCTATCGGGTCGCTTGTCCGAGCATCGGAACTTGTTCCGAGCAATTCAATATCTATAGACAAATAAAGTGACATAAATAGAGTCAGTCAAGGCACTGAAAATGATCAAAAGATCTGGGATTGACAGGGTGAAGGGGAAGTCTCAATCGCTGATTATTCGCTTCCGAGACTCAGAGAGCTGGTTATTTCCCGAAAAGGTCTGGATGGCAACCTCTGGCCTTGCTTGCGAGTTCCGAACATGTGGCTCTTGGTCGTGGCCAATCGGAGAGAGCTCCGTCTTACGGGAGTATATGATTCTGTGAAATCTTTGGGGCCTCAGAAGCTAGGGCTTCGTTATCCAATTCGTGATAGAGTCATGGGCTACCAAGGACAAATCCCCAGGCTTCAAGGTGATGGAGGCTCAACAGCTGTCATAGAGACTCGAGTGCACCTGTGTGCCACTCAAGTCCTAACGCACTTGCCACAGTAAAGGATAATATAAACTGAACTTAGACAACAGCTACCGAACAAACGGTGAGAAGTTGATGACGGTTAAACTAGGTACATCTATTCAATGAACACAATACGAATTTAAATATCATTCAAGGACAACGCCCTGAGGAACAAGTCACATTTTGGCCCGGTCTATTGATTAAGTACGAGAAGAGGCAGCATCCTTAACCAACAAGAGCGAGCTAGATACAGACAAGGGGAAAACAGAGGGAAATGCATAAAAAAATAAGAGAAAACGGAGCAGCAAGAGTTGAACGCAAACATGTCTCATCTCCGTTAGTGCAAGACATAGGGAACCATAGCAAGGGCCGGGAAAAATCCTGGGGCGTCGACTTGTCGACTCAATATGCAGAAGGCATAGCCCCATTCACTTCCCCAGCACAATGCAGGCGGAAACGCAGAAAGCCACTTTTAACGCAGATTCTGCGATCGTAAACCGCATCAAGACGTCAAGAGTTAGGGTGTTTAGATGAGGTCAGCCACGTTCATGGGCATCTCCTCAACCTGGGTGGAGTAGAACTGCTCGATCTCGCGGAGCATGCGAACATCATCGGCGGTGACGAAGTTAATGGCAACACCCTTACGACCGAAACGACCACCACGACCGATACGGTGAATGTAGTTCTCGCGGTTGGCGGGCAGATCGTAGTTGATGACCAGGGAAACCTGCTGCACATCGATACCACGGGCCAGAAGGTCAGTGGCGATCAGGACACGGGAAGAACCGGAACGGAACTCCTTCATGATAACATCACGCTGGCCCTGCTCCATGTCACCGTGCATGGCGGAGACGGTGAAATCACGGGCAGTGAGCTTGTCGGTGAGCCAGTCGACCTTTCGGCGGGTGTTGCAGAAGATGACAGCTTGGGTAATGGTGACGGTCTCGTAGAGATCGGAGAGGGTGTCGAGCTTCCACTCCTCCTTCTCAACAGCAATGTAGAACTGCTTGATACCCTCAAGGGTAAGTTCCTGCTTCTTGACAAGGATACGGACGGGGTCGCGCATGAACTTGGTGGTGACCTCAAGGACATCCTGGGGCATGGTAGCGGAGAGCAGGGTAACCTGGGTAGACTGGGGGAGCAGCTGGAAGATGTCGTAGATCTGCTCGGTGAAACCACGCGACAGCATCTCATCGGCCTCGTCGAGGATGAAGAGCTTCATGGAGGTGGTGGACAGAACACGGCGCTGGATCATGTCGTGGACACGGCCGGGGGTACCGACAACGACCTGGGGGCCGGCACGGAGAGCGTTCATGTCCTCACGGACGTTGGTACCACCGATACAGGCGTGGCAGTCAAGGGACATGAAGTCACCGATGGCAACAACGACCTTCTGGATCTGCTGAGCCAACTCACGGGTGGGAGCAAGGATCAGGGCCTGGCAGGCCTTGACCTCGGGGTCGATCTTCTGCAGGGCGGAGATGGAGAAGGTAGCGGTCTTACCGGTACCGGATTGAGCCTGGGCGATAACATCGTTGCCTGACCTCACAGGTTAGGCGCAAATTTCAAAACTGGGCTCTGAAATGAACAAACTCACCCTTGATGATGGGCATGATGGCACGCTGCTGGATAGCGGAAGGGCGCTCGAAACCGTAAGCGTAGACACCTGAATCCCACCATCAGTATTTTTTTTTTTTCAACCCCACTGATAAGACGAAGGGGTACTTACCGCGAAGCAGCTCGGGCTTCAAGTCCATGGAGTCGAAGGAGTCGGTGACCTCATCGTAGTTAGACTCGATCTGCCCTGTTAACGAAAATTGTAATATTAGCCTCCATCTTCATAACGCCTTTCATATCTGACGCCATCCAAGACTAAATGCGATCGCGGTTGCGACTTCCAGCGAAAGCAGAGTAGATCTTTAGTCGAAAGGTGACAGGAATTCTAGCACGTACCCTCGGCGAGATCCTCAAGACCCTTGTCAGCCATATTTGCGGTTTGATAGGAAGGATCACAGGCTGTGATCAGTGTGGTGGGGTAGTTTTAGCGAACTTGTGGAGGTCGCTGCGTGGGAAAGTTGACTTCTAGTACCTCAGACTCTTTATTAAAGAGTCTTTTTATAGGATACTAGGAAAGGTTGGCAAAAGTGGTTGGATGTGAAATTCACAAATTGGGTGGGAGGAGAAAGAGAAGAAAAGCGAAAAAATCGAATGGCCACAACTGCGGCGCCATTTGCTACGCTTTTTTTTTTTACGGGGCATTATCCCACCGCTTTCCTTATTGGGGTGTGGCCAAGCCCAAGCGAGTTTACCAGAGTGAAATGGACTTGAAAACATCCTCTGACGATATTTGAACTCTTGGATTAAATTGGTGTGGGCGGATTGTTGCTCTATTCGGTGTTGACTCTGTCAATTCAGTTTCTCTTGTTCCCATTGATTTGGTGAACTACATTCCAGTTGGGCTAGGTCGCCACTAACCAAACAATCTTTGAAGCCCTAAAAGTGACAGCCTCAGATCATGCCTGACATCACATCGTTGCCGAGTCATCCACCACAGGATGCAGAGATCATAAGGAAGGCCATTCCCTCCCATCCACTAGGCGTGAAGCCAAGTGGGAATGCTCTGTTGGCTACCTGGAGTCTTCGAAGCGCCTTAGGGAAGTTTCAACACCTGCCAGATGAACTAATCTTGTTGTTGTTGGAGGGCTTCGACGGGCCAAGTCTGTTGAGCATCGGGCGGACATGCAAGGCCTTCTATGCATTTACCCGGGCCGAAGAACTGTGGAAGGCGCTGTTTGTTCGGTAAGCCACAAGCCTGCGGATCCAGTTGAATTATGTAGATCCAAGTCATGTTTTGTTCCTGAGCCCTACGCTTATTCATAATATAATAATAACCCAATGGGCACGATGATATCCATGCTAAACTGGTTGCAGCGACCCAAGAGAAGATTTCACATGGCGAGGGACATGGCGGTCAACATATCTCAATATCCCCGCCACGAAGGTGCCCATGGTGGACTGTTCTCAGCTATTCTCCGATTCTCTATACCGGCCTTTCAACTGCGCACACATCTCGCTCGACCCATATGTCTCCAAGATCCCGGCGCGGAACCAGATTTCACGACTTCCAGACCTGTCACCAGAGGAATTCCAAGCAAATTGGACCGACCGACCATTCATCTTGACCGAGCCTGTTAAGGCCTGGCCAGCATACAAGAACTGGACCGTCGGATCACTACTAGCCCGATACGGGAAGACCAAGTTCCGTGCCGAAGCCGTGGACTGGGCCATGCGCACTTACGGCGACTACATGGCGGACAATTCCGACGAGAGCCCGCTGTACCTCTTCGACCGGTCCTTCGTCTCCAAGATGGGACTTTCCGTCGGATCCCCAGAAACCACACCCGACGCATCGTACTGGCCACCAGCATGCTTCGCTGAAGACTTCTTCTCCGTGCTCGGTGACGACCGCCCTGATCATCAGTGGTTGATTATCGGACCCGAGCGATCCGGCAGCAAGTTCCACAAAGACCCCAATGCCACCAGCGCATGGAACGCCGTGCTACGCGGTCCCAAATATTGGATTATGTTCCCGTCCGGCACGAAACAGCCCCCGCCTCCGGGTGTATTTGTGTCGGATGACCAGAGTGAGGTAACTTCTCCACTCAGCATTGCTGAATGGTTACTGGGCTTCCATGCCGAGGCACGTCGGACTCCGGGCTGTGTGGAAGGGATCTGCGGCGAGGGTGAGATTCTACACGTTCCGTCTGGGTGGTGGCATTTGGTCGTGAACCTGGAGCCGTCGATCGCTATTACGCAGAACTTTGTTCCTCGAGGCCATCTCGGCGCTGCCTTGGATTTCTTGTCTAACAAGCCGGACCAGGTGTCTGGGTTCCGGAAGAACGTGGCTAATCCATGTGAGCGGTTTATGAGCGGTATGCGCGAGTCGTATCCCGACTTGCTGGAGCACGCGTGGGAAGAGTTGCAGAGAAAGAGCGAAGGCAAGAAGCGCAAGTGGGAGGATATTGTCCATGGGAAAACAGAGGACACCCCTGACGGGCAAGATATCGAAGGTAGTGGATTCAGTTTTGGATTTGGCGATGATGGGAGTGATGTTGAAGTCCCATGAACTATAACTGCATTATGGAGAAACTGACGGAACAACAAAACAATGATGTCGCCACCACAAGCTAGCACTGCTCTCCCGCCGGAAAGGGAAACCCATCAATTCCATACCCGAAACCAGTTCAAATTTTTGTACACTGGTCATCCTATCTACGGCTCCCACTAAGTCTGCAAATTCGTCAACTCCCTGGATTGCAACCTTCAATGACACGCGATCGTCTTTGTGGCTGGCGTCCCTTCGGAGAAAGCCAAGTACCCAACGAACGCGCCCACTGCAACCGCAATCATGACCTGCCCATTATACGTCATGAAGAGAAGCCTAAACCACCAAATCAGCGAGCCAAAACAAGGCCAGACAGTTTGCTAGAAGGCACTTACATGATGAAGAAGCTATAGAACACCTGGATGGCATACAAAGCCGCGAGGGTAATCTTGCCCTTGCGCGCCAATGCCGCTCTGTTCTCCCTTCCTGCAAGCAGTGGTGAGCTTTCGTGGTGAGTGTTATGATTTGCATCCGCCGGGCCGTTGGCAATGATAGGGTCGGCGGTCTCAGCGTCTGCAGAGAGCCAAGGCATCAATAAGAAGCTTGCCCATTCAGAGTATACCATCTCCCTATCATGTCTCCAATACCAAACAAAAACATAGCAGAATTGTTGGGAACGTAGTATCCTTGACATTGCACCTTGACCCACGGAAAGAGCAGATCACTTACCCCCAGTAGTGGCAGAAGTGCTCAACGCGCTTAACCGCTGTGCATGGGCAGTCTCGTATTTCCGAGTCGCAGACCGTATTCCCTCGTAGCCCGCAGTAAGAATAACGATAGCGAGGAGGGACACAAGGAGGGAGAAGGGACCAGTGATATGCCAGCTGCGGAAGATAATGCACAAATTCTCGGAGGACCAGTTAAACAGCATCTACGATTCAAACATTCGACATTAGCATGGGATCAAAGCAAGACCGAAGGCTATATCTCACATTCATATTGCATTTCCCACCCATATCCATATCACCATGGCCCATATCCCCATGACCCATGCCCATATGCGTCGAGTGATCCATCTCGAATAGTAGTAGATGTATATGCAAGAATAATGACTAGACCTCTTCTGTCTCAAAAATAAAACAAACGACAATATACTCGTAAGATTGCAGGTGGCACGAGGAGAGACAACAAACAAAGCACATGATCGCTGACGATTAAGAGAGGGGAATGCAAACAAGACAAATATTGATAAGATCTCCAAGCGGCTACAACCTTGGAACTCTAACCCAAACACGGTCATTGACTACGCACTGACACAACTTCCACCGAAGCGTTAGCTTCGTTTCGCCCATTCCTCTCACGCGATACGTCCATTCGACATAAAACAAATATTTTTTTATTGCGTTCCACCCCGCCAATAATGGCTGACACAGCACCGGCTCCAACACCCGCGCCCGCGACCACCGGAGCTGCGGCGCCCACAGCCGGCGCAACAGCAGGGGCACCGAATGCGCCTGTAGACCAGAATGCCGCAAGTCGCGGTCTACCATACTACGAGAAACTGCGCCGCGAGCTGAGGGACACACTACAGAAAAAGCGATTAATGGATAAGAGCATGGTGAGTGCAGTCCCGCGCGTTCTCGTCCTCCAGGAACCGGACGTCGTTACCTCTCTGCAAATTTGCTCTTTCGCTGCGCGAGCATGTTCTTCAATATGGTCTCGTCCCGAAATATCGCGCCCCACGGATGCCTAAACCGTTCTACTGTGATGTGTTGCTAACACCCCTTTCCCCAGGCTCAACTCGAAGACCAAATCTTCCGCTTCGAACAGTCATACCTGGAAGAAACCACCGCTGGAAACATCATCAAGGGCTTCGACAACTACATCAAAGGCTCCGCAAGCAGTTCAAGTCTCGGCGCTGCGGGACTGGGTCTGGGCGGTAGCATGGCCGGGAGGCGAAAGGCGCAGGTGACGGAATCGGATCGAGTTTTCTCGCGGAGCTCGGCGAGTTACATGCTGGTATGTAGGACCGACTCAAACAAAGAATTACTCGTCTTGGACGTTGAGTAAGGTGTTCTTGATTTGAACTGGGGACTAACGGTTATTATTGTGTCTGCAGGATTCTCCAGGCCCCTCCTCTACACAAACAACGCCTTCCCATGCCGCAACGCCAACATCTACGACTGGCGGGAATGGCATGTCTATGAAGATTGACCCGCTGTCTGTCTCTGCCAGCGGGATGAAGAGCTCGAGTGGCTCTTCGAAAAACAAGAAGAAGGCGACTGGCGGGTCGAAGAATACGAAAGGCAAGAACCAGACCGAGGAATTTTCCGACGAGGACAAGCCTTCTGTTAAGCGGTTGAAGATTAGCTATGGGAGAGATTGAGTCTAGATTCAGTCTTTATGTTCTGCGCCGCCTTGCATCTGCTTGGCTTTTTCTCGAGTTCGGAGTTGGTTGGTTTGTATTTTCACATGGCTCCTGGGAGGAGTCGTTGCAGGCGTAGCAGGGAATGGAAATGGGATGTCTTATTACACCTACGATGTGATATCATGTAAATCACGAACTTATACAGAAAAGACTACAGCGTTTGTTGAATACACCATTTGTTTCATTGTTTCCTAATGAATGCGACACGAGCTAAGTACATACGACGGGTGCCTTGCGATGTTCTTTTGGCTAGGTTAAAGGCTGCCACTTATGTTCCTGATAATCACAGCTGCAGTCTGTACGTAGCGACCTCAAACGCTCTCAACTCAATCTTGATCGCCGAGCGATCGTCTTGAGTCTCAATTTCCAGCCCGTCATTGTCATTGTCTTCAAGGATATTGCACTTGAAAGCATTCTTCACAGGCAGTGTGGTTTCAATAGTACCACGAGCCTTACCACCAAGCGATTCATAGACACGCAGAATAACACTCTTCCCAGGACGGGTAGGAGTACCATCCCACGAAACATCATCATCATCCTCGCCACGCTTGACAACGTCCAGAATCAAAGATGACGCGCCCTTGATAGACAGAGATCTAAACAGGGCATTGGAAGCAGATGCTTTAGGACCGGCCTTTTCAACGATGAGGGGGTTATTGAAATTATAGCCCGCTCGGATCGTTCGGGCATCAAGGGCACCAGAGTGGGGAAGGATTGCATAGCGAACGTGGTGGCGGCCCATGTCAGCATGGGCATCTGGTGCCTTGGGGGCACGGAGCAGCGAAAGGCGCATCAGGTTACCGCATGTTGCGAAGCCGTATTTAGAGTCGTTTAGGATGGAGACTCCGTAGCCGTTTTCGGAGAGGTCGGCCCATTTATGACAGCAGACTTCGAATTTGGCCATGTCCCAACTGCAGAGTAATTAGTATCGCTGTGAAGTATCTGGAAGGCCGGTGCATACCTTGTGTTATAATGGGTCGGGCGCCTAACGATGCCATACTGGGTCTCGTAGGATGCTTCGGTATTGGTGATATCAACTGGGAACTCGACCTTGAGGAATTTCATCGTCTCTTGCCATTCCACCTCGCTTTCCATTTCCACGTATGATGGCTCATCGGATGTGGATGCTGACAGGCTGATTGTGGTCTTGATCCAGCTCTTGTCGCTGATTTGAGTCTCGGTCATGACACTCACCCGGTGCGGGTCATTCTCTACAATGGTCGTCTTACCCCCGGGCAACTCCTTTCGTGACTCAAGATGGAAAACCTCGACATCCCATGCTTGCCAGTAAAGAGGCTTGTCGTCGAAGATAACTAGCTGGCCAGCCTTGCGGTTCTTTGCGACGATCTCTCTATCGGCTTCCACGTCATACAAAGATGTTATAACCCCGTCCTGAACATCAACCCTGAGCTTACCGTTCTCCAGGCGGAAGGCACCTGATTTGACCTCGGTCACAGTCACCGAAGTGGTTATTTTGAAGTCAACCGGCTGCAATTGCATCACTCCAGTTGAACCATCAGCCACGGCATATTTGGATCCATTGTATGCGAACAATGCTGGAGGAACTGCAACGACTTCTGATCGGGGCCATGGCAAGGTGTTGAGGGCCATGAAATTTCCACTGGTGACATCGCCAGTGATCCCCAAAGCCTCGAGGGCATTCTTCCGTAGCTTGGCTCCTGTCTCGAAGATTTCGGCGTACAACTTGTCTGAGTCGTCATAGCACATCTCGATGGAGCTACCCGGCAAGCAATCATGGAACTGGCAAAGGAGGGTCCCTTCCCACATCTCGTCAATCTCCTTCTTGGGATACAGATATCCGGCGTCGGAAGCATTGATGGTGGCAAGGGTCGCAAGAAGCTCGATATCACGCAGCAGGAACTCGGACTTTCGGTTATTTCGCTTGTTATTTGCTTGAGTGGTGTATGTTCCACGGTGCAACTCAAAGTAAAGCTCGCCGTACCAGGTAGCAAAATCAGTGCCAGAGGCAACCTTCGCCTCCAACTTCTCAAAGAAGTCATCTACCGACCCGCCCATCTTAACTCCGGGCAATGAGCCGACCTGGTCACTGAGACCACGGCAGCGACGCAGCTTTTCGAGGTGCTCAAAGGTCGGGCCACCACCCCCGTCACCTTTTCCGAACACAAGTAGCGATGTCTTGTCTGTATCTAGCGACTTGTGCTGAGTGACACTACGCTTGACATCACCGAAATGTGCTTCAGCCGTGTAGGTCTCGGAAGGAGCCATATGGCACATGACTTGGCTGCCATCAAGCGCAACCCACTGGAAAGTAGTGTGAGGGAAGTTATTGATATTATTCCAGCTGAGCTTCTGGGTAAAGAAACGGCTCATCCCAGCCAGGCGGCATATCTGAGGGATCTGCGTCGAGTACCCGAAGGTATCTGGCAACCAGAAAGTTGTGCTTCGTTTACCGAAGTTTGCCTCGAAGAATCGTTGTCCGTACAAAAACTGTCTGACCAGCGACTCTCCACTCGGCATGTTCGTATCGTGCTCAACCCAGCTCCCGCCGATAGGCTGGAAGTTGCCCTTCTTTACCCAGCCCTTCACGCGATCGAAGACGGATGGGTAGTGCTGCTTAAGCCATTTGAACTGTTGAGCCTGAGAACAAGCAAAACGGTGCTCAGGGTACCGTTCCATAAGATCACATTGGTTAGACCAGGACCGTGCTACCTTTCGCTTAGTCTCAGCCCAAGGCCACAACCAGCAAGTATCAATGTGGCAATGGCCAATGGCATAAACTATTGGCTGCGTATCTGTGTCGTAAACATCGGACGAATCCACTTTGTTGCCAAGGTACTTCCTAGCAATCTTCCGTGCCTCGTAGATAGATTCATTGCTTCCATTGCCGGCAATGAAGGCATCGATCATAGAATTGGCCACGACATTGGCTTCATGCGACTCCCATGACTCACCTGGGAATTCCCGGGCGGCATCTCCAATGATCCAGAAATCATAGTAAAGTGCCCGGGCAGCTAGATTTACAGCGGTGATTCGCGCTGTGCTGAGCGTGAAGTATTTATCGGGATTTGGTGGCTGGATCGAATCGCCACCAGGAGCATTGCCAAACATCCCATTGCAGGCCATTTCAATATAGAAGATATGCTGCTTCCCATCATACCAAGCCTTGGGGAGAACAAACTCGGTACGTTCTCCGCCCCCAGTCAAGCCCTGCAGGGGGTGACCGTCCTCTGTCCAGATCAGACCTTCGTTGTTGGCATCCCAGTGGAACTCCAGATGCTCCCGTTGGAGCATGTCGTCGGGCACCGTGAGGCGAATCCGGAACCAATGTGTGGACCAACTGGGGCCAAAAGAGGCGCCTATGTGAGTTGGCTTGAATTCCTGAGAAGTCGCCTCTTTGAAGGTCGGTCGCTGCAGGTCCGGAACCGAGTAAACAGAGAGCTTGACATGATGTTCGTCCGAATTTGTAGCTTCGTGGTACTTTGAGACGAGGTTTTGACCTTCATACTGGCCGTTCGATGTGAACTGTCTCAGTCGATCGGTGTAGATCTTCTTGATACGTTGGCCGACCGGGTGTTCGGCTAGCTGGGGTAAGGCTGGAGGAGCGGGGCGAAAGTGAACCTCCCCACCCATGATGACAGCTTTAGATATGAAGAAGAAATAGTACGTGGAGTTATAATAGGATCAAATGCAAACCTAAGTAATAGTATGAGGAGCATAAAGAACCAAGTAAAGAACAGAAGGTGAGAGAGGCGAAGGAAGGAGACTCTCCCAAATGCGGAGACATGACGGAATGCGGAGACGATCGACAAGTGGATGATGCTACGGTTTAACCTCGACTATGTACCTGGACAGTATCCACGGATATACATTAGAGTATTTTGATAATTACTCACATCGCTTCATATATATATTATCACCCAATATACTTAGCATACTTCATAAACTCTCCATCTACCTTTAACCGTTCCCAGTCTTCATCTCTCAGACAGATACCAACAGGCATCTCACCTGCAGCCGATCGGGGCATCAAATACTCCAGGCCCTTAACGGGGGTAAAGTGTGGTCTCCGCACAGCTTCAGGCGTAGCCGAACCTAGATTGGAATCTAGATCATATGAGCTAATCCTCGACCACGAACTAAGCATAAAATCCGACGAAAAATTGACCATGGCAGTGAAAGACGCCTTGGTCTTGTCATCCGAGCGGCTGAGAACTGTAGCGAGGGCACGGGTATTGAATATTAGATCATTATTCTTTGGATCGAGCTGGGACCGAAGCTCGGCGGCGACGATGCGCAAACGCTCTTCGCATAATTTCTTGATTGTGTCGGTTTTGTATGTCAAAGTCTGCATGAGCTTGGATAGCCCTGGGGAATCCAAAAACGCTGTCTCATGTCAATTGGGGCGTAAGCATCAATTCGGAAGTCACTTCTAGACGAGAATCCCGGGCACGGGCGATAGATTTCCAGATAAAAGCGTTGACAGCATCGTCCGTAGAGATAAAGTCTGTGGAGACGGACAATGTGTTCGTCGCGAGAGCTTTGAGGGAGCCAAGCTGTGCCGCGGAGAATTCAATGTAAGCTCATGCAGATTCTGGAGGTGTAACAGGATCCGAGACATATCTTTGACGCTTGGCGGGGGTTTCACAATCTGACGAGCGAGCTCAGGGCCCGGGGTGTACGAGTCATCCAGTAGCGGAATGGGATGACTCCGATCCATGTTACCGATTGCAAGTTCCTCGCTTGAGAAAGGCTCATTGTGGCAAGCCTTGGACAGTAATCCGAAGATAAAGTCTTGGCCAGTCATATCCATGACATTATGCTGAGCGACCAGCAAGCATCAACCCCGCCCTCGATGAAATTCGCCTGGACACAGAAGGTCAATGCTGACTCGGTCGTGATACTTGGCGAATTACTCGGTAGGTTTAGGGTCGTGCAAGGAGCAACGGTGTTCTCGTCAAGCATGGTAAAAGGCTACTTGGCCTGGCGAAGCCCGTCCATTGTCGGTGCGGAGGGCTCATGTCGTAGATCTTTCACCACGAGCTGGATTTTCTCGAGGGGAGTTATTTTGAAGACGCCCGTATTACCATCCCCTGCACCCTCGTTGACAACCTGGCCAGTAAGCCATGGGGAACTTTTTGCCAATTGGCCAAGTCCGTTTGTTAAGGTGTCGATGATGCCGTCATGAGAAGATGAATCCGGTACACGGTAGATGGAAAATATCTGTGTGTACAGTCTGTAGAGGCCTGGAGTTTGACCTAGTATATTGAGAACGTCACCTGTCATTGTTTAAGGGGTAGGTAAAGGAACAGGTTTGAGGTCTTCTATTCTTGTCGAGTGGATCAATACCCCCCGTGAGTCAACATGGCTCACCATGAATCAAAAATCAAATCAATTTTACCACTTCCTAGTAGGTCTAAAGCAAAATTTAGAGATATTTCTGTACATCAATTTCTTCATCATAGAGCCCGGCCATCCATTGACAGCACCATGGGCCAAAAAGGAGATATTCCGGGCAATACGATATGGGCGCCAGAGGCTCGAGATCTGACCTGCACTTCACTTTTGCAACCTTGTCCAGGGGTAATGAGATGTTATCGATATATTCAAACAAGACATATATTCACATATCCACATGCGTAAATTGATGGCCGTGAATACTTCGAAATAAATATGCGCGCCAAACGGAACATAATCTAATTGGGTATATGATCACGCAACCTCTAAATAACCAGATATATCTACTGTTGTAGATATACTTTGCCGGGAATAATCTCAGCCGTTTGACACTGGTTGCCTTCAGATTCCACCTTGTGAATATATACTCGGGGAATCGCTCACATAGTTATGGGAAGAAGAGGCCCTAGAAGAATCAGGTCCTTCGTAAAAGGCCTCATAGTCGATCGTTTGCACGGTGTCATTTGCGCGCGACTTCTTTTGACTATCCACACTTTCGACCTCGAGCGAGTCCTTTCGAATTTGGGAGCGGGACGCCGACCCTGATCCTGATCTCTGTCCAACGGCATTGTCAGACTGGGACGCTGATCGATCTCCCGAGTTGGTGTGACCTGAGACGGACTGCTCAAAGAAGTCTGAAACTACACCGGCCATCATGCCTGTCTGGAGCTCGGCGAGGACCCGTTTCAGCGTTGGGATGCATGTGCAGATAATTGAGGAGCTGAGGATTAATTGTAACCAGATGGCTGGCATGAGGCCATTCCATGTTTCATCTATGGGTTTGGAGTCGTAGAGTGGTCGGAGGGAGCGTAGGCCAGCAATGGTCAGGGCAAGAACTCTGCGTGGGATTAGACGGGGAATTTTCTTCATATTTGAAAATATACTCACAGAATCCGCATCGCAAACAGGGCAGAGATTTGGTGGCGCTTCCACCGTATTATCTGGACTTGACGTAGTAGAGCCACTGGCAGCCCAATAATTACCACATCTAATAACATGTGGATGCCTCCTAGTGCGATATATAACATTTCTTGATCCACGCATCGCTCGGGGCTGGAGTTCCACGGTTGCGGTTGATCACACTGGTTTCCGAGCGCTATTAGTGAGGCTAGGGTCCAGGTACTGATAAAGCCCAAAACAAGTTTGCATGCGAGCGTTATTTTCTCAAATGGTTGCAAGGATAGGACCAGAAGTGCAACGGCGGCCTTGGAGCATCCCAAGACGAGAATGGCGAGGAGTTTACTAACGAAGAGCATCTTGATTGTGTTAGAATATAGCCTTTCGGGGTAAGTGCCTAACTTTCCTACCTTGCTGTATTTTTCAAATGAGGCATTGCTCAATGCATATCGGTGCTTGCCAATACCATGGGCGCTGGCTACATTCACACACACAGTCTGAGGGATGAATATGACCTACTAGATTAATTAGAAAAGGCAACCATTGGAGGCAAAGCCACTTACACAACTGAGAAATAGAGTGGAATCGCTCCAGGAAACTTTGCGTAAAACGCGGATGCGAGATATCACGGTCACTGTTGTCGCGAGGATAGTAATAATAAGTAGAATAGTGCTCACCGTGATAACCCAAGCACCATGATCATTTTCAGTGACAGGCAGGAGTGGCGGAAGAAGAATCGTTATGCTGGATGACATGGTAGTTGAAAGATTCTCAGACATAATTGAACAAGATCATGTTCATGTCGTAGATTAGAAGAAACATTGCATGATATATGCAGAACCCAACCACTTCCGACTACCTTCATATTAGGCTCTTTATTGGATCTTCCACACCACCCAAGACACACGAGTACGATCATTCTTTTCTCGCGACTGATCAGTCTATCTCAAGTTCCACAACCGTGCATCTTCTGGTCCCACCTCGAAAGCAGGCCGGATACTGGTGCTGCAGCATACGCCGATTCCATCCAGGCAAGACAAGGACAATCCATCGTGAGACAAGAATTCTGCATGGTCCTTGTCTTTTTGAATCATGGCCTCCACGCCAGTTTTGCTTTTTCTTTCTCCGGTCTTCCTTCGGGACTTGTCAAATGTTCTGCTTCCCGCAATCAACGCCTTTTTTTTTGGCACTGCCGAGAACAAATGGAGCGCCATGAGATGCTCTCTTTGGAAAGGAGAAGTGTGGTCATTGGAAAAGCCGTGCCAGGGCAAGATGCAAATATCACCAATGCCTATGACAGCCCTAGTAAAAGAAATGGACTCACGGAGGAGGCTTCGCCTAAGGTACGATTTGTTAACTCGATGAAGTTTGCGAGCTGAGACAGTAACAGCGACTTTTCAATTTCACCCAAATATTCTTTTTCTCGCTTACTTACTTGTCGAGCTGGGAAACTCAGGCTTTGTATGAGAGTCTTGTCCCTTGTTGTGCTTCAGCACTACTAAAACAGCCCCTATTTAGGAATTTGAGCACGGTGCTCTCAAATGGTGGCCCTGAAGCCTTGGCTTGGGGTATAGTGATTGTGGTGTCTGGTGCAATGGCACAATCTGCCTCGCTAGCCGAGATGGCATCGATGCAACCAATTGCTGGCGCTCAGTATCACTGGACACATTACCTGGCCCCGACGAGTCAGAAGAAGTTCATCACTTGGATGCAGGGTGCGTTGGTTATCAAGTACTGCCTGGCTCAATGCTAACATTATCCAGGTTGGGTGACTTGGTTTGCGTGGATCTCCACACTCGCCGGTGTTGCCAATACCACTGCTACGATGATCCAGGGCCTAGCGAGTGTGAACTACCCAGAATACGAGCCAAAGCAATGGCACATCACCCTCATCATCGTCGGCATGCTTATTCTCCAAGCATTGATGAACATGTATACATTTTGGCTGATTCCATGGATTGAAATGCTGGCGGGTATTCTGCACATCTGCCTTTTGATTGTGTTTCTGGTTGTACTCGCAGCTCTAGCACCCCGTCACACACCAGAGTTTGTCTTTCTGCACACGCAAAGCACCTCGGGCTGGGCAAGATTCCCCGCATGGAATATAGGTCTGCTCACCCCTGTCTGGGGATTTGTCGGTGCGTACACACTACATACTTGGAAGAAGCAAAGACAGCAAGCTAAGCATCGCAGGCTTTGACGGCGCAGTACACATGAGTGAAGAAGTCCGTCGAGCAAAACAAGCAGTTCCTAGGTCTATCTTCTATACCGTCGTTGCTAACGGTATTCTGGCGTATGCAATGGTGGTATGTATGCTCTTCACAATGGGCTCGGTGGAGGAAGCCCAGAAATCGAGCTTCCCGATAATCGAAATCTGTCGGCAAGCAACCGGTTCCGTGAAAGCTGCCACCGCGATGGTGAGCGGGTTACTTGTAATCTCGCTGTCAGTTAATCTGGCGAGTATCGCGTCTGTCTCAAGATTGACGTGGGCATGGGCTCGTGACGGAGCCCTTCCCCAGTGGTTTAGTCATGTATGTACTACCTGTGCCAGACAGTACTATGTAAAACGAGGTAGGAGGTATATGCTGACAGGAATGGGTAGATCGACCGCAAGCACAATGTGCCAATTCGTGCAGTCTGGCTCCCAGTACTTGTTGTTATGATTCTGGCGTGTTTGAACATCGCCGATGGTGCCGCCTTTGGGGCGTTCGTCGCACTGGGGTCGATTGGCCTCTTTGTGTCATATTTCATTGCTATTAGTTGCATGGTGCATAATCGGTTTCAGAAGCATGTGGCGCCTCTTGGAAACTGGAATATGGGAATATGGGGACTTCCGGTTAATGTCTTTGCTTTGGTGTATACTGCCTGGGTTACGGTGTGGCTGGCATTCCCGTCAGCGTTACCGGTTACTGGTGAGAACATGAATTATGCTGCACCAATTTTTGGTGCCACTACTCTGTTCGCCTTTGTATATTGGTTTATCAAGGGGCGGACTCGCTGGGAGGGATTGAATAAGGAGGTTATTCGACTGGCTGTGGAAGGGGGAGCACTTCAATTGAAATGATTTGTTTTTGTTGCTTATTTACACATTATGTGGACTAAATAGATGAGGCAGTCTTTATATTCTCTTGTTTTTAGACTAGGATGCAGGCTTTCCAAGCTAGTCGGATGTTCTACTGCAGGATACGACAGCCACTGGCTTTCTACAGGCGGCTGTCTTCTATGAGTAGGAGACTGTATATCAAACATCTACCACATGTACAATAGAAGACTATTCGATCAGAATGGTTAAAGTCTTTATCCATGACCGCAAGCAAAATAACAAAATTCGAAAATAATCGAAGCCTTATGTTTCTAATGTCCACGACTGAAAAGAAGATCCATGTCGATCTCCACAAACCCTTGGTGGATTTCATTCAGGCGCGTGTCTGCGACTTCTCTAGCGGTTGCAAGAATAACAGCGCTCGGGGCATCATAGGGTCCGTAGACTGGCATTGAGATGCATCGCGGAGTGTGACGATGGAGAGGCTTAAGACTGACCTCGGCCTTCCCATCTTTGATTCGACGAATCATACTTTGCATGAGTTGTTCGCTGGGATACTTTTTGTATCTGTCGTGGAAATGCACTGTCACAAAGTAAACGCATTCGTAGTCACTCATCTCCCATTCGGGAAGACCCGGACCCCCGAACCTATATCTGAACATACCTGGTTGCATCGGAGAGTTTATTGACGGACTTGCTGGCTATTAGATTGATTGTATGGGGATCCAGACCTGTTTAAATACAAGATCAGAGACAGTCATGACGAGTTTGCAACCATAGTCTTTATTTTCGCACTTATGGCAGAGACATTGATCTTTCATTCAAACAACAGCTTTGTCACATTTCCAATACATTCCTTCTATATCGCCAAAGTCAAGGGTTCTCTTTGTCTTCCTTTGTCTCGAACGTACTCACAGTAAACTTAGTCCCCAGCGACGAGCCATGAAACTTCAATTGGCAAATGCGAGATTTTCAAATGGCATCACAGCTACTCGGACATTCTTTCTGACTGCAAATACCCGTGAACGTGCTTTCATCTCTTCTGTTGGAAGGGAAGGGCGGCTACATTCCTTGCAAGAATGTATCCACACATACTCTACAATGATCAAAGAAAGGTGGAAAGTGTAAGTGTGAAAAAAAAGTTCGCTGGTGTCATTCATCGTAAAAAGACCATGGGCGGGTGCCAGCATCACCCACAGCCAATTTTATGCAGAGCAAGCTCATGCTATGTACAAAGAAGGCACCGCCTTAAGGAGAGGAAGAAGGGTAAAAGCAGGTCCAAAAGATCCTGGGAATCAGTGAAAGGACAAATAGATCCAAAAGTAAATCAGAGGCTTGAACTTAAGCGTCGATACAGTACTGATATCCGAGCCACAGATCCGAACATTTCTCGTCGAGGCCAGGGTTCAAGCTGCGAAGGTCGGGGAAGGAAATTCCGACGGTTTCGGTCAGCTTGTCACAGAAATCACCGTCCACGACGGTGTAGTATTTCTGGCATGATGAGCTGGCGTAGGGGTAGAGAGGCGCTGTTCCGGATGAGCTGGGGACTGCTGGTGTTGTTGTTGCGGCTGGCGCGGACCTGGTTGTCCAGGATGGGGTGGGGATGGAGGCCGGCGCGGCCATGTGCATGTTCACATTGGGGGTCCAGGCGGGGGCAGGTGCTACGGAGACGGTTTCGGTGGATGCGGACGATGTCTCGGCTGGTTGGGCGGCTTCGACAGGAGCGGAGGGGGCCTGGGTAGGCTCAACAGCAATCGAGGAAGAGCTCTCGACAGGCTCAGCGCTCTCCGTAGGCTGCTCAGCAGCGGTTGAGGAAGAGGAGCTGTCTGAGTCGTCGGCACCGGCACTACCGAGGGCCGATCCCACGCCGCTAGTAAGGGTTCCAATGGTAGATTCGACACACTCGGTAACGTCACCAGCCCAGCCGCGGACACGGTTAGCGATGTCGGAGGCGTAGCAGTGGGTTGCGATGCCCTGACCGAGGTTGCCGGATGGGTCGATGGAGCCAGAGTTGTAGGTGCGGGCGGCCTTGTAGTACTTGGCTGCTTCGCCGCCGGTCTGGGCGTCGTAGCACTGCTTGAGCCCATCGCCCTGGCTGGTTCCAGCGGTGCCATCTTTGATCATTTGCTTGATCATGGAGGAGGGGCAGGGGGTTGTCTTGCTGCCGTCCTTGTTGCAGGAGCCCTCGCCAGCGTGGCTCTGCATGAGGCCAGTGTTCTGAACACCGTTGTTGGTGGTGTGGACGCGAACGCAGCCCTTGCTTTCTTGCATAACAACTGCAAGTATGAATCGAGGGTCGACGCCGGTTTCGCTGGCGATCGACTTGATGCTAGTGTTAATGTCGCTTGTTTCGTCGTCAGAGTTGTCGCATGATGCGGCAATGAGAATTTGGTTGAGACCCCAGCTAATTAGAACGTTTAGTTCGACGCTCGGCTTTTCTTTTCCGGTTGATCTACTCACAGAGTCTCGTACTCCGACCACTGGCTCATGGAAGGCCATCCGTCAGAGACCTCGCCGGTACCACCCATGACAGCATAGGTGGCAGCGGCGCGCCGGTGCAAAGAGTGATGGGGCTTCGCGCCATGAGGAATGGCTTGAATGAGAGTAGGCAGGCTGCCAGCAGCCAGGATCTATGTGCGAAATTAGCCATGGTTGCACGATTGGTTAGGGGTGGGACTGTGGACCACGTCGCGCGACCTGTCGTTTATGCGAGGTACAGACATACCAATGAAGGAAAGAACATTTTGACGGAGGGAATGAGGACGACGAAATTGAAGCGACAAAGAAACGGTAAGGAACTGTGGAAGAAGCCCTGCTTGCACGATCAAGAGAAAGAAAAGACGAGACGGGGAACGAAAGTATATGTACTCACGAGTAGCTGTGTGCCCTTTGCCCTTCCTTTCTCGTTTGGCAAAGTGATCAGTCGAGGCCCGCAGCGGAATCGAATTACGTTCAGAGGTGGCTGTAAAAGTGGTCCAATAGCGGGCTCTGGGCCTTGCGCAAGAGGGTAAAGTACCTGTAAGGGCTGAAACACCGCCCGAGAGGGGACCCGGCCGCTTGGTTATGGAGTGATTGGTCGGTTTCAGATAGTATTGAGCCCCTGTGGGCGAACTCTGTTGGTCCTTCGAGTCAATGATGGCGTTCATCGGCGTTCATCACCCCGTTCGTGGGCTGGTAATTGGCCTATGTGGGGAGGCTAGGATGATCCATGTGGAACTCCGGCGGAGTTCGTCCTTTTTGCCTCCTCATCTGGCCCTTCCGGGTGGCTGATCAGAGACGAGAGACTTTGGACATTTGAATTCTGGTTGGTTCTGCGTTGTGTGTTCCTGGATTTCTCCCCTGGTACCTGGATGACGTCGGGTGCTTCCAGGGTTTCATTTCATGTGACGGGTATTCATGCATCCAGCACTTTATCAATTTATCACATTCGGAGTTGAACTCAAACGGGAAATAAATTGCTTTGGAACTAAGGATGTGGGACCCTGTCTGTTCCACAAAATAAGACAGAGAGGCGAGGAATATGTAGGGTTGCATCGAAATGGCCAAATACCCGAGGCGCTGGTGGCTTGTTGTGGCCTGATTTCTCAGGCATACATACTGTCATGGTCTCACTCACTCAGACAAAGACCAATTTTTCTTTTTCTTTATTTCTTATGGTGTAATTGATTATACAGGGTAGACTATCTCTATTGTTTCCATCCAATGTCATTAGTATATCATACATTATAGTTCTACCCGGGCTACAACATACAGCATTTCGGCCCCATTAGCTTCACCATTTTACGCTTGCAATGACCACGTCCAACCCTGCAATTCTTAATACACGAGTCACACTGCGAGAAATGAACACGATGTCATCGTCAAGGTTATTCATAGCGCAGCGGGGACGCTCAGGCTCACCGGTAAAAACAAAGTTCTTTTAAATGTGAACGCGTATTTCTCCGCTTTGCCTAACCCACAATAGAAGGTGAAAGAAGATCACCGTTATCCATTTCTTAATCTCTTTCACTTTTATCTCAGAGTTGATGTTGTACAGCCACCCCACTACTCGGTGTAGTCATAGATCTTCGAAGTATTAGAGAATGATTTCAGTCGGATCGACCGCCTCCGGTGCCCAGCCTTCATCGCAAATGTACCTTCGGACTTCCGAGGCTGGATCATGCAATCCAATGCAACATCTTATGCATAAGAAGCGTGACAGTGATCGATGGACCGAGGACCTACCCACCTAACCAAATCTAGGATATGAGGCCAGCCGCCGGCTATCAGTGATCTATCTATGTTGTATGATCGCTTTGTAGCACCTTCGGATTGGAACTATCTTTTTAAAATTACCTCGTATTAGAGATTGCTAATATATCGAGGGTCCAGATGCATGCCTTGAGTCGCTGACCATTCGAACTTCCCGAGGCCCCGCAATAGCCTGCAAGAAAGCCTTCAATACCTGTTTGTTCGGATTTACTAGGAGTACTCCCTGGTAATTTATATCCGAAAAAAATGTAAACTTGGTTAAGATACATTAACAAACGGCCACCTGATCTCCGAAATGAGTGCTGCCAGCTCCGTCTTGGCTTAGTCCGTTGTAGAAGTAAACGCCAAGACATGGCGAATACAACTGGCATCCGACGCTGTTGGGCGATAATTGGAATTTTTGGATCCCAATGACTTTTCCGTCCACGTGGTCAATCGTTGTACAAGAAGCTAATTGTTACTGTTGTTTTATAGCCCAATACGCTACGTGTTTATGTCAAAACTGTCATGTTGAGCGCTTAATATTATTTCAAGAATTAATCGATGCGAAATACTCCGTATATAGGGAGTACATAATACAGTAGTGGCTTGAATCAAAAGCTGTGGCTGAAACTGAGGCTGAGCAAGGTTGGGGCCCTTGCGCGCATTAACCAAGAGGCATTTGACCAAATATCATTAGCAGAGTATATATATGCATCATATTCCTAACCCTGCCATGAGGATTTCGGCAGATTCTAGTTGCTCACAGTCTAACCTTGTGGCCCAGTATCTCAGATGTGGGTGAAACGACCTTGCCTTGAGATCTCAGATTAGTCCAAGGTGATTAAGGTAGACTGTCATCTCCAAGGTTGATATGTAGAATATCAACGATAGTTTGCCCATGGACAATCTGGTCCACTAATCCCATCTACACTGCTCCATACTCCGTACGCGCAGCCAAAATCAATATATGAGCGCATATATATCTCAGGGGTGTCTTGTACTTGTAGTCCCTCCTGAAGATCCGTGATCGTCACTTACCACATTGCTAGACTTTACAGCCATCTTTTTCGATTCAAATAATGATCAGCCTGAACAGCCTCCTACTAACCAGCCCCTGAGAATCCAGCCCCGTTCCCCTGTCTGTGATGATATACAATGTAGAATGGATGTTGCGGGAAGCCTGACATCACACATACAAAAGATAGTACTCGGTACGGAGTAGGTAGTGCAAATATGTAGAGATTAAACCCCCCTTAACACAGTGACCGATCAGTATGTCATCTTTGTCAGTCTGGGGTCGTCTTCGCTTATATCCATCTCGCTTCGGGTAGCGCAGGGCTCGTGCTGCACGCTGATACGAGTGGAAATTTATTGGCATCCCATATAAAATGCAGGTCGACTCCGTACCGTTCGCTATATCCATAGTCCACTAGTCAAGATTTACGATAGAAAGACCTGCTGAATCATATTGCAGGGAAATATCTAGTCAATAATCAAGTCAGTCCTGTTTGCGACCTCCCCAAGTAATATGACACCTATTCTATGGCTTGAATTGAAGTGAATTTTGCGTTAAGTGAGCAGATGCTATCCATGGGTAGCAAACTAAGGATCCAAGGCTCAGTGGTGACGTCTCCACCCGTGGACCTGCAGGTGCCCGCTTCCAACCGGGAGGGTTCGCCGGCGTACAAACTCGCGGTCACCCAAGAGCTTAGCACATATTTGAAGTATGTTTAGGCATTGAGACGCTTGCTCTTCAACTCATAAGCTTGCGAGATTTGTGTCGTGATACGCATTGCGTAGAAAACTGTTGTAGTTGTCCGTGGGGCAACTTGGGTACACTAACGAATGGACCATCTTGCGCACTAACAATGTGTCTAGATCTTCTTCCTACAATACTGCTGTTTTGAGTAATGCTATCTGGAAGATTCCATGTTGGTTAAAGGTCTGCGACCTGTTATCGTGGAAGAATTGATCGAGAACCGCGGCATGTTGAATAATCTCACCTTCTGCACGGCATCGGAGAGATAGTTAACCCGTTGCTGTGGGTCCGGGGACGAACTATGAGACGGATCCGGCATCTGGACGGTCATTTCAGTTCAACCACCAAGCCATTTAAATAGTGTGGTCGTGATATTAATTTTCTCATTTCTACGTCTCGCTGAAAATCCCAACCGGATATGTTGTCCTTGAATATCCAATCATACTCAAACCCATCGGGCTACCAGGTCTCCGAGCTACCCAAACCGGAGCTCACCGATCCAAAAGATGTCGCCATTAAGGTTCGCGCGGCGAGCATCAATCCAATCGATGTGAAGAAGGCTGATGGAATGCTAAAGCTGGCGCTAAAAGACTCGTATGTGACTCCATATGCATTGCGAGAAGCGTTCCTGACATGAATAGCTTTCCATTCAAAATCGGCTATGACTGTGCCGGTGTAATCACAGAGGTTGGATCGGAGGTAACCCGGTTTCAAGTGGGAGCTGAAGTCTATACTAGACTACCGGAGAGGTCTCGAGGTATGTGCTGACCCGACGATCAAATATAATCCAACTGACATTCGATTACTAGGATCTTGCAGTGAATTTGTCATATGTGCAGAGAAATACGTTGCCTTGAAGCCACCATCATTGTCATTCGAGGATGCAGCTTCAATCCCTCTGGCAGCAATGACTGCACTTCAAGCACTCAGAAAATACAAAGGAGATCTAGCTGGGAAGACTGTCTTTGTGCCCGCCGGTCGTATGTCGCTTCTGTTCTGCAAACTGTTGCCTATGCGTCTAACATAATGAAAGTGAGTGGAACGGGTCTATTTGCTTGCCAATTGGCAAAGAATGTCTTCCATGCAGGAAAGGTCATCACCACAGTCTCAACCTCAAAGCTGGAAATGGTCAGCGAGCTCCTAGGCGAAGGAACGGTTGATGAGAGTAAGAAGTCAATTCCACATGGGTAAACTCTTACTTACACTTTGATAGTAATTGACTACACGAAATTGGACCCAAGAAAGGTCATTGAGTCTGGCTCAGTGGACTTCCTCTTCGATACAGTCGGTTTGGCAATGGAGTATCTTTGCCTAATGAAAGGACAATCGGGGTGTATTGTGTCGGTTGCGACCATGCCCTCTGGCAATCAGCTCCAGAAATCTTCAATTAGTGATCTTCCCCCAAATAGTGGCATTCCCGTTGCTCTGCGAATGGGACTTAATGCTTTCGATTGTGTCCGTAAACTGAGGGCTTGGCGATATGGTGTTGAGTATGCATATATGTTTCTGGAATCGAGTGGTCAAGATCTGGACGAGTTGAGAAGTCATGTTGAGGAACACAGGCTGAGAACGGTGGTTGGAAAAACTGTTGAGCTTTCCGACATTGAAGCGGTGCGATCAGCATGCCAGACTGTTTACAATGGGAAGGGAGGTCTCGGAAAGGTGGTTCTCAAAGTTGCCAATTCGTAGTTGTTTCACTAGTATATCTCAGAATGTACATATGTACCTCTATCAGATATTAAGCAAGCTTTCTCATACTTAAGCAAGTAATACTGGTTATGCTTGGAAACCACACTGTAAGAACAATTCGGCTTTATTATCAACTAACTAGATGGCAAACTTGGCTGAAATCATGTGCAAGCCTACGAAAAGACAAATACACAAATATTATCAGAGATTGGCCTTGGTGAGCTCCAACTCAGTCCACTCCCACAAGCGCTTCCCCATATCCTCATTGCACGCCCATTTGTTTCGACGTTTCAAAATCCCAACAGGCACATAATATCCACCATTCGTGAGCTCCTCCTTCTTTGCCCCGACAGCAGCCCACAGCGAGTTACACGCACCCTGCTGGACTGTCGAGCCAGATAAACGCAGAAATTTGGAGCCCAAAGCAGCAAACAGAGACTGCGAATTCAAAGAGTCGTACAAATTCGTTACGATAATACCTGGATGAACCGCTACCGACGTTATTGACGGATACCGCCTGCTAAGTTCCGCAGCAAAGAGAATATTGGCAGCCTTCGACGCTCCATACCGAGCAGTCGTGTTGACTTTCTTAAGCTTCTCTTGGTCCAAAATTTTCTCAAATGCCGGCGCGAAATTATGCCCCACAGACGCGAGCGACACGACGCGGACATCCGAGCCAGGCTCCTCAGCCGTCTTGAGCAGTGTTGGCAGCAGCAGTTTGGTGAGATAGAAGTGCCCGACATGATTCGTGCCAAGCTGGATCTCGTGGCCCATTTCGGTCTCGCCAGGGGGCAGACCCATTACACCAGCATTGAGGATTAGGACGTCGAGACGGGATGACTGGGCGTTGACTTGCTCCGCTGCGTTCTTTATCGATTTGCCTGACATCAAGTCCAAAGGTATCCAGCTAACTTCGACATCATTTGAAACCGATGATTTCACCGACTTAATGGCTTCATCTGCCTTTGCTTCTGAACGCGCGCCGAGGAAGATCTTCTTCGGATTGTGCTTGGCCAACTGGAGGACTGTTTCTTTGCCCAAGCCTGCATTTCCTGTGGAGGCGCATAGCGTTAGATGCGGCATTAATGCACCTTTGATATATGGTTCGACCCACCGCCCGTGACCAAGATGACCTTTCCGCTCAGATCTGGGATATCGGTTTCTGGTGTGAAGCTTACTGCACCCGCATAGTTGAGTGCGTCCATAGCAGCTATCACCCATCCAGACATTTTTAATGGGAGGTAAGAAATTTGGAGTTTAGGTAGTTTAGGTTGCGTTCGGCGTTGAATTGGTTAATAGCCGATGCTACGAGTGATATATGTACCGGAGTGCGAAGCGGCGCAAGGGTGATGCCTGAAGTTAACTAAACATGCCTTAAGACTGGAGAAATTAGAACACTTGAATTAGTATGACAGAGACGTACTATCTCCCCGGGCTACAGCTAAACTCGAAATTGGTTTCCACATTTTATACAGAGAAACTGTCCCAAACCCTAACGCCAAGATGACGATGAACCTACCTAGGCTACATTAGGCTAGGCTGCAGATCATCCACGTCTGTCAGATTGGAAATGTACAGTACTTCCGGAAATCGGTGTCACCACCTAAACTCTTTCATTCTTTCTCTACTCTTGGCGCTAAATCCTACTGTACTATATTAGGAGCAGCCACCGGATATTAGTCTCTCCCCGTGTCATTTATCCCACATAATACATGCGGTCATGTTTCCTACCGTATGAGCAACGCTAACTAGCTACAATGCCAAAGACATATCCTTGACACATCTCCTTGACACATCTCCTTGACAGGGTGAACTCCAAAAACCACAATTTTTTACGACAGTTTAACAAAAGAGAATAGATTAGCGTATAATACGTCTAGGCAAAATCAATCGGTCTTCAATTATAACAAGCCAATAGACAGTGATCAAACAGATCTAAAAGTACCAATATCTCAACAAAATCGCTGAAAGGCCGAAAAAAATAGTACAGAATATTGTTGCTAGGCCTAAATTAGCCCTTGAAATTAGAGCTGTCGTTCTGAGTACCGGGCGAGACAGGGAATCATTTGATGGCTCCACCTCAGTTCTATGAGTGTTTGGCGCAGAAAGCTCGTGTGCAAGATTGCTCAAAAAGTAGCTCAATTGCCCTGATTCTGAGCTAGTGAGCCGAGACTCGTTATCAGGCGCATGTAGCACTTCAAAGGTCTTGTGCACTTGATTTGGGTGCAATCGACTGTGGTAGGGGTACTTTTGTACGCAAGACGAGCATAGATCCACATGGGCACAGATTCTGCACACAAAGCGAGACCCGGTGATAGCCACTGTACAAAGGTTACAGGTAGTCTTGTATATACCGGTGCGGACAAAAGACCCCTGAGACAAGGCTAGCTGAAATATGGCGTGGGCATTGTCCACATCATCGAGAAACAAGAGATAGCGACCCAATTGTTGTAAAAGAGGCCATGGGGAGCTTAGCTTACAACGAAGAAGCGTATCCGAGATTTGAAGGATTGATTGGCGAACAGTCAAATCTTGAATGTCATGAGGGGTCACGACAATCGGAGGGCAGTGGTTCTGGATTTGGTGCATTAGGCGTTCGTTTCCCAGTACCCAGTCTAGGATATTTCTACCATAGCCATCTGGAAGAGAAGGATTGGCACCAAGCTCGAGGAGCTTTACAGCAAATTCGACGTAACCGAGAGAAATAGCCAGATGAAGTGGGGTTTGTAAGAGCTTATCCCGGTTGTTGATAGCCGAGACGAGCAGCGGGAATCCATTTAGAAGGTCGAGCATATCTTTCGAGGCCGCAATATGAAGAGGAGTCCGGTCGAGTTCATCAGCAATCAACACATCTGCGCTAGCATGAAGAAGCATCTGAACTTGATCAGAATGGCCCTCATGAACAGCCGCCAAAAGAGGTGATCCACATTCACCACCCTGAGCGTTGACATCGGCGCCAGCGTCGAGGAGGATCCGCACTGCCTCGGTATTTCCTCTAAATGCAGCGGCCTGCAGGGCATTGCCATATTGACCACCCTGAGCGTTCACATCGGCGCCAGCGTCGAGGAGGATCCGCACTGCCTCGGTGTCTCCTCTAAATGCAGAGGCCTGCAGGGCATTGCCATATTGACCACCCTGAGCGTTCACATCGGCGCCAGCGTCGAGGAGCATCCGCACTATCTCGGTATTTCCTCTAAATGCAGCGGCCTCTAGGGCATTGCCATATTCACCGCCCTGAGCGTTGACGTCGGCGCCAGCGTCGAGGAGCATCCGCACTGTCTCGGTATGTCCTCCGTATATGGCGGCAGCGGCCTGTAGGGCATTGCCATATTGACCGCCCTGAGCGTTGATATCGGCGCCAGCGTCGAGGAGCATCCGCAATATCTCGGTCTGTCCTCTGTATACAGCGGCAGCGGCCTGTAGGGCATTGCTATATTGAGCACCCTGAGCGTTGACATCGGCGCCAGCGTCGAGGAGCATCCGCACTATCTCGGTATTTCCTCTAAATGCAGCAGCCTGTAGGGCATTGCCATGTTCACCGCCCTGAGCGTTGACATCGGCGCAAGCGTCGAGGAGCATCCACACTATCTCGGTACGCCCTCCGTATGCAGCGGCCTGTAGGGCATTGCCATATTGACCACCCTGAGCGTTGACATCGGCGCCAGCGTCGAGGAGCATCCGCACTGTCTCGGTATGTCCTCCGTGCGTAGCAGCCTGTAGGGCATTGCCATATTGACCACCGTGCGTAGCGGCCTGTAGGGCATTGCCATATTGACCACCCTGAGCGTTGACATCAGCGCCAGCGTCCAGGAGCATCTGCACTGTCTCGGTATGTCCTCCGTGTGCAGCGGCCTGTAGGGCATTGCCATATTGACCGCCCTGAGCGTTAACATCGGCGCTAGCGTCGAGGAGCATCCGCACTATCTCGGTATTTCCTGTAAATGTAGCGGCCTGTAGGGCATTGCCATATTGACCGCCCTGAGCGTTAACATCGGCGCTAGCGTCGAGGAGCATCCGCACTATCTCGGTATTTCCTGTAAATGTAGCGGCCTGTAGGGTATTGCCATATTGACCGCCCTGAGCGTTGACATCGGCGCCAGCGTCTAGGAGCATCCGCACTATCTCGGTATATCCTCCGTATATAGCGGCAGCGGCCTGTAGGGCATTGCCATATTCACCGCCCTGAGCGTTGACATCGGCGCCAGCGTCGAGGAGCATCCGCACTGTCTCGGTATGTCCTCGGTATGCAGCGGCCTGTAGGGCATTGCCATATTTACCACCACGTACATTCGCCTGAGCTCCAGCTCCAAGCAAAATTTCAACAACGCTCTGATGACCTCCCAACGAAGCTGCTTGTAGAGCACTTTCACTTCCATCCCATGTTCTTTCAAGCTCCACGCCCTCATGCAGGAGCCATTCGATAAATCCCAACTGCCCAAACCTAGCCGCCTCAATTAACGGCGTTGTTCCATTTTCGTTTTTTGCCTCACAATCTGCTCCCTTCCCCCGTAGTACTTTTGCCACTGTTATATGACCGTGTCGTGCTGCTAAATGGAAAGCTGTGTTTCCGTTTCCGTCTTTCCTCCTGACACCCTCACCGTTAAACAGCACCGACTCTACGACATCAACGAGATTGGCGGCTGCAGCCACATGTAAGATTGTCGTATCTTTCGGTGGGCACTCCGGTTCATACGGACCTAGGATCCGGTAGATCTGGACCCACCGACCAATCACTCGTTGTAGGATATCTTGTTCATTCTGTAGCACATCCGCTCGAGAGGCGGCAGCCTTTTTCGCATGAATAAAGAGGTTTTTAGTGGAGTAGATAAGTAACGGGTGATTCTGGGCAAAGTCCTTTCTCGTGCCCGGAAGATATTTCAAGACTTCTGGAGGCATGTGTACCGTGGCTAGATAAACTAGGCATGTGCGGTAGAGAGTTGCCTGGCATTAGAATAGAATCTTTTCGCCATCCACTAGTAATGTGCTGGTGTCGATAAAATAGGACAAAAGCCCTAGTCCTTTTGTACATAAGAAGTCATTGACTGACTGGTGTATTACCTGTACAGTCTCATCGTCATCCCCGCTCGAGACTACTTCGGCTAGTCCACCAGAAAGGGTCTTGATTCTTCTCTTCATTCGTTTATTGCTTCCGACAAAACCATGAATCTTTTCCCATATCTTTTGGGGGGGCTTTATTTGAGCATTCTTAGCCGCCAAGGCATACCGCATTTCCGTCATAGTCAGTGGTCGCTCGGCCAGGCACACCCATTGAAATAATAAGAACGACTACTCTCGATTCCTCGCCTCTATCACATTGTTCAGAATGTACATATACACCTCTGCTAGGCCGGCTGGGACCTCGCGTAACCAACAACGGATGTCATCAAACGATTCTCCTTCAAAAATCTTCCGCCGGGCAAGAGGCATTATAAGACGGGCCCATTAGAACACACCATTGGCTTGCTGGATCAGCTGTTCCACTAGTGTCTGCCTCGTCTCTTCACTAGGACTGTCTCCGACCTCTGTGTCAGCAAGGATATCCTTAATGTATGTGGCGATGTCTTTATGATTATGCTCTTCGACATATATCTCCATAGCCCGGGCACTTTCCATGATGGGATAGTGTCGACATGCAATACAGATTCGAACGGCCACGTTCATTTTTTCTGCGCGATCAATAAGCCGATGGAAGTATGCTGCTAGCTGTTGAGCAGACTCAGCTCCAGCCTCATCTAGAGCATCGACAAAAACTGTCACGTGTTGCCGACTAGCAGATGCCAGGATAACGCCTGCTAGTAACTCTTCTAGCACCACTCGTGGCCATTGCCACTTGCCTTCACCATACCCAAACTGCTTACATCGTTGTTCAAATATCTCGCGCACCTGAGGGCGTATAGTCGCGTCACAGATAAGAAGCTGGTTCAGCAAGGATCTAAGCATCCCTAGGGGCGTACGTTGCATCTCCGTGCCTCGAGCGGTAAAGAAAAAGTCGAGCCGAATACCCTGACTGTCGTCTTGTAATATCTTCAGTCTGTCATGCAGGAATACCATCAAGGTCGATTTGCCCGCACCCGGTTTGCCCTTAATCCATAGTAGACCTCGGGACTTGTTCCTCCATGACTGGTACTTTTCCAACTCCAAAATCCATTTGCAGGTATTGGTATGACATGGCTCAATATTGTCTCTCCGATCTAGCATCTGCGGGAATGCCAGTGACCTAAGCACCTCTACCACGATAATTAGTGATAGTCTCTTTGACTGACACGAGGCGATGCGGACCGTTGTCTATCCTTTGCTGTGGGTTTTCTGGTTGGTCTGGGCCTAAAAAGTGGCTGTCAATACGTCTGGCCTGGCACTGACTTAGAAAGGGTTTCGTACCGGACGAGATATACACCTGTCCATGATTGATCCCCACTTGAGTCGCCAAATTTTCGTTACCAAACGATATTGAACTCATAGTTCAATAGGCGGTACATACAATGATGCTGTTATAGGCAGAACGAAAGTCCCAACCCCCAGAAAACGTAAGTCAGTCTCAGCCCCACGATCAGGTGACCATCGACCGCTGAACCTTCTACTATAGGCTTGGATGGGCGCGCCTCAACCATCAAAGGACGGCCCGTACACGTCAGGGGACACTGTTGTCGTATCAACTTGAACACAGAAACATTCGTTCACTGTTAATCAGGTAACTGGCTTCATCTGTGTATATGTACAGGCCGCCAAAGTTCCGTGTCCAGCCTGCGGTTGAACCTGCCACCCATTATCGTCTCGCAAGATGGAAGCAAATTGTACATCGCCCAGGCTGATGTCGGCAACAATTGGTACCAGTACATCCGAGGGACTCACCGGCCTCCAGCGAAGCCAATATTTTGAAGATCCAACAATATGGACCATGGTCCATTCGCGGAGCGGCTGAAATGAGCCAGTTTTCTGAGTTGGTGCCCCACTGGGAGAGTGTCCATTGTGCAACTCCAATAAGTCAGGCAGGGACAACCTAGGTAGGCCTGCATAACTGTGGTAATCCTATCTCGCTGAATCCCTCTTTTCATCTCACTAAGTAGTTGAATAGTCATTGATTTCCATAGCTAAGTCTCCGCCGATCTCATATCCAACCTATGCCTGGTGATATGCCCTGAGTTCCAGAAGCCAAAGTTGTCACCATTGGTTCTGAACTCTGAGATGTCGACGCCCAGCAAAGATGTCATTGATAATACTCACATCACCAGATTGACGAGCCCCACTAAACGGTGAAGCTTGATGAGTGGGTACGACTTCTCATGTGGCACGCTTCGCTCGTCATCCACGGTTTCGGTCTGTCGTCTTCAATATGCTTATGCGGCGCATAGCCCTGTCCCCAGTAGAGAAGAGTGTATCAAAGCGAAAAAGCCATATTTTCCGCAAGGTGAGCTTAATCTAATCTCTATTTGTCTTACCTATTATCGCTAACATAAATCGGCAACATAAAATCGCCGGATAATCCTACCGGGCATAAATAGCACAGAAAGCTAGCTACGGACATGGTCACGACCTAACGGGGTATATGCAGAACCTCGGCGCCGCACATCTCTTGATAATACTATCGGCTGCCGATCTCCACTGGAATGGCCTATACGTCATCTCCCAATTACCCGAACCAAGCCGAAGGACATAAGAAAACGGCCCAACAAAAATGAGGGCGAAGAAGAAGATGACGGATCCACAGACCTAGCCTGTCGCCTGGGGGAGACCGACAAACCTTTGAGAAATTTATGGAAAGCCAACAACTGGCTGCCAATACCAAGCTGTTCCGCGAACTAGAGGGACGACGTGGTCGCACTAGACGAGGTTGGGGCCCGGAGGACGACAACGACCTTCTCGAGGTCACCGAGCGCGAAATTAATGCTGAAACGGTCGCCATAATGCCACTGTACGCGGAGCTGGCTTAAGGACACCAAAGGAAACTGGATCCCACCAGAGTGATTGGCTGGTGATGCGGTTATACGGCGCCGGTTTGCGCGTGCGAATCTGTAACAGAACCGCCATATTGTGGTGCAGTGGTTCGACGTTTCAAGTTCTCCCTGGAGAAGGTGCTGAAGCGTCTTTCCAAGGGGAGGTAAATGGCACTTGGAGAAGCAAGTCGGATACAAAACCGGCCCTGCAATCAATCGGAGTTTGATGACCTTCAAGTCAGTATCGAAGTGGTGGGTGGGATGGGGCGGTAAAGCTTATCATAGGTGCGGGAGCACTATACGGAGTTTGCATGGCTTGAAAAACAAAGAAAAAAAGGAGCCTGCACGTTCTACCGAATCCCCCACTGGCTTGGAAATGAATCCAAGGCCCTGCAGTTACTCGAGCAGGATCCAGAATATCGAAACAAGCCATGGAAGCCTTGAGGCGATAGTCCATGGTCTTGCAGCAGAAAATAGAACACTGAAGGGGAAATTGGACGAGCAAGAGAAAATGATAGACTTCCTACGGGCAAAGGTCGCTCGGCTAAGACCAGACTAGAGATTCTGGCAGGACAGAACGCGATCAAGCGTGTTCCGAATACGCGCGTTGAACAGATCGACTGGGCACATACGGAACGTCCCTACGCATTCCAAACTTCTATCATGCACATGAATGGTGGCTTCAAGATCAAAATTCTACAAGGATACGACACCTACAGGTGCTGGAAAAGGGTCCGTGAACAGTTGCAACAAGACAACACCGATCCATGAATGATCCACATACTACGTATAATCAAAACTGCTACACCGTGTACGGTATGATAGCTGACGAGAAGACATTTTACTTCCATAAGATCAATGAAAAATCAATGGTTAATTTGCTATATCCTACTTGATTGCTTTCCAAGGTCCTTCTAATGCTTAAATAGTGGTCGAACATATCCGGTTATGGAACGACGCGAACCTGACCGACATCCCCTGCCGTGTAATGACAGAGACCAAGACTTGTCTTCAGGAAATATTTCCAAATGTCTTAATCCCTCGTGTGCCTACAGTGACTAGCGTTGGCATATATTTTACGACAGATATTTTACGACAGGCTAGGCCGGTGTCCCCTACCCACTCGAAGCAGTCTTCCGCGCAGAGTCTCACAAAATAAGGACCTAGGGGACCCATAAGACAGCACTATGATGAAAAGTCTCTCTTTTGCATGGCATGTTTGGTCATCCGTCAGCTCCCGAGGTCCCAGCCGGCTCGAGGTATAAACTGCTCTGGTTTTAGCATTCATTGTCTTGGGCCGAGCACATTAAGAAAGCCCCATGGGCTAGGGCTAGAGAAGGTCGCTGGCTCAAGACCGAACTTCTGTCCGGTTGGATAGTAAAACACGCTCCGCAAACCGCTGCTTCGCCCAGCCGTGCGATCCTCGCACTGGACCGCCCTCCGAATACACCAAATGATCGGTAACGAGGCGGCAAATGTCGAGTCGGCAATGATACAGGTCGTGGGTCGCGTGCAGGAGACCGAATGCCGGTCTTGTCTGCAAGACCGTAGACCCTGGCGCAATGCGTCGTGCTTGACCTATCTTTATATTTGTGCGTAGAATCCTATAATAATCTTAGACAACATTATCACTAAATATTTGCTTGACAATATAATTGAACTAAGTAAGCAAGTACTACTTAATTTGTAGCGTAATTGTTAGGCCGCACTTTTTATTCCACTTTTTATCTCGCTACGTTCTTGCCCAAAGCCACGCGAGTGACTCTGATCCATATCAATTTGGGCTCCACACCGACATGATCCTATAACTGTGGCCTGACAGATCGATATAATCCTCACGACACCAGGGTCCAATGAGCGAGTCCGTGGGTCACTTTATTATTTGATTATGCGGCGGCTTCATTGCTCTGTCAGCTCAACACCATGAAGAAGTCGTTTGATTTTCCAGAGGGATATCATCGCATCAACACCGAGCTGATCCTCTGGTCTAAAGAACAGTGCAGTGTGTTGGAACTGGGCGTGGGATTCACGGAGTTTGTTGATATCAGACTCAGAAAAGAGCACTGACAGATCAAACACAGGAACCTTCGAGCCGGTTTGCGTGAGAGCCACCGAGTCCAAAGAGCCACTCGATTGAGACGTATGACCAGAAGCGGCAGAATTCTCTGAGCCAAGAAGCAGGACTCCACCACATTCCATCCGATCGAACCGCTCTAGACTTCCCAGAGCCTCCGTCAGCGCAGCATCCGAGTACTCGGGTAGATCCAGAGCCCTCCAGACCCCATTGGACATGCCGACGCGCTTGTACTTCTCGAGGACTGCACCCAGCTTCTTGACAACGACACCCCTCATACTCCGCAATGTGAATTCCGGAGTATCCTCCGACCAGATGATCTTTTTCTCTTCGTGCGCCGTCACAGGGCCCTGGGGATGCTTCCATCGGAACGGCAACAGCCGCATAATGGATGATCTTTTCCCGCCCTTCTTGGATAGTGGCACTGAAATAGATCGAATGAGTGGAAGAAGCTCAGCAATGCGAAGCACGAGCTGGCGTCCAGTCTGCTTATCCGGGGATGTTGGAATTGGTGATTCATCCAAGGAATGCTCTTCCTGGCCTTGTATCCCCATAGCTAGGCCTTCATATTGGCTTGGAATCGTTGGCTTTGGTGATGAGCCGAGATTCTTGGTCTTATTGCTTTGCAGCGAGTCCTGCAGCAGACCCACAGGCATCATATGAAGCTTGTCTGAATCTGGTTGTCTAACAAGCCCCCAAGTCCCCAGCAGGGCTGATGGAAGTCGGGCACCAGTTACAGAGCACATACGTGCCGGCGAAGCCAGTATCAGGGCCCATGGGTTCTTGAGCAGGTCGGCTTCCTCCTGTGTCGTGGGGCGTCTCTTGCGATTCTTCTCAGTCCCATGGCGAGGACGTGTGAGGAGAGGAGACTGCGGGAGCCGCTGCGAAGGAAGTACAGAGTCCGGTGCCGAATTGTTCGTCTTCGTTTTCAGCGTAGTTTCATTGAGTTGGTCGATTCGTCGCGAGGTCGAAATGCCCCGGCTGACTGTCTGAGCATGTGAAGTCGCTAGCAATTGTCGGAATGCATTCAGGCGCCATTTTGTGTACGGCATGCGCATTCCCACGCACTCCATTGTTCGGACGGTTGGGGGAATAGCTGATGGTGAGTCGAGTTCAGCGCGGAAAAGATGATCTCGGAGCAGTTGCAGGAGCCAATCGGAGCCCGTTATTTGCGGAGAAGTTGTTGATCGGACGGTGATGGCCGAGTAGCACTACAGGGGGTAAGAAGACCTAGGTGGTCTCTCAAATAATACGTATATCAAAACTTCCCCAAGAGGCATCCTATTCTCCAGAGGAATTTGGTACTATAAGAAGACCATCGCCGGCATTGTTGCTGTTGTTGCGTTCACCTGAGCTCCTTATCTTAGCGCCGCTCTTATCGTTTCAGACGGTTCACCGTCCAGTGTCTCCCGACTCTGCGTTTCCGACTCCATACAAGTACAAATCGCTTTTTCATATTTTCGAAGATGCTTTCAAGAGCTTCTATACACCAGCTAGGGCGGTCTATTCACAATTCCCCCATTGCTATCGCCCGGCCCGCCGCCAGATTCGTACGATGCTTCTCGAACCAAGGACCCTCGCTTGCGCAGCCCCCGCGGAGTTGGACACCGACTCCATTTGTGACGGAGACAGTGGTATGTCTGATATCATCCATGCTCAATAAAGTACTCAATCCGCATATATTAATGACATTGAACAGGGAGGCAGCTGGCACACTTGTATGTTGCACAATTGCATCCGTCGACGAGGCTTGCATTTAACCCGAAACATGCTCAACTTACTAACCTGTATCGCGCACTGCAGATGATATATTTTCCCGATTAATGAAGGTAACAGAACTCAAGATACTCCCTCTACAACCTACCCCTGCTAATCAAACCCCCAGGAACGCATCATCTGCCTGAATGGCCAAGTCGACGACACCCTCTCCGCATCGATAGTCGCCCAACTCCTCTTCCTCGAAGCTGACAACCCTTCCAAACCAATCCACCTTTACATCAACTCACCAGGAGGCTCAGTAACAGCGGGTATGTGAACCTGCTCCAATGGATATCCCCGACCTACCCTGACTAACAATTCCACAGGCCTCGCTATCTACGATACAATGACATATATCGCCTCTCCCGTAAGCACGATCTGCGTTGGCCAAGCCGCCTCGATGGGCTCTCTCCTTCTCGCCGGCGGTGAAGCAGGCAAGCGCTACTGTCTCCCGCACTCCTCGATCATGGTGCACCAGCCCTCGGGCGGCTACTTCGGACAGGCATCCGACATCGCTATCCATGCGAAGGAGATCCTGCGCGTGCGCACTCAGCTCAACGAGATCTACCAACGCCACCTTACTAGCAAGAAGCAGTTGTCCCTCGATGATATTGAGAAGCTTATGGAGCGCGATTACTTTATGGGTGCTAAGGAGGCGCTCGAGCTGGGTGTTGTTGATGAGATTCTGGACCGTAGAGTCCAAGGGAAGGAGGGCGCTGGGGAAGAATCTAAGCCTCCTACTGCATAAATTGCATACCCAATGTGTTCATGGTGCCCTAGTATATATCAGGGGTTCCCGGTGTCTCCTGTTTAACCCATAGGACTTTATCAGCTGCTATGTAGGATTATGTGTTAATAAGATCGGTCATAATCATCTTCTCTCCCCTACTTGGGGTGCCTTTTCCCGAGTAGGTTTGGTTCTGGATACTGCGGATACTGCTCAATATATATGTCTCTTAGGTTCTTCCAGGGGCACAACATTAGACAAGGCAATTCTATGAATATGCGACGATAGCGATGTGGCCCTGATTGCCCAAAAACATAATGTAAATTCCGATGCACATGTAGCTCTGAAACCCTTGAGTAAGGGAGACGTGCTGAAGGATATAAATCCAATGAAACGACCTATGAACATGATAGACTTTTGTTCATAAGAATCTACTAGCACATATATATATATTACTACCAGAGCTGAATTATAGATTTGCATCATGTTGTATTTGCACGCTCAATGCGACCATTAGTCCCAACCTGGAGACCAAAGCGCTGCCGGAGGAACGTTGCCGTCTCGGGAGACGGTACAAAGCCGGACGTTGGCCGTGCCGTCGCATTTGAGTGGCGCCACTGATCACGAATTGTACCTGGGAAGCTCATATTGAGAATGACAGCCTGGCCAGCCGCGAATGTATCCATCGGATGCTCGCCCCGCGCACCACTGGACTCAGCGTCGGCTGGGTCGGCCAATAGTGTAGTGCGCTCTTCTTCAAACTCTTCGTCGACGCCACTACTGTGAGGTGCATCGGAACTATAATGAGTGGAGGACATCGTTTCATCGTCATCCTCTTGTCGCAGAACGCCACGCTCTTCAGCATCATGGTCTTGTGGCTGGGACTCCCCGGACTCTGGGCTTGCATCTGTAGTTGTACCTGTGGCTGTATTTGGATTCGGCGTTGTCGGCGCTGTGGCGGGGTTTCCATTAGTCTTCACCCGCTCAATAATCAAGCCCAGCATGATAAAATCGACTAGAAAGATTAAAAGGTCGAACAAGAGAAGCCGGTAAACAGAGACGGGAGCCTGCCCGACGAAATCGATGAACAGTCCCCCATGTAGGTAGCCGCGTGTTTCCTCTCCAGCTTCGGGACGAATCAGGAAGGCATGGAAGAGCATGCAGACCAAGTTACTGACGATGATGGCGCCGACAAACGGCTGACTGCGTGTGGGCTCAAACGGGGGCGGTTTTGGTGTGAAGAAGATCAATTCGACGATGGCACGTATGGCAAATAGGACAATCGAGCAGCTAGACCAAGAGTATAGATGTTAGGGGTTTGGTCGTGGTGGAAAGAGGGGTGGGGATCATTGCTGGGGTTTGGGGTTGGACTGACTCCATGTAATACAGGGCGGAGAGTTGACAATAAATTAATATGTCAAGATCGCGCAGCAATCGATCGATGAACGCAACTTTGGCGGTCGACTTGACTTTCTTCACACGCGCGTTTTGGCTGCTGAGCGTGCCTGTTGGCCTCGGGGGCTCCGCATCGTCATAGGATAGGCCGGACACGTCAGCGATGTATTCCGCATCCCGATAGACATCAACGTCTGTCATAGAGGGTCATGAGGGCTTGGACGGTATCCAACAAGCGAAGGTATAGGGATTCGAGGTGGAGACTCCCCGTGATTTAGTGAGCTGGGGTACCTATGGATGGGTTGGGGACAGAGATGTGTCGAGGCGGACTTTCCTCGGTCCGGACCACGTGCTTCTCCCAAGGTTTCTGTTTTATTTCAAGATGTTCTGGTGGTATATACAATCAATTCAAGACTCGGATGATTTAAAATGGAATATACTCTGTTTGAATGTAGTTTATTGTATGTGCTACTTCATATACTTATTCACGGTAAGCTTAATCCACAAGGATCGTCTTCGACAGCTCCGAGTAATGCTTGAAGAAGCCAGTGAACAGACGAATGGCATGGGCGACATCATGGGTACCGCCTGTTTCACGGATACTGTGCATGCTGAGCTGGGGATTACCCAGATCCAGCGTCCGCGCGCCCAGCGCAGCAGATAGCATAGGGCCAATGGTGCTGCCACAGCTCGAGTCATTACGAACCACAAAGAGCTGGAGAGGAACGTGCTCGCCAGTCTCCTTGGTGGTCTTGCGCGCAATCTCCTCCAGGAGAACAATTCCAGGGGAGTTCGTCGCATAGCGAGCGTTGGCGTTGATCTTAATCACCGGGCCCTTGTTCATCTCCGGCTTGTGGTCCGACTCGTACTTCCCGGCATAGTTGGGGTTGATCGAGTGGGCCATATCAGCAGAGACGAGGAAGGAGGTGGACAAAGTCTGCTCATAGGCAGTTGACAAGTCGGTGTTCTTGGAGGAGGAGGACGGGAGGACGGACAGACGGCGAATGATCGACGGAAGAATGTTCGAGTCGGCACCCTGTGCTGTGCGGCTTCCGATTTCCTCGTGGTCAAACAAGGCAATCAGGCGGATCGCGTCTTCGTTATCGAGCGCTGATTCGTCGGCCACCGAGTCAATCAGACCAACTGTAGCACAGAAAGTGCTGTTCAGGTTGTCCAGGCGAGGGGAAAAGATGAATTCCTCCAGCATACCGCCAAGGCAGGACTTGTGAGTGTCGAACAGAATCATTTCGAAGTCCAGAATATCGCCAGGATTGACGCCAGCCTCAGCAGCAATAAGCTCAACAAAGTGAGAGTGGTGACGCTCTGTGACAGATTTCAATGGTGATGACTCCCCACCCTTGTCTGTGTTAGATGTGTCGATTCCTCCATTGCGGTTGAGCTCTGCAGCAATAAGGCCAGCGATAGGGAACAGCTGTGTTTCCTTGTTGAAAGCAAAGTTCTCCTGGCGGTCCAGATGGATGGCCAGTGTTGGAATACGAAGGACTACGATATTAGCCAGGCACATTTATCGTGTCAACATAAAACATACTGGGACGGTCAATCTTGACCAGTTTCTGCACGATGGATCCATCGCTTTCACGAGTCATAACCCGGCCAGCGACACCCAGATCACGATCAAACCCTGCATGGAATTAGCGACGGTAATAGTTTGAGGGTAATGAATAGCACGTACAAGTGTGCCAGATGCCTCCACCGTAGGTCTCAACACCGACCTGGACAAAACCTTCCCCGCTCTTCTTGCTAACGGGCTTGACCCTCAACACCGGAGAGTCGGTGTGGGCACCGATCATAGAGATGGAATTGCCCGGCTATATCCATGATTAATACGGCATAATTAGTTGGAGAGTCATTTTCACAGTTCTGCAATTGACACATACCTGCCATTGCTTGCCGATCGCAAAAGCCACAAGGGTAGTAGTATTGCGAGTCAAGTAGTACTTGCCTCCCGGTTGGCAGGTCGACGCCCACGAGTCTTTCTCCTATTGATGGATGAGCCACAATTGTCTTACTCCGTATTTATCTTGAACAGACCTTTATTTCTTGGAACCCAGCCTTAGACAGAAGCTGCTTCGCTTCGTGGACGGCATGGAAAGCTGGAGATAAGACAGATCAGCAACATTCCGCGTCATCTGATAGGGACTACATACGGGTAGGAGCAGAATTCACGAAGGACAAGAAGTCTAGAGCAGATTGCTTGGCAGCCATTGTAGAATAACGTTGAGAACGACCAATAATATCAGGACAAAGACGCCTGAGGACCATTGCAGGGGTGCACAAAGAAAGAAAGTTGGCTTTTGCCGTCGGAGGTTTTGTTGGTTTGGCGGTGACTGCGGATGGCAATGTCACGTAACAAAGCCGCCAGTGAGACTAGAGGGTAATCTTGAAACCAGTGATATTCAGGTGTCTAGATAGACATTGTAGGTTTAAATTATTACTATTAGTGCGTACATACATATTGTTGGTTCTGGTCGACCCCACTATATAAGTTCTTGGGAACTCAAGCTTGGTATTGTCGTTGCCATGGCCCAAGCTCTGTCGCGTCGCGTCGAAGCAAGCGCGTATATCAAACCAATCTGCGGATTTCGCGTTAGTAAAACAGCCCACACAGAGTACTCCGTACAGATCCCTCACATCGCCCCCCACTTTAGTGTCCAGTCAGACCGGTTTGGGCGCGTCCCTTCTAGTAAACAACAGGACTCACAGTGTGGCATCAGTCTTAATTGTAACAAAGCCATGCTGACACAGAACGTTTCCAAGAATCCCGGCAACCAGCATGAGACTGTGAGAGTAAACCAATGAGCTAGACTCCACTTTCGAAATAGTCAATAGAATATCAAAGTGGTGAAAGCCAAAGACACTGATTTGACCTGGTTGATGGGGCCCGATTGCCTTCACTAAATCGGGTTAGCGTACCCGACGCGTGACCCAGAGAGTCGCCCTGCGCAACTCCGTCACTCCCTTGAAGACATTCATTCATTCACATGCCTGCAGTTCAGACACTTCTTCGTTGATCGGCCTGGTGAAACGGGGTCTGTTTTTGCTTTATCCTGGATCATCTTCCATTTTTAGGGGTCAGCGGCTGGGGCCATCATCCCGCTTCTGGATCAACAACAACAGACCCTCTCTGCGAATCGCCCTTCAAATACCCTTGGCCCTACACCCGAATCTATGAACATTTGACATCCGCAATTGACAGACACTTCCTTTCTATCTTATGCAACTCTTATTCCAGTCTTGATCGGCTGCACTTTGTTCCCGGGGCTCAGACAGACAACCAGACATCGCCATGGCGGACAAACATCGGAATTCAGAGAAGGCTGGGAATAGGTCGGCAACTAGACCTCAAATATCGCAAATCTCAAACATCGCATCACCACCTGGATCGAAGACACCGCCAAGCATGCCGTCGAAGCGCACGATGTATTTCCCAGATAATTCAAATTCGGGCAGCCGCCAACGGCAAGATGGAGCAGAGCCAATCGACCCTAGTGCGCTTGCGAAAGCATTGAAGGATTATGATACTGCTGGGAGCCGGCGGGACAGGACCCCGGCCTCCAGCCCGTGTCGCAAGAGACAGCGGGTGTATGGGGACCGGTAAGCCACACTTTTGATCGTCTTCAATCAGAAAGCCTGCGGCAAAACGTGGCAGTTATCTGTGACTCAGCTACTGACCATAATCCAGATTCATTCCCAATCGCGACGGACAAGATCTGCAAGCGACTTATAGTCTGTTACATGAAGATGGTTGCCCATCTACTCCTTCCAGGGTCAAGAAACGCCCCCCTCACTCCGAGCTTCATTTTCAAAAAAGTGCGTTACATATCGGAACCCATTGTGTTGTACATCTGAACTGACTTATAACCGCAGCCGAGGAAGCCAACCGTACATTTTCCCGAGTCTTGCGCAGCGAGCTGTTCGGAAACACGGTGCCACAGCCCGACTTGAACTCTGCGCCATCCGACCCATTGCTCGGCTTCAGCAATGGAATCAATGACAAGACTCGATCCCATACACCTCCTGCCCATATCGCTGCCAGTCTCCCTCCCGCTAGCATCACCCCCACCACCCCACACAAGAACCTGTTCAACTATGGACCTTCACGGCCCGGATCGGGACATCCAACCCCCTCTAAAACCCCTCGAAGTGTGCATGGCCCCAACTTGGACGTGCGCTCTGAGCTATACAGTCTTTCTCCTATTCGATATGACAGCCAGCGCATTCTCGAAACACCTCGAAAACAGGCCCGGTATGTAAACAAGGTGCCCTACAAGGTCTTGGATGCGCCGGATCTTCAAGATGATTTCTATTTGAACCTGGTGGACTGGGGCAGTAGCAACGTTCTTGGCGTTGGATTGGCCAACTCGGTCTACATGTGGAACTCCCACACCGGTGGAGTTACCAGGTTGTGCGAGCTGAAAGATGATACCGTGACCAGCGTGAGCTGGATTCAAAGGGTAAGCAAGGGATCTGCATGTCAAGGCTCCGTGTCTGATACTCACACTATGGACTACAGGGTACACATCTTGCAATTGGCACAGGTAAAGGTCTGGTGCAAATATGGGATGCTGAGCATTGCCGTCGGCTACGAACCATGATTGGACATACCAACCGAGTTGGTGCTTTGGCATGGAACGATCACATTCTCACATCGGGATCTCGAGACCGTCTTATTTATCACCGTGACGTTCGATCTCCGGACCAGTATGTTCGAAAGCTTTCTGGCCACAAACAAGAAGTTTGTGGTTTGAAGTGGAACACCGAAGATGGCCAATTAGCATCCGGCGGCAACGACAACAAACTAATGGTTTGGGATAAGCTCAGCGAGACACCGCTCTACCGTTTCTCCGACCACAATGCTGCAGTCAAGGCCATCGCATGGTCTCCTCATCAACATCATCTCCTCGCTTCCGGCGGTGGTACCGCTGACCGCACGATCAAGTTCTGGAACACGCAAACCGGCTCAATGATCAAAGAGGTCGACACTGGTAGCCAGGTCTGCAACCTCTCTTGGTCCAAAAACTCAGACGAGATTATCAGCACGCACGGTTACAGCCAAAACCAAATCGTCATTTGGAAATACCCGCGTATGGAACAAATCGTCTCGTTGACCGGTCACACTTTCCGTGTTCTTTACCTCGCCATGAGTCCTGACGGCCAGACTGTCGTAACAGGAGCAGGCGATGAGACCCTCAGATTCTGGAAAATATTTGATAGACGAGCTACAAGAGACGCTCGTCGCGAAGGCAGCAGACTGGCCGAATTGAGTACCATCCGGTAGTTCGGCCAATCCACTCTACCTTCTAATTTGTCTCTTCATCTGCATTCGACATGGCGTTTTCCGTTGACTTCGATTTGGTCACTGGAGGAAATCATTGCATGGCCTGAGGGGGATCTCACTCTTTGTCCTTTTACACGTCGGCATCTATTGCATCTTTCTTTCCATCGGTGGTTCAAAGCATTTGCGGGTGGATGTCCGGCGCTGGTTCATTCGGAATGGGCATTTTCCTTGTTTTGTGTTCCTTTTTTCCTTTTTTCCCTACTTTCTCTGCTTCTTCTTGCTTTGTTTAATCTCTTCCATTGGTTCGTCCCTACCCTGGCCGTGATTTAGGCTGGCCATACTTCTACATTCATGTTTATTCAAGGCTTTCAGCGGCGGCGCTTGGTGTTGTTCCTGGTTGCCGGTATACGGCGTTGCGTGGCGGGTGTTCTCATTGCAACCTCTCTTTTGCAAGGTTGCTTTTGATGATGACATGACCCTTCTTCTGCTGGCACGAATTTGTGCCTATGTTCCCATTTCAGATGATTTAGCTATGCTCACCGACCTTCATGGGGATCTAAACCATGCCGGAAATGAAATGAAATCGAAATTGACAAACACCTACATGTTTCTTGAAGCTGCAAGTGCTTATTCAGCCTGACCAAGGCCTTCCATGGATGTCTTCGTATCCACGAATTGAGATCTAATTTCTTTTTCTCGAAGTAACCCAATCAAGGAAATATCTGATTAACTATGCTATACTGTATACATTCATGAATGGGCTTCGCCTGCCCAGTTTTTGGCTCAGGTGACCAGGAACAAAGAAAAGAAAAAGCGCGAAGAAGGGAGATTCGATACATCAAGGGAAATTTAAAGCACCAAGCGAGCCGGCTCAACCGAGAGAAGAGTCTTGATTCGCTCCAGGAATGCCTTAGCGCGGACCTCCTCACCAGCAGGGACGGTCAAGCTGAAGACATTGGAGGCAACACCAGCCGAGTCTTCAACCGAAGCCGCAGGCACAGGCTTCTTGGATGACTTCGCACTAAGGAAATCGATCAAGTCCTCAGTGACAGGCTTAGAGCGGACAGTCTTGGGAGCTTCGAAAGCGTTCAGCTCGGGAACGTAATCACCGCGTGATGTGTTGATTGGCTTGGCGCCGAGAAGCTCATCGAAAAGCTCATCGGCGGAGGGCTTGAAGTTAGCTGAGCGGGGCAGGTCGTCGTTGGCAAGGTCTGTAGCCACGGCAAGGAAGCGGGACAGCGGGATCGTCACGCCCAGGTTATCCTGGAGCTTCTTCTGGGCGGAGAGCACGGCAGCCAAAGAAATGGAGATGGCGACGGAAGCCATGGGCAGGGGCTCGGGGGCGATCTTCTCTTCAGCCGCAGCCGGTGCGGCCGGGGCTGGGGCCGGGGCGACCTTGATGTTGCTCAGATCGAGGTGGGAAAGCTTGGCCAGAATGGCGGCCTGGGTCGACGGGTAGTCCGCGGAAATCTGGCCGATATATGCAAGCACGTCACCCTTCAAGAGACGACCCTTGGGGCCTGAGGCTGGGATCTTGGAGACGTCGGACTTGGGGATGCCCTTCTCACGGAGGAGCTGGGCGACGGAGGGGTAGAGCGGATAGGCGGGGTTCTGGGTTGTGGGAGCAGTGGATTGCAGGCCTGGAAGGGATGACAGTGTTAGCGCATGTTAAATAATACTCGGTATGTCGCAAGTAACTTCCGCCGTAGAATTGAGCTCAGAGGAGCGGCTTTCGTTGCGGAGATGTTGTTCGCCGTGACCATGGATGGGAAACTCACGTCTGCCGACACCGAACACCTTCTGTTGACGGCGAGCAAACATGGCCGGAACCTGGCCGACTGTGATCTTGGCTGCCATTGCTATGTGATTCTGGAGTTGTGGAAGATTACGAGTGCTGCGGTGCCGATTGGGATCTTCGGCCGGTGTCGCAACTCGCCGCGGACGCTGGATTCGAAAGGAACGAGCGGGATCAACGAAGAGCCCACCACCACGTCGAAGCGCAAGAATCTCCGAGGTCAATTTGCTTGATGTCGTGTGTTTGGAGAGGTAATCCGAAGCGACCGTTGGAGGTGTTGAGGCCGTTGGGAGCTTTCACCGGCGGCCGGGACGGGAACATTTTTCTGCCGCGTGCTGTTTTGGCCATTATCGGCGATTTCCGATGAGAACGACGGTCAATTGATTCTGGTCCTAGTGAGTTACCGAGCGAACCTATCTAGTCCTTGATTCTTTGTCAATTTCGCTCCGAATTCATGACATTCAATTGGCTGCGTGTCATAGCCATGATCACTTTACTAACTTGAGCATCCATAGGCTCGGTTCAACCATGTCCGTCAGACCACCCACCTTCTCAATATTCTGGCGCCAATGCCTACAAAGTCCAATGCGGCCTGGATTTCAAATGAACCCAGCATCATCCTTTCGCTACTTCAATTCTAGTGCGCCTCAATACAAGGCCAAGGGTGTGGCCAGAACTGTCGATTCCGCGTGGCAGGCCACAAGCCCTTATGGGAACAAGAACCCCCGCGCCCTTGCGAAGCTGCAAGCGAAAGTATTACAAGCCGGACAAGTGCTTTTGTTCAAGGCTCCTTCTCATCGCCCATATATCTTAACTGCATATGGTCTGTCCGCGTTTTGCTTCGCCTATTCCATCTACAACTCGAATGCGGTTCTCCGGGATCCTCTAGTTCCTCTTCCAATGTGGCAGAAATCTCTATTTGGTGGTATCTGTATCATGATGAGCGTTGGAGGCACCTTGTTCATCTCCCGCACTGGCTCCCTAGTCAGAAATATCAGAGCGATCAACTCTAATGGTCGTATGCGCGTCCTCTTCACAGTCCGAAGCATGGTCCCTTTCAAGAAGCCTTACCAGGTCGAAGTGGCATCGGGTGATCTCTCGTTCAAGCGCAGAATCTCGGTCTCTCCGGAAACCATGAAGCGTTACGAGGAAAGTACCAAACTCGGCCGTGGATTGGAAACTGAGGCAACCTTCGTCAGAACACTGAAAGCCATGCCTCGCCGAGTTTTCCAGAGCATGCGGCAGCTTTTCACGAATGAGGACTTCATCATTGTTCAGTTGGCGGGTCACAAGACCCATTTCCGACTGGACTCTAATGGATACATCTCGGATGATCTCCTTCACTTTGGGCGCATGGTGAACGTGAGGATGCCATTCAGAGATTGATTGGGGATCATTATCCAATCATCACCAAGGTCCTTTTGTGTCGTGTCGTATCTAGTTAAGTTTTGTATATCATTATCTCTTAAATAGCGACACAGCACTTGTAACAATAGTCAAAAGAAGAGCGCAATTTCAATTGAGAATCATAGTGGATTATATTATTAGAGTCCTACTGCTTGTCTGAAGGAATAGTATGTAATGTTGTAAGGTCTTCACAATGCATCAGTAAATTTGCGAACCACGTGATGGCCCCGGCGCGTCTTGGGTGGACGCGGTTCACCCGCCATCGCGCCCCTCCACATCTTGCACCACAACTCAATCTCTTGCTTAAATAACAGGGTACTTGAATTTCGCGGCGCGTTGCTCCCTCAGGGAAGCCGCTGGCAAGATGGGCAAACTCATTCGTCTGGAGCTTTTCAGTATGTACGACCGGAAGATACACCGCACCTGTAGCTAACTTTATCACTAGACTTCAAGTCCTACAAGGGACATCATGTCCTCCTATTCGGAGATGCCTATTTCACGTCGATTATCGGCCCGAACGGGTCTGGCAAGTCGAACTCGTGAGTGGCCTCCTGGTCTTAGTCCAAAGAGCCTTAGGCTAATGCGCATTAGGATGGATGCTATATCTTTCGTTCTAGGAATCAAGTCTTCTCACCTGCGATCGACCAATCTCCGCGACCTGGTGTATCGTGGCCGTGTTTTGCGCACATCTAAAGCTGACGGAGAGTCTGCTCCTGATGGGCAAGATGGCGAGCAGGAGGAAGAGCCAGAGAGCATGGATGTCGAGCAAGATGCCGGTGGAAACGACCCGAAATCCGCTTGGGTGATGGCAGTTTATGAGGATGATGCAGGCGAGGAGCAGCAGTGGCGCCGATCTATTACCAGCCAGGGTGTTAGCGAATACCGCATCAACAACCGAATCGTGACCGCCCACCAATACAACGAGGCCTTGGAGGAGGAGAACATCCTGATCAAGGCGCGAAATTTCCTGGTGTTCCAGGGTGATGTCGAGGCGATCGCATCCCAGTCGCCCAAAGACCTTACTCGGTTGATTGAGCAGATCTCGGGCAGTCTGGAGCACAAGGCCGACTATGAAAAGTTCAAGGCAGAGGCGGAGGAGGCTGCGGAACAGCAAACCGTTCAGCTCAACCGCCGACGAGGCATCAATTCCGAAGTGAAGCAATACCAGGAACAGAAGCGAGAGGCTGAGAACTATGCGAAAAAGGCCGAAGAACGCGACCAGGCCATTATCACTCATATCCTGTGGAAGCTGTTTCACTTCCAGCGGCTGATCGATGACTCCAGTGCTGATATCCAGAAATACCAAGACGAGCTTAAGGAGTACCGCCGTGGCGTTGAGAAATATGAGAAGAATGTCGAAGACGCCAAGAAAGACCATGCTCGAGTCGGCAGGGATGTCGGCAAGGCCGAGAGAAACATCACGAAAAAGGAGAGGGAAATTGAAGAACTCAACAACTCGCTTGTGCCTGTGGACGAGAAGATCGACATCACCCAGAAGAAGGTTGAGAGATACTCTTCAAAGATTTCCGAGATCGAAAAAGAGCGCACATCACAAGCCAATAATGGCAAGCAACTAGAAAAGGACCTCAAGCTTGTCGAAAAAGCTCAGGCTCAATGGGAAGTCGAGTGGCAGAAGACGATGAGCAAGAAGGGTGGCCAGCTGAGCGAAGCTGATCAGCAGGAGTACCGCAAGCTCAGAGAAGAAGTCAACCGGCGTTCATCGGCGGACTCCTTAAACCTTGACAATCTGCGCCGGCAGAGAAAGACCGAAGCTGAAGCGGTCAACAGCTTGAAGGGCAAGTTCGAGAACACTGAATGGCAACTGAAATCTGTTGAATCCGATGCCCAGAGCATGCACGAACGCAGGTCGTCTCTCAATGATGCCATCAAGTCCACCTCCAAAGACATCGACCGTAAGAAGAAGGAATTGAATGCCTTGACTTCGGAGCGATTGAAGGTCTCGCAAATGCGGACCGAGCTTGAGGAAAAGCTCCAGGTCGTGTTAAGGAAACTTCTCGAGGCCGATGATGGTAAGAAGCAGACCGAACGCGAACTCCGGGCCAAGGAGTTGATCTCGGCCTTGAAGCGCATATTCCCCGGTGTCAAAGGCCGCGTCAGTGATCTTTGCCGGCCTAAGCAGAAGAAATACTCTGATGCAGTCAGCACCGTACTGGGTCGACACTTCGATGCCATTGTTGTGGACAACGAGAAGACCGCAAAGGAGTGCATCCAGCACCTACGCGACCAACGAGCAGGTCAGGCCACGTTCATCCCGCTGGAGACCATTCAAGTCAAGGCGTTCAACTCCAACCTGAAGGGCATGCATCGGAGCATGCGCCCTGCCATTGAGACTGTTGACTATGATGATTCAGTTGCGCGAGCAATCAGCTACGCGTGCGGCAACTCTATAGTTTGTGACGATCTGGCAACGGCCAAGCATCTTTGCTACGAACGAAATGTGGATGCAAAGGCTGTCACCCTCGATGGAACTGTCATCCACAAGGGTGGTCTCATGACTGGTGGACGTGGTCCTCAACAGAACTCAAAGCGTTGGGAAGATTCCGAGGTCGAGAACCTGTACAGATTAAAGGAGAAACTCATGAACGATCTCGCCACCCTCCCCAAGAGTCACCGCCGAGGCTCTGAAGAAGAAACACTGCAGGGCGAGCTCGTCGGTCTCGAGCAGCGCCTCATTTACTCCCGTGATGAGTTGAAGGCCCTCGAGAGGAACCTCGAGAGCAAACGTAGCGAGCTGGACTTCGTTAAGCGCCAGATGGAGGAACTGCGACCCAAATACACCGAGCGTAAGGAAAACCTTGACGAGCTAGACGAGACAATCGAAACGTCGCAAGCTTCGGTCAGCGCCGTTGAGGATGAGATCTATGGCAAGTTCTGCAAGCGCTTAGGGTATGATGACATCCGAGAATATGAGGCGCAGCAGGGCTCTATGCAGGAAGAGGCCGCGCAAAAGAAGCTCGAGTTCACCACCCAAAAGAGCCGAATCGAGAACCAGCTCAGCTTTGAGAAACAGCGTATCCAAGCAACCGAGGACCGAATCAACGGCCTCAAGGCCCAATACGAGCGCGACCGGAGCCTGATTGAAGAGCTGCAAAGTCAGCAAGAAGAAATCCGCCACAAGCTCGATGAATTCGAAGCGGAGCTGGAGCTCCTACGAGAGGACCTCGAGAAGCAGAAAGAAATCTATGGCCAGTCAGCAGAAAACTTGGCAGAGCAGCGCCGTGAACTCCAGAAGCGTAGCAAGCACGTTGAAGCAGCGTTAAAGAATGTCAATGCGCTTGAAGCAGAGATTCAGAGAAACTCTTCCAGTCGTTATGCTCTTCTGCGTCGCTGCAAGCTTGAAGACATTGATGTTCCTTTGACCGAGTCTTCCAATTCCCTCGACAAGCTTCCAATTGACGACCTTGTCCAAGCAGCAGACCCGGATGCCATGGAGGTGGACGAAGAAGATGGTTTGGACGAGGCTGCTCCGGTGCACGATTACGGTATTGAGGTCGACTTCGATTCTCTGGGGGAGACACTGAAAGAGGTTTGTGTTTGCTCCTGTTGCTTTATTTCTCGCATACTAATTCAATTACAGGAGGCCGATGACAAGCTCGAGGACGAACTACTTGAGAAGGTCCGTGTTCTCAACAGTGACCTCGACAAGATGGCACCGAATGTTCGTGCCATGGAGCGCTTGGAGAGTGTCGAGAACAAACTTCGCAGCACCGAAAAGGACTTCGAGGATGCCCGGAAATCCGCACGAAAGGCCAAGGAAGAGTTTGAGTCCGTGATGAAGAAGCGATCCGACCTCTTCAACAGGGCATTCACCCACATTTCTGAGCAGATCGGGCCGATTTACCGAGAACTCACGCGCAGCGCCAATTACCCCCTGGGTGGTCAAGCGTAGGTTTCTTTTTTAACTTCCGACTCTAAGCGTCACTAACATTTCAAAAGTTACCTCGATATTGAGGACTCGGACGAGCCCTACTTGGACGGCATCAAATACCACGCCATGCCTCCTCTCAAACGTTTCCGAGACATGGAGCATCTTTCAGGTGGCGAGAAGACGATGGCCGCACTCGCTTTGCTGTTCGCTATCCACTCGTACCAGCCGTCTCCATTCTTCGTGCTGGACGAGGTTGACGCAGCCCTGGACAACACCAACGTCGCCCGTATTGCCAACTATATCCATGACCACGCCGCGCCTGGCATGCAGTTTATCGTGATTAGTCTGAAAACTGGACTCTTCCAGAATAGCGAGGCTCTGGTCGGTATCTACAGGGACCAGGTCGAGAACAGCAGCAAATCGTTGACGCTTGATGTGAGTTTTGAAGATGTGTTTCGTATAGATATGGAAATATGCTGACAATGATCATTCATAGCTTCGGAAGTACACCTAAATCCTCCAGGCGGGGTTTATGCGGATCGTGTGACGAACCTTTGCTTTTGCTTTGGTTCCTATTTCTTCATCTTTGTAGATTATTGGGTCTTGCTTCGTTTTCTTCATCTACCGGAGTCGATTATAGGAGTAGGAAGCCCATTGTCTATTCTGGGCAATTATTTCTATCGACAAGGCTGTTAATTGATACCAGTTTCTGTGCTGTGTTTTTCAAGTTCCAACCCTTCTCATACGTCGTACCTGCAGGTAACCCTAAAAATCTCCGGTTCCGAACGACTCACATGCCGAGTGTTCGTGCTTTTACGGGTTTTAGACAGTACTTCGTAGAGGATCTCCCGAAAGTAGATATGAATAGATTCAATTCAGTCCATCTACCAGATGTGTTAAGGCGGCCATGTTAAAACCCCCCTAGAAAATGCACCACTTCATGGCAAAACATATGAGATACCAAGGCCTTGCGAAAAAGATAGCAAACCCTCCACCTGTAACACCACGGACCAGCCGACTTAAAGTTCTTTTTTGATGCACTTTTCGTGACAAAAGATTCAAGAACCTGACCTCCCTCACGCAGAAGGCGTGGCGCTTGTTGAAAGCACCGGTGTCGGACGAGACAACTGATGTCTCAAAGAAAGAATAAACAAGAAAAATAGAAGAAGCGCGAAAACCGAGAAACCAGAACCGTGAGGAAACTGTCATCCGTGAGAGACTTGCGACCTTGTTGAAGGTACCACCATAGCGAGAGGTGGGTAGCTATCGAAGCTCAATAAGTCAGAAACCACCTAGTCTGTGGCTGTCTGTCCCGCTGCCTCAATACCAGTCGCAAGCTTCGCCTTGGGAGTGAGCTTCATCCCACCAACACCCTTGGCTAGAAGAGCAGCCTTAGCTTGAGCAGCAGTCTTGACTCCAGCAGCAGGCTTAACCTGAGAAGCAACGTTGGCCGGAGCAGCACTCCTGAGCCCACCAGCAGCCTTGGCTAGAATAGCAGCCTTGGCTTGGGGAGTAATCTTGGCTTGAGGAGTAATTTTGGCCTGGGTTCCATTGGCCTCGGTAGTACGCTTGGTCTGAGAAGTCGTAGTATCGACCTGGGTTGCTGTCTTGGCCTGGGCGGCGGCGTAATGCTCGGTGACAGATTCGGCTTCGGTGGGCGTCTTATCCTCGCTGGCCTCAGTGGGAGGATCCTCAGAGGATGACTCGAGACACGCACCAGAGGCAGGGATGTTCTCGAGAGTAGCATCAAGGGAACTCTTCGACCCATTTATCTCGTCGGTGGCAGAGTCGTTTGGAGTCAGGCTGCCATGTTCGCACTCATCAAGTGGCTGGGGAACCTGATTAGGGATGCCGGTGAGAATGCTGTTGACTGCCTCGGCATTTTTGCGAATGTGGACGGTTTGCTTCATCTTGTCTTTGACCTTGAAGTCACAGGGAACGAGTCGGTGATCGGCCTCCTGGTCGCGGTGGTATTCATACAGGCGGACTTTGAGACCGCGGATGAGGATGGCCCAGCATCGTTCATTTGGAAGCGGAGCACTGAGCAAGCGGGGAACAGATTGATCCCAGTTTTCCTCGATTGGAGCAGAGGTGTCGAGAACGACCTTCACCATGGTGTGCAGGCTCCTGTCTTCGCCGACAGCTCTCACGATGTAGCAGTTTGAGTGGTCGTTCTCCTCATCGTCTTGCCACTTGAGGACCCAGCCATCGTTCGAATCGAAGGCGTAAGTGAGGATACCGCTCACCATGATCTTGACATTTTCGGCGGTTGGTTTATCCTCGTATGCGTTGATGAACTCGGCAATAGCGGGAAGCGAGAGATAGTTAGTTGTTTCCATGATGACTGAAGTCGGAGGAAAGAGTTGATGGTGAGAAAAAATTGATCTGTAGAGTTGTAGAAGAAGGAAGTGACAGGAAAGAAATATCGGGGTGGAGATGCTTGAAGTATTGGGATCGCAAATGAGATCAGGAAAGCTCATGTAATATGACAATGTGAGTTAGCAAATTGAGGCAAACATTTATATTATCAGGGGTTTACCTACTATCTCGGAAAATGCCAAATGATCACGGCAAACATGTGCCATTGCTCGTTATTGGCATCTATAGATCCAGGTTCCTACATATGCTACGTCAAGTAACGCAGAAGTGCGAGCTAAGTGCGAGCTAAGTGAAAAAGCCGATATATACATCTCTATCTACGCTAGATATGTTGGTCTATGGCCCGAACATCTATCTCTGACGACTTGTATGTTATGGCACGAGCATATCGAAAAAGCAAAACATGAAGGCAAATCATGCCGAAATATTGAGCTACAAATATAGTCTTTTCAGATTTATGCTACCTCCAACTATGGAAATGGTTAATTTCTTAAAATAGTCGTAGCTAGAGTCCTTGTACCTCTTAAGTGTACATATTTTCCCATACTGACCCGAAATTGCGAGCAAAATAAAAAGAAGGACCGTTCTTGTACCTCTAAAAGAACGTCGAGGTCTACGATGTCCTAAAATTATGACGAGGTGGAAAGAGTACAGGAATATGCACCCATACAGACAGGATAATATCTGGGCCGCTGGTATGAGTCTCAGGCTCTAAGTAGACGTCGCCACGGGCTCACCTGGGCGGGGCTTAGTGAGTGAAAGTGCGTGTTTAGTGAGTGCACTTCGGCGTGCTTGGCTCGTGGTCCAATAGATCCCAATGAATATACATGATTGTCTTCCAAGGTTCCGCTTTTCGAAGTGTACTCATTGACTCATTCTCTCGCCTTACCAGGACAAACAGTTGACGCTGACTACCAGGAGCAAGCTCCGCTCGCCATCCCAAAATAAGTTACATGAGCATCATTCACCCCCTGTCCTCCCTGAGCCTCGCAGCACTGGACCTCGTTCCCAGTGCAGATACTCGTGCTACCAGGGCTATGGGGCTCAACACTCCAGTATTCAACGCCAGAATGGACATAGCCCTGTTCAGCCGGCGGCAGGTTTGGGATGCCATCGTTGGCATGTGTGACCCGGAAGAACCGAGTTGTCTCAGGGCTTCTCGCTTTGAAGTGCTCATTCACATATGATGCGTAGGCCAGGTTACCAGTACGCGGTTCGCCAAAGGTGTACAAGTTGACGTGATCGTATGTAGCGGACAGCTGGCTGGCAGTTATTGCTGCCATCGAAGCGCCCAGACTGGATCATGTGGTGTCAGCCAAGTCAGGAAAGGACAGCTAATGGATGAAAAGAAAGAATGATTGTGAAGCCGTAGACCGGAGAGCCCTCATACCTGTGACCCGTGACCGTCAGTGCGTACTCCGGATACTGGCCGGCCTGCTGTTGAACAAGTGACTCGACCTGATCTTGGACAGAGGTCCATCCAATATAGTATCCGCCATGCACGGCACAATCGACACATTTAGGCAAGGTGTCGAAAGGAGCGAGAGTGTAGTTGGTATCGAGCTGCAAGTTCGTGTCACCGGCAGTGCCGCGAAAGACGATGATAATTTCCTGACGACTATCGTCGCGGAGAACCCATCCGTTGATATCCGTCTGGGCGTTGTATATCTTCTCCACCGTGGTTATGGTCGCCGGGATGTTGCACAGGTCTGCATAAGCAGCTTGGGAGATGGTGGCCATCTCAACCAGACGGTTGTAGATATTGCCAGAGATGCCCTGCGTAACAGCAGCTAGACCTTGTCCTACAGCCACAGAAAGGGCGAGAGCGCGTGGTGCGGAGATTTTCATGTCGACAAATCCGTGTCTGGGAATATTTGATGGATGATGGTTCAACGATGAGAGACTGAGTCCGGTGCTTGGGTGTGTCTCTTAAGAACATATCTACTTCTTCTGGATAATATGCTAGAAACCCACTTCCAGGATAAAGATGATCATACCACATTGACACCATCAAAGCTCATCAAATTCTGCCGTCGACGGATGCCTTTCCCGTGGGAATAACCTCTATCCGGAACAATTGCCAGATTACGCGGTCCATGAGGCAAGAGCCCCTGTGCATCAGGCAGGCTTGGTCGGTTGAAAGACGAATTTCTCGTAAGCATCACATAAGGTGAGACAATCGGGAAGAATCCCTGTTTTAGTTCAGGAGCTCTTTTCCAAAACGTGATCATAGCCTATAATTGGCCTAACTGAGACAATCGACCCTGAATATCATAACGGCAAGGTTGAAGTGGAGGATCCTCTTCGGCAGATGTGGATATTCAAACTACCGTACTATTTGCCTAATCGGGAAATTCCCCCGTCGAGTGTAGCAGCCTAATCGAGTGGCGTTGAAGGGTCCGAAGGAAGCGGAGCATACCTGTAGATCTTTAGTTTGATCTAGCTTAGTTCCCAGGCTAAAGCCTGGTCCTTTAATGTCGATGCAGCTAGCCCTGTCTGAATATCCTTCACCGTAAATGCGCCTCCTGGACCCTGAAAGATCATCAGACCGTTCCGCGAGGCATCTTGAAAACCTGTGTGCTATTCAATTTCTATTAGTTAAATAAACAGTAGAAATACCTCTCTAGATTGTTGTCTCTAATGCCATTGACGGTCCACCTGAATAGAGCCTAATATGATATCTATGGGCCTATGGGGCGCAGAACCACTCTTCCTCTATTAATTTCAACGCCAATCAAGGCTATATTACCATGGCTAGTTCTGGGAGCTGTAGACAAATCCTCTAGTCATGCTCGCTTCCATCTTGTTCTTGGAATTACGGCAGGACGGCAAGTTCTGTACAACTAGAAAAGACCTTTCGATTGGTTTAGTAAAGCGAGATTATCTCCCCAAATACACAATTTTTTAATGACAATAACAACATTCTTTCCTAGCCCTTCTTTACCACCACCCTTGTATCTCAAAGACTTCCCATCGGTTGTACACTTCGATCGGAAGTACAGCCTGCTGAGTAGCAGAATTCGCAACTTCAGATAGAGATCGAAAGCATCTTCACTAGAGGGCATTTGCGATAGCGTTGTAGGCCTCCTTGGGGTTATAGTTGCCGTCGAAAAGCAATGGGTTCTCATTGGCGCGCCACGAATCCTGCAATATCTGGTATTAGTATACAGTCGTTTTGACCTGGGGAGAAATCGGCGTTTACCGGGTCAGCGACTCCCCAAACTGTGATTCCGACACACTTAGGCTGGTTTAGACAAGCCTTAACAACCTATAGAAATAGAGATTTAGTGAAGAGTCAATCATGTATGGCATGGTGGAGACTCACATTTACGTAGTCGGTAGAGCTGGCGCCAGCAATATCAAGCTCAGTGACAGCGATCTCCTTAGTTCCCGCACTGGCAAGAGCATTAAGAGCTGTAAGAGGCTGTTAGGTAATTTTCGGTCGACAAGAAAGAGGGTACTTATCCAGAAGCTGCGGCACCGGCACCGGCGCTCAAGTGGGTTTGAGAGCCTTGAAATGAGTGAGTAATTTTATACGGTGAACTGCAATGCCAGGTATCTTACCGATTCCGTCAATTGGGATACCAGCAGCAATCCACTTCTTGACGTGGCTGACCATACCCTGCACTTTAGAGGCAGTGGCGGAATCCAGGCTGTGTAAGGTCAGAATCGATGCAAAATGAAAAGAGCAGAGTACAGCTCACTTGTAGTCGTTGATGTAGAGCTTTGCATTTGGATCAGCAGCACGAGCTGTTTCGAAAGCGATCCGCACAAAGTCTTCGCCAAGGACATTGTAGAAGACACTGTTACGAAGGGTACCGTCCTCGTTGAAAATTTCATTCACAACGTCCTTGGGTCGATCAGTATTGTAGCTTTGCAGAACTCATATTATGGATACAACGTACCCAGGCGTAGATTTTGCCCTTGTAGTGCTTCATCACCGTGTTGATGTGGTTTTTCAGGACATTTGTCAGGGTTGTCTTGTCCCTGATAGAAGAGACCCAAGATGGGAGCTGGGAGTGCCACACTTGACAAGTTTAGCTTCTCTTTTTGTGATTCCTAAATCCTAGGGCCTCGAGCACTTACCGAGAGTGTGGCCGCGGACCAGCTTCCCATTTGTCTGGGCAAAGTTGACCTAGAATCTGTAAGGACCAGGCAAAGAATCAATTGCGGCGGAAAAGTCATGGTACGTACCAGATAGTCCGCCCCTGCGAAGTTGAACTGCCCTTGGTTTGCTATTTTGGAAATCAGCTTCTGGTCCTCTATTTATCCCGAGAAATTTGTACTCACGCTCAGTAGCATCCCACTTCATGCTGTTCTCCGGAGTCAGTTGACCGAAGTTGGCCTTGAGGATTGCTGGGGTCTTTGGGTTCTTGTTCAAGGTGCCCTGGTCACCAATGTTTCCCAGGTACTTCTTCCCGTGAGCCTTGAATTTGGCATCAATGCTCACAGAGGCTTGTCGGGCTTCAACGGGTCCGGACAGCACTTGACCAGCGCAAAGCATAAGTAGAGCAGCTGTCTTGATTTGGATCATATTGGGAAACATGTTGGTTCTTCGACTTGATGAATGGAAATGAGTGTGGTAGAAGACATCGTCGAGGAGGGATGGGGACCATACTTATACAGAACAGGAGCCAGCATTTCTTAGGGGAAGCGAGGTTCATAGTCGAGATGATTACCTAAAGTGGAAATCCTTCCCCGATGCAAAACGGGGCCTACATCATCTATCTCGTTCACCAATGGGGAACGGAAATTATCTATTTTATCCAAAAATTTAGTAAATATCTCGGATGGAATAATATCGGAGTTTTTCAGCCTAAATATTCGCATAGAAGACTTCGACCTGGAAGATGTGTAGAGTACGTAGTAGTATCTTGGACTTTGAATACTATCAACCAAGCTCCTTCCAGGTATATGGGCCTATTACAAGTTCTAGCCTCGACATGTAACAACGACAGGCCCACACCTATTAGCTTTTGTTTAAGGGTAGAACAATCCGCTGAGTTAAAAAGAAAAAGGGGTCCTTACTTGTGGAGACGACGTCTTGTCATCTCCAACAGGGTCGCCTCGTTTTCACCGAGGCACCTCCGAACAGGATCATATTTGACATTCTTCAAAGAGCTTTCGGCAAGGCTCATTTCTTTCACTAATAGGGAACGGACGCTTGCATATTTTATCCCACATTCTAGGAAATATGTAGGGTAAAATAATATTCCATCGACTTTTTAGCCTAAATGTCCGTATAAAAGATATTCAGTCTGGGAGATATGTGGAGTAGTAAGTTAGAGTTTGAATACCATTAGACCACCAAACTCCTTGTAGGGATATAGACTCGGCCTATTGCAAGTTTACCCCGATATGCAGCAACGAAAGGACCCACAAATGCCGGCTTATGTTTAAGGGTAGAATAGACTGTCTAGTTGAAACAAAGAGGGGTCCCGTGTGGAGATGTCTACCACATATACGTCGGAGGTCATCCGAAATAGCTAGCTCCTACTTCGCCAAGTAGGGCTTGCCTCGGTTTCAAATAAGCTCAGCCATTTTTCGATTTCCCCGCTGAATCCTCCGAGACATTCCCGAGCGGGATCATATCTGCCATTCTTCAAAGAACTTTCGGCAAGGCCCAAGCCACAGAAGATAATAACCAGGAATCGTGAGTTATTTTGTGAAACAACCATATGATGACAACGCATTAGTAAGAAATCAACCCGTCTACCGTCGCCCTTCAAGACCCACGGCTAGATTCATGATCTCTGCGATGCATTTACCCAGCCTCCATCTGATATAGGCTTGGAATGGCTAAGTTGATGTGGAGTTGATGTCTGTACCTGTTTCCAGAAAGGCAATAGTCCGGCGGACTAAGGTTTCTGGCTAATATAGTTTATCCTGGACCATCTCTCTGAAGACACCAAATCAAAAACATACCAAGGGTCATCCCTTCCAATTGAAACATTGTGGATGTTAATATCGAAAACGAGGAATTAGGTTCGATTCACTTGACCCGGCCAAACTATTCAGTTTATAAGCCGTACTTGAACTATTTAAACGAGGTCAGCTCCTGCTTCAAGTCTTCAATCAAATAAACCATCACAGACTTCAATCTCAACGACAATGAGATTCTTCAATGAGAACACTGGCCTGGCGTCATCCGGCATATTGTTGCTCGCATCAGTGCCAGCTGTCTTCGCCCAATGCGCGCTTCCATCGACGTATTCTTGGACATCAACTGGTGTTCTGGCGAATCCAAAGCCCGGATGGAATGCACTTAAGGACTTCACCAGCGTGGTTTGGAACGGCAAACACGTCGTCTATGCATCAACTGCCGACACAAAGGGGAGCTACGGCTCGATGGTCTTCGGCGCCTTTTCGGATTGGTCTGGCATGGCGACTGCGAGCCAAGTCGCAACGAGCTTTTCAGCCGTTGCGCCCACTTTGTTCTACTTCCAGCCAAAGAACATTTGGGTCCTGGCCTATCAATGGGGCTCAAGCACATTCACCTATCGAACGTCGAGTGATCCTACCAATGCCAATGGATGGTCATCGGAGCAAGCCCTTTTCTCCGGAAAGCTCCCCGCCACAGACAAAGGCTTCGCCATTGACCAGACCGTTATCGGTGACTCTACGCACATGTACCTTTTCTTTGCGGGAGACAATGGAAAGATCTATCGCAGCAGCATGCCCATCAACAACTTCCCTGGAAGCTTCGGATCAAGTTACGAGGTGGTCATGAGTGACACAAAGAACAACCTGTTCGAAGCAGTTCAAGTGTACACTGTCAAAGGCCAGAACAAGTACCTGATGATCGTCGAGTCAATTGGAGCATCAGGGCTGCGGTATTTCCGTTCATA